ACTCTTCAAGAGTGTTCAGTGCTATCCATCCCCATTGTATCCGGGGTGCCATAGTGGTTTTGAAATATATAATGATTTCTTGCAACAACTTGGTTAAGGCCTGTTTATCTTCATTCCACTTAGGGGGTTTCATGCCTTGACTGTTCATCTTAGGCATGTTCATGCTCACGTGAGCTTCCCTTCCAGGTTAGTAATATACCGGCGCATATGGTACCTCTTGCGCCGCTGCCAAATAGGCTTGTCCGGTGTAACCCGGTCCTAGGGGATTGTACCCCTCCGGAGGCGGGGGAGGCCCCATTTCCGCCCGATGTGGCTCAACCACCTCGCCTTCCTCTATTCCAAACAGGAATTCCTCAGTTGGAGGTTCTTGGGTCTGGAAATGGCTGGGCGGATAATCGTACACCCTCTCGTAACTGCCCGATCCCCCAAGATGGGACGGGTCCTCGTACACGGGTGTTGGGTGCTCCTCCGCATGGGGTCCCCTTCCGGGTTGATGTGCCCTTCCGGGCTGAACCGTCACTCCTGGCTGAGTGGCCATCCCTGGCTGTGCTGCCATCCCTGGCTGTGCGGCCATCCCTGGCTGTGCTGCCATCCCTGGCTGTGCTGCCATCCCTGGCTGATAGTACTGAACTGGCGGGTACCTCGCAGATCCCGGCGCAAATGAAGACATCTCCTGCAGCCTTTGAATCTTCTGCTGCGTAGTTTGCACTGGGGGCTGTGTCGCCCACTGTCCAGCCTGCCCCATTGTATAAGGCCTCACCGGTTGTCTTGGCGCCAATTCAGGCTGAGCCACTGGACGAACCGGTTGAGAGGGACCTGCTTGCATCGATGGTCCCAGGGGCATTTGAGCTGGTCCCTCTTCGGGGACTTTGCGGCCAGTTCTTTGGATGGCCTGCCACTCCGTGGCTGCTTCTTGACCCTCTGGCATGTAGATACCTAGTGCTGACTGCTAAGCATCAAAGAGGCCTCGCAGTTTCACTGGTATACGTTGGAGGGCGTCCCGTGGGACTTGTGCACGATAGGGGACATGGCCCCCTCGGGGGTGATAATACCCCTTAAAGTACACCCCTCCATGAGGGTCGTGGAATGCACCCAATGTATCCCAGAATCCCCTCCTGTCCTGGATGACAGGGGTATGTATTACTGGGGTTGGTCTGGGTGCCTTGTGCGGCTCCTTTGCCCGACCACGTTGTTCAGCTGCCATTTGCTGGGCACGGCGTTCCTAGTAGCCAGGTCCTGGTAAGGCCGGCTTGTACTGCAGTTCCTGCTGTCCCTTTGAGGCCCGCTTCACCTCTTGCAGTTCCATATATGCTGCATAATCTTCATTCCCCATCAAGGAACGAAGCTGAGCAGCTTTCTCTGCATCCGCCTTTGCTTGCTGCAAAGCGGCTTCCTGCTTCTGCAGGACCTCATATGTCTCCCGTCTCTCCGGGGGACTGGGACTGGCAGGTTCACCTGCTGAACCGAGATACACAACATTGTTGTTACCCGCAGAATCAACGATGTCTGCACGGTTACGCAATTTGGTGTTCTCAACAGGTTGCAGCAAGGGCAATTCGACATGAATGTCACCTGTGGTTGGCCTTTGCAGGCCTTGGGATCTGCCCTTAGCCTTTTCAGGCTGATCTCTCGCCTTCATAGGCGGGTCTTTCTCCTTGCCGGGCGATTCCTTCGCCTTGGGAACGCTGGTCTCCACAACCGACGGCGACGCCTGTTCCGGTTGGGTAGGGACAAAGCGGGCAGGGTGGTTTACACCACTGTCACTGCCGCTACTGTCCTGCTGATCGGCCCAGCGTTTGGAGGTCCCCTCCTTCCTTGCAATGTAGGCAAAGGCCTTAGCCTGCTCGGCCGGGTCCAGCTCATCGACCGGCGGCTTAACCTCTAGGCGCTGCGCCTTTTGGCTACCTCCTGCGGAGAAAAACCGCTTGATCTCAGCCCTGCGCTGGCGTTTGTGAGCTCGTTTACGCTCATATTTTTCGGGATTCAATTGACGATCCCGCTCACGTCGCAGCGCTTTCAACTCTCTCCGCTGTTTGGCCTTTCTGGCCTTTTGCTCGTCCAGTTTCTTGGCACGAGCAAACCGATCTCGGTTATGAATGCGTCGTCTTTCTTTCTCCATTCTGTGCACTTGTGCGCGGGTGGACATGTCTCCCGGCATTGGAGATGCACAAGATGAGAACGACAACTCCGAGATCTCCTCCCACCGTTCGTGGGGATCGTTGGGGTCTGGTCTCTCTGGACTCCCCTCGCTCAAGTCCCATGGTTCCGGGATATGCCTGAGCGCAAAGGCCATCTTTTCTGGCCAATTTGGGTCCTCTTTGGCAATTTGATCTGCCATTCCAGGACCGTACCACCTTTGTATTCTAACCAGTCTGGCGGTGGTTAACCTTTCCCCAAACTGGTCGGCGGCCATCCGCCATCCCTCGTCAAGCTCATCGACGAGATCACTGTGGAACTTTGTCCACATTGCACGGCACGGTGGTTGCCGGCTATATGGATCTCGAGTGTCTGGAACGAACTCCAGCACCCTTGAGCTTTCACCAGGCCCCCACTCTAGCAACGCAGGCCTCCGAGGGCTCCAGTTATGGCCTCCCGGCCTTGGCGGACTTTTTCCGCATACTGCTTGAGCGCTTTCTGTGAGCGACTCATCTCCCGTCCCATCCGATCCACTAGGTGTTCTAATGTGCACCTGGGATTTGAGCCGCAGCTCCGGGATCTTGACCTTCCGGCCTTTTATTCTCTCAATTCGCCCTAAGGCTTTGGCCTCCCGGCCTTGATATGGAGATTTCTCGCTTTCCATCGGCCGCTCACCTGGCGATGGACTCTTCCGCTTGGGGCGCTGCTTGCCAGCAACCTTCCAGTCTTCCTCTGGAATGGTTGGCATGGGCAGCTCCGACGGACTGGGGGCCCTCACAGCTGGCACCACCTGTTGGGCGCTTCTCTCTTCTGCCTCCTGGGCCCGCTGCTTTTGCTTTAGGAGGCGGTCACTCAATGCCTTGACCTGGTCTTCGGCGGAGGTTTTGGCTTCTTGTGCCTCGCGGCTCTGCTGCTTCGCCTTCTTCATGGCCAGCTCTTTCTCTCGAGCTTCTTTCTTGGCCTTATTGACGGCGATCTCCAGTGAGGCGATCCTCTCGGCGGTCTCTTCCTCCCGCTTCGCTCTCGCCTTCTTGGCAGCAGCATCCGCCACTTGTTCCAAGAGCTCCATGATACCAGGGGTCTGCAGCAGCGCCGCCATGGTCCCCTGTTCTTGCTCTTGTTTCTTCTCCGCCGCCGGTGGGGCACTCACTTCCCCCATCGGTTCATCTTCCTCTGCGGGTGGCGGAGTGGCTGTGGAGGGTCCAGCCGTGTCCTCCCGGACTGTTTCACCTCCGTGCCCATCCCGGGCTTTAACTTCACCAACCGAAGTCGGTGCCCCTTCCCGGGGTGTGTCAACCTCTCCCGACGTGTCGGGGGTGCCCTTGCGGGCAGAACTGTCTGATTCCTTGGCCTCCATGGTGGAGGCCGGGGAGGGAGTCCGTTGCTCCGCGCTTGCGCGTCCGCCCAGGCGGAAGCGTGGTAGCCACCCTCAGGTGGCTCCGAAACCAAATGATACGAAAAGTCTGTGGGTCTGGGGCGCCTGCCCTCTTTGAGCCGCGGACCCGCCTCGCCGGGCACCTAGGTCCTTACGGGGACCTAGGCGGGACCACCCCTCCTACTCCCATATCCTTATAAGTATAAGAGTTACCGTAGGACAAGGAATACAATACGATCTTGGGTAGGGCGTCCCCCACACCAAGGGCCAATAGTAGGGCGTCCCCCACACCAGGCCGGTGCGCGTAACAAGGCCGGAACAACTTTGGCGTAAGGGCCGAGCGTAGCGAGGCCTTTAGCCGGAAAACGGGTTTGGCCAAAATGGAGACGCTTAAGGAAAATGATGATTTTGATGATTTTGGCCGCCACATGTAAGAGCGCCTAGCGGCGGCGCCGATTGTAGTTCGATTGTTCTGGAACACTGCCTCTCTGCCTCCTCGAGCGCAGCAGCCGCGCGCCTCGGACGGGACCGCACAGAGCGGCCGTCACCCACGGGTCAGAGAGAGCCCGGGACACGCCGTCCGGCCGAGGATGACCACGCTTCCACAGGAAAGGCCCTAGAGCGCGGGCCAGGGTACCTGGACGCAGCCAAGGGGGGACCGCGCCGACATCGAGTGGCTGGTGCGCCATTCTCAATTCTGGCATCAAGGCATTTTCTCTTGTTTAGTGAGACAATTTCTAGGGGAATTAAAGGCAGCTGTGACCACCGTTGGTGTCATGCTTTCAAGAGCGTATATGGGCCTTGACGTGCCCTTTGTGCACTGGCTTGGCAAGCTACACTGATCAATACCTTGACACCATGTCGATGCATCCGTGCACAACGCAGTGCGTGCGATTGGTTTGAAAGTAACGAGCCATGATGTCAGCCATTGATGTGATGTTGTCATGACACACAACCTGAATGGACAGACTGAATGGATAGCCTGGCCAGAAAAGGGCATCGCTGTCAGTGGCCTGCATATAATTCCATTGCCTTCAGCTCGTTCTTAAACCGCCTCCACCCAACCGCTCCCCCAGTGGCGAGCCAGCCAGCGACCTGTCACCGTCACTAGCACGGTGACTTCAGACTTGTAACTTCAGCCCTCCCACGCCAACCCGCATTCCAGAACCATTCGCTCCCGATTTAAAGAATTGCCCTGGGGAGATGTTGCCTCGATGCGATGCCCCGTGGATGCCACGGAGATGCCCCCCAGCCCCCCCCCACCCCCTTTCCCCCGATTTCCGGCCACCATTCAGTTCAGGTCGACACCCAGCGCCCTCGCTCCCACTCCCCACCCCCCACCCCTCCACGTCCCTTGAGCGCCTGAAACTTCTCTCACGACCCTCGCCGAGGGTATCTGTGCGGCCAGGAGGTGTCAGCCCGGGCCGGGCCCGGCGGAGATCCCGCCCACCCCTCACAGCGCCAGGTCTGGCGTGAGGCGCACGGCGGCATGGAGCTCCTGCACATCGGCTTCAACCAGGACTACGGATGCTTCGCCTGCGGCACCAGCACAGGCTTCAGGGTGTTCAACTGCGACCCGTTCAGGGAGCAGGTGGGTCTGGGTGTGGGGGGGGTGGGGTGCCTGGGTTGTGCTGGGCGATTATTGGCTGGGAGTGGCGTTGTGGGGTGGGGCGAGATTGGTTGCGGGATTGGTGACTTAGGCCTGGCTGTGGGCGTGCGCAGTTCCGGCGCGAGTTCAACAACGGCGGCATAGCCATCGTGGAGATGCTCTTCCGGTGCAACATCCTGGCCATCGTGGGCGGCGGGACGACGCCCAAGTTCCCTCCGACCAAGGCGAGTGGCAGCCGCGCTCCGCCCCCCCCCGCGGGGTCGCGGGGTCGCGAGATCGCGACCCGGCGCGGCGATCCCACGGTCTGGCCCGGAAGCGCGGGAATGATCGCCCTGACGGGATGCCGGTGGGGCTGTCTGGGCGCAGGTGATGATTTGGGACGACGACCAGGCGCGCATCATCGCCGAGCTCAGCTTCAGGAGTCAGGTGCGCCGCCCGGCCCGGGCTTTGGGGGCGGGGCGGGCCACGCGCGAGGGGCGCTCCACAGCAATCGGAGGTTCTGAGGGTGTCCTGGCGAGTTTGCTGGCTTTTTCAGGCATGCCCGTGCTGTGGATGGACTCTTTGTGATGCCCAGCACAGATGACGTCCGGGGAGTCCATGCGCCCACCCGCGGCCTCCCCGCCCGGCCACCCGCTCCAAGGGAGCCCACAGACGGGCGGATTCCACCCAGGCTCCCCAAAAGTCCAGACTGGCCAATTGATTAGTGCCAATCTCTGTTCCGGTTAGCTTGGAAACTGCGCTGCTATGTGCTGTTTGCTTCTTCCTGTTGCATTCGGCGACTGCTGCATCGTCGTCAACAGCAGGGAAACGGGTACCACAAGAGTCCTTGTTCAACAGGCGTGCCTGCATTAGAAACATTTCTGGCCACCCTTCAGAAGACGGTGACACCCAATCTTGGCTGTGTTTGTGGACTGACGTTCTTTCCACCTTTTGGCTGGTAGGTTCGGGCAGTACGACTGCGGAAGGACAGGATAGTCGTTGTGCAGGAGCACAAGGTGTCCGTGTACAACTTTGCCGACCTCAAGCTGCTGCACTCCATCGAGACTGTGGCCAACCTGAAGGGGCTTGTGGCACTGTCATCCCAGGCAGACGTGACGGTGCTGGCATGTCCTGGCCTCCACCCAGGAAAGGTAAACTTGCTGTTGCCAAAAGCAGCCCGGGCCTTGATTATTCCTTTGTCACATTGTTTGCCTTTGCAGAGCGATATGGGGACCTTGCACATTGCGGCGGACCCAGACACTTCAACATTCTTTTTATGTTGTGATGCGTAAACAGGTGTTAATGGTGGTCGCGTTTTGGATAGTCTGCACTTGAGTCGTTCTGAATATCACCTTGCAGGTGCAGGTTGACGATTCGTTTCTGACAAATGAAAGTGAAGGATATCACTGGTATCATTTTGTTCCACAACACGCATTCTTGGCTGCCTTCCTCATCGTAGCACAATCATCCAGTGCTCACTGCTGTTGCCCGCCTCGCAAACTCACATCCTGCTGAGAATAGGAACATGCAGGCTTTACGCAGCCTTTGTGTTGTGTCTGCTCTCTTTGCCCGCATGCTTGTGTGCTCCGTAATTGCGCTGTGTTCAGGCAGGTTCGTGTTGAGTTGTTCGACCGCCGACAGACAAAGTTCATCTCAGCACACACTTCGCACCTTGCATGCCTCGCCCTTGCTCTGGACGGGCGGTTCCTGTGTACAGCCTCTGAAAAAGGAACCTTGGTGCGTGTGTGGAGCACAGCAGATGGAACCCTACTGCAGGTGAGTGCTGATGTCCAGCAGGTCCCAGCAAGACAGGTTATGTAGTACATTGACTCAGCATGCATAACATCAATGGATTTGTACATAATGTGTACATCCTTTTATTGCATCTGTCACAGCTGACAAACATGTGCAGCAATCGCAGTGGCGATGATCAAGATATGTTGAGCTGTGCACCAATCTAGCAAGGCTGCATCACATTACAGGTGAAAGTACATCGTTTTGTCACATTAAATGAATGGAACATTTCACCTCACTGACTCACACAATACGATTCCAAACTTGAGGCTGAGAAGCCTATTCAGGATGAGTCAACTACAAACGCTTCCGAAGAACGATAATCTGCTGAAGGCACGCTGCTCTCCGACTTCAGAACGTCAGGCAGCAATGGGTTTTGCTGCTGCAGCTTCTGCACATTTCAATCTTCTTTGTGGAGCAGTGAAGAGAGAATTATCATACAGGTTAAGTTGTATTTGCACACAAGATGTCGTTGGTGTCAATGCTACGCAGTGGAAATTGTGCAGGCTCCTGCTCGTCCTGATTTGCGCCCATTCGATGCAGGAGCTGCGACGAGGGTCAGATGCTGCCGCAATCTACAGCCTGTCCCTGTCAAAGAACTGTGAATGGCTGGCTGTGTCCAGTGACAAGGGCACTGTCCATGTTTTTGCACTGAATGATGCCCTGAGGAAGGGAATCGAAGAGCCGACACGACAGCGTGTCAACGGAACAAATGGGGATGCAAACACCTCTCAAGCAAACCCCACATCAATGCTCTCAGTCGTTAAGGCAGGTGGCAGTGTGCACTGGCTCGGCATTGGATGGGACATCTCACAACCAGGTTTCCTTGGTTTTCTGCTGAGCATGTGACTGTTGGAGTCAGATTGTTGTTAGCAGCCAGGACATTCCACCAAGGTCTCAAGAAGTGGGCTGTTCCACGAACTCTTGGCTCTCATTGGCCCTGGAAGACCTGCCACTGGGCTGTCATCTGATACCTCAAGGGTTATGAGTTTCTTGCTGTTTTCATTTATGCACTGTGCCATCCTGCCTGTTGAACAAAGATATGCCAAGATGGCATCCTTAACTTGTTTCCTTAGCACTGGAGTGTTGCTAGGTGCCTTTGGAGTGTAGTTGCTTTTGGCACTGTGGCAAACTAGACCCTGAGTGGAGCCGAACCGTGGCCAGGAGATCTAAGCATGGTGCCCCATGGCTACCATATGCTCGATTCCCAGTGACAGTGACACGTGTGCAGGATGAATCCAACTCTGTTGCACCCAAGTGAAGCTTGGGGAGCTCCAAGCTCTGGACTTTAATCTAGGTTTCGAATCACACCATGACAGGCAGCCTCGTGTCGCATTGGCTTCATGTGCATAGCTCTGGGATGGGAGCAAGCTGACTCATAAGCAACTTTGTGTGCTGTTGTTGCTACCTGACGAGATACCGTGGCTGACTGTGGTTGCCCCAGCTTTGACACTGCAGAGCAATATGTGCAACATTGCAGTATGTGTTGTGTTCCTTTAGTGCTCCACGGCAGCAGTGTCAACAACATCATCCTGGCACACAAGCCAACAGCGATCTTATTTCCTGCGACTGCTCTTGACGCACAAACTGATCTGTCAACAGTTGTTGGGTTTGATTGCTCTATTGACTTGTTGCCACCAGGGACTGGTGCCATTGCCAAGCTACTTCTCCTCGGAGTGGTCCTTTGCACAGTTCCGGCTGCAGGAGGAGAGCTACGCCATTGTGGGCTTCGGCCCCCAGGCCAACACTATCCTGGTGGTGAGCTCACGGGGGTCGTTCTTCAAGCTGTCGTTTGATCCCGTCAAAGGTGGGCCATGTACCCAGCTGTCGTACTGCAGCTTCATAGACCTGGAGGCCGCCCAATGACGACTGGCGGAGTGCAAACTGCCTTTCTCAGGATGGTCGTTGGGCGCCGCTCAAACTCCGAATTTATTTATCACTGGGCCGCGCACACGCCTCCCACATGCTGACTGGCCTCTTCTCTGCGTCAGTCTCTGCAAGGGCTGTGTGGCGTGGCTCAATCGAATGATGCCCAGGGCCAAGGGCCAGTGAGGGCACCATTGGTTGCGCCCATGGGTATATCTGGTGCGTATGTAGGAGGGTGATGCCGATCGCTGATCGAAACGGGCTGATCGGTTGTTCGGCGTTTCTAGTGGCCAGTGAGGGGTTGGGGATGGGCACGGGCACGGTCGCAGGGCTTGGATTGGAAAGCGGGGACTCTTGTGATATTTCATTCTGCTGGGCGCTGCCTTGGCTGGGCGGCGCGGCGCGTCACACCTCAATGTAACAATGTAACATTGTCCTTTAATTCATTTGCGGAAGCCAGTTTTGGCGTTTGATGGTCGCCATGGCCCCAGATCATGGCGCATACCTGCATTAATTACGTTTCTGACAGCATTCATTGCTGTTGTTGCTGCGTTCTTGGCTATTTTGAAGTATTGATGGTTAGTGCTTCGCCATTCGCGAAGGAAAGACTGCGATGATGCTGCACGTGCACAAGGAGGACAATGAATGACGGGAGACGACCCAGTGTCCAAGAAGCACTGCGTATTTGACGTCGTCCGGGTCACATGGAGTGTATCGTGCAAACCATCCTATGTGGTCAGTCTCCTGTGCTTCTGTGTGTGTGTGTGTGAATGTGAATACAGTGTTAAAGAAATGAACAAAAGGCAATGCAAGGTCTGCCTTCCCAGGGTGGACCTACGCGTAGGTAACGTCATCCATCGCCGAGTGGGTGCCTCTATGTGCTCCCGCGAGCGAGAGTGAGTGGGTGCCAGCGCTGCCCGTCGCAAGCACGATGAGGACCAATATGATGGCATGGCGGTCTCCATGGGGCGAGGATTTAATGGCTTCGGCATGAAGGCCAGCGATGCACAACCCAAGATTTCAGCTCTGGGGCTGGCCGACTGCCCATGCGCAGAACAGGTCACGGAGCTTCCCTCCTCCGCGCCAGGGGTCTCTCTGTTAAAGGGCGCAGGGCACGGCGGGCCGACATGCGTCACAAACAAATCAGACAACAAAGAAAGAACGGATTACGCGGCCGATTTTTTTTTCCGAATATCCCCCTCAACGACAACAGAAGTCCGCCCCCAAATGATCGTATTTTCGGCCTCCCCGCCCATCCGCGCCCAGGACGGGCCAGACGTCGCCGCTCCCCGAAGCGCCTGCCAGCACCGCGCCCCCCATCCCGCCCCGCCCCACCGAGCCCGGGACGGTGCCGCCCAGGAGGTGCTGCGCCTGAGGCGCGGCGAGGCAAGGGCCCCTGAATCGGTCCGCGCCTCATCAGGGGGCGTTTTGAAGGGCTGCAAGATGGAGCAGCATGGCAACAAGACGACGTTCAACATGGAGAACGTGCTGCGGCAGAACATCATCAACTCGGAGTACTTCAGGGACACGTGCATGAAGCTGGGCAGCTGGGAGGAGATAGTGGACGAGATCTACTACAACGTGGACCACGTCGAGCCGTGGATGAGCGGCAACGCGCGGGGCGCCTCCACGGCCTTCTGCCTGCTGTACCGCCTGTTCATGATGAAGCTGACCGTCCGGCAGGTCAAGGAGCTGATAATGCACAACGACTCGGTTTACATAAGAGCGGTGGGTGCGGGGTTGGGGCGCGCGGCGGTGTGCTGCCGCTTGTGGCTTTCGCGTGGGGTTTCGGCTCCGCCATGGAAGGGGGTCCTGTCGCCAGTGCTTGTGTCGGTTGCCTGGGCGGAGCGGTTGCCGGATCGCTAGTTTTAAACCCCAGGGGTGGGTGTCGAGAATGCCTTGCCGGCCGGAGTCTCCCTGCACAGCGCCGCGCCGCACCGACAATTTGAGCAGCTCCCTGACATGTGCCCCGTGCTTGCGCCGCCCAGATTGGCTTCCTGTACCTGCGCTATGTGGGCGACCCCAAGACACTGTGGAGCTGGTACGAGCCGCATCTCGAGGATGATCAGGTGGGGGCCGTCAGTGGGGAGGCAGCAGGCGTGGACGGAAGCGCCTGTGCCACTACTTGTGCGGGGCCCTCGTCTCCTGCTCGCGCAGTGCTGGGGCACATGATTGTGCGTTTCAGTGTGGGTTGCTGTGCCTAGCGCAACTGTTTTGAGGCCCTCGTTGTCCGTGTTTTGGGGGCTGCTTTCCTGTTCCGTGCCGCCCAGCCTGCGGAGCTGATTGTCTGCCACCGAACCAACAATACTTGCTGATGGCAGGCTCCTTCCCATATCATTCCTGCTTGTTGTCAGCCCCATGTGTGCCCTCAGCGAATGCAACAGAGTAAGGAGGTACATACAATTGGCACACAGGCAATGTGGACGTGGCATGTCCAGCATCACCAGCCAAGTTGCTTGAGCCCATGTCGATCTGCAGCACAGCAGAGGCTGACTAACACGAGTTTTGGTGCTCATTGCCCATCATGCCCATTGGTTGTGTGCCTGACTACAGGAGATGAAGCCCAGTCCTTTGGGGAGTGCCATCACCTTGGGCGACTTTGTGATCGATATCTTTTTAGGTCAGGTGAGTACTCGCTTCCCATTCTTTTGTTGGCTGACACTTGCAGCAGGACCTGGGGGCAATGCCATACCAGCAACCACTGCAGGCTCTGTGAGGGGGCAGCACCCACACATCAGGCCAAACCCTATGCTGACTGCTTTCTTGCAGCAGAGGACTCCTCTCGCACAGGCCGGGTAGGGCCCCTCGTGGTGACCCACCGGTGAGGATCCCACGTTGCTGCCGCTGCTGCCGTTTGTGGCCTTGCTGTCAAGCTGCCTCTAATGTGTTGCTGTTTACACTCTCACCCCAGGTGGCCCTGCTTGTGAGTGGCATGCCTGAGACCGGCCGCAGACACGGTGTCATGCGTCGCCATTGTTGTGGCTGTGTGAAAGCGTGCTTCCCTTCCCGCCGCACAGACGGCGACAGTAGATCCAAGGAAGGCAAATAAGAGTGTGTATGTGTGCGTGTGCACTTTCTGCAGTTGTTGTGCACATGGGGCTCCTGTTCACTTCCTGGCCCATGCCTGCCACAGGGCTGTCCTGATGGCTGTTTCCGAGAATCTTGGATAGTTCTGATGTGAGATTGGGCTGCAGGGTTGATGGTGGTTCTCATACCGATTGCCTTCTGGGGGCTTTTAGACAGTCGAAGTAATGACTTGATTGGTTCTCAGCCGTCTTGCTTAGCGTGAGTTGATTGAGAAATGGCTAAGCTGAAGCCCTGAGTGCTCCTCTGCACAGTTGATGTGCTCTGTTGTGACTGGCCTCCCCAACTGACCCTGTCATTCCGTCCTTTGCTTGCTGACATGCTGAACACATACATTTGGGATGTCGAGCAGTACTATTTTGAGACAATCTTCCCAAGGGTGCCCAAGAAGGTCATGGATTCGTGCATTGAGAAGCTCCGCGGCAGGAACCTGCGCACGGAGCCCAAAGGCAATGGTGGTGCTGGTGGGGCCGACAGGCGGGGTGTGGATGAGCCCAACAGGCGGCCTGCGTCTGTTAAAGCATCCCTGTCTGTGGCCTTTGGGCAGAGAGCGCCGAACCGGTCGAATGCTCGTGAGGATGGCCGTGCGAGGGACCCGTCCCTCTGGGCTTCAGACAGCCGTAAGGGCAGGGATGACAATCGCGGGAAGGAGAGGAGGTCGAGGTCGAGGTCGAGGTCGATTGAGAGGTGAGTAGGAGGGACTTCCCTGTGCTGAGAAATGAGTTCTGGTGGATGTGAGCTTGAATTCCTTGCATGGAAAGCGATACCAGAGTGGAGTCGTGGCTGGCATGATGGATACTGACTGCTTGGGGCCAAACATGCCTGCCTGAATGGACGGTACCTTCCACTGGAAGAAACCACCATCCAGGAAAGTGTTGTCTGCCCCAGGGCATTGACTGGGTCAGTTGAATGGGAAGAGATAAACAGCTCTTAACCTGGCACTGCAGGTAATGTCTCAACTGCCAGTGAAGCAGTTCCCTGCGATCCTGCGTTTTGTTGTCAACGCGAGTCTGAGAAATGCTCATTAAGTTGTGGCTTTGCCCAACCTGAAAGTTCAGAATAATGCCATCAATGCGGAGAGGAGCCTGGTTGGTGCACGTCAATTGTACTGACTGCTGGATGCGGTATGTTTATTGCCACCACAGTTACGTCCCAGGTGTCTCTCTCCAAGGCAGGTGCAGCGTGGCACTGGTCACAGAAATACGTAGCAAGGAGGATGGTTGGGAGTGATGCAGCATAGAGAGTGTTGCCTTGTGCTGAACCTACCTGGCGATGCTAAGACCTCCATCGGCTTTGCCAGCCTCTGTGCCAATTCTGTTGATCACACTTGTCAAGATGACATGGCAGAGTCCTTTGTCCTGCATATCGATGTCAGCAGCTGGCACACCCCACTGCCATTTTTCCCTTCTCTTGCCATCCCCCGAGTCCACGTCCCCAACCACCAGGTGGTGCCAGTCTAGCATTTCTTGCATCAGGGTCGGGCTGGCACCTGGACTCTGAAATGCGATGCAACAGGTTGGAATCCAAAAACTTGCTGTTTTTTGTTTTTTCTTTTCTTTGTTTCTTCCCTTTTTTCTTTTGTTGTTCTTTCCTTTCTTTGGTGTTCTGTGCTTTTGCTGTTTTCTTTTCTCTTGATGCCATTTTCTTTGCATCTGTCCTCTCGTTTGACATTTTCGTCCCTGGCGGCAGGTTCCGGAAGGCGCACAAGGACCAGCGCGAGCGCGAGCGCCCGCACCAGCGCCGCGAGCGCGAGCGCCGGCACTCCCGGTCCCGGTCCCCTGCGCGGCCCCGGCATCATCACCACCGCCACCAGAGCCGGGACCGGGACCGCGACCGCCGCAGCCGCAGCCGCGACAGAAAGCGCGATCGGGGCAGGGAGAGGGATCGCAGGCGCGGCAGCCGGAGCAGGTCGCGGGGAAGGGGCAGGCGCAGCCGGAGCGGGGAGAGGCGGAGGGGTGAGAGGGGAGAAAAGCGGGACGTGCGGGACGTGTTCAAGGAATCCGCCCCCCTGGTGCGGGAGGCGGACCTGAAGGTGGTGTACGGCAGCTGAGGGGCCACGCCGGGCGGCCGCCGGTTTGCGAGGTTGGTGGACAATTTTGAGGCCGACTTTTTATACTTTTGGCATTCTTTGGTTCGGGGGCGGCCCACCAGGGGCGGAGGGAGTTGGGCGTCACTCGCTGGGGCACGACGGGGATGGATTGTAATGCGAAAGGTGTCTGAGGGGTGCGGGGTGTGCCAGGACAGTGTGGGCGTTTTTGAATGCCGCGAGTTGCGCCTTGTGAGCGTGTCCTTGGACACAGTGTGGCGATGTGTGGTAATGGCATTGCATGCCACAACCGAACGATGGTGGCCAAGTGGCATGCGTTGGTGAAATTGGCACCACCCCACCCCTCCCACTCCACCCCATAAAATGTACCTCGGCCAAGGGTGTTGCAGATACCTAACAGAATGTCGCAGGGTATTTTGACACATGAGTGATAAGATCGACATGGCAGTGATGGGTTGTTGATTAGTGACTCGGCGGTGGGCCCTGGCGTTGCACTGGACAGCCTTCAGGCGACCACTGCCACCTTGGGCCTGGGCACAAGACACTAATTGGAACCACGGGCAAAGAAAGCGGGTTGCAATGCAGGTCGTGGTATCAGTGCACGTCCATGTGGAGTTTCGAAGAGCGCCTTGACCCAGCATAGTGCGGGCAGTGTTGGTGGGATTTTCTGACTGTCTGTCAGTCACTTTCTCAAGGGATGGAATCATATTTGTCGGACACCACGTTTTCTGAAGTCAACACTGTTCCTCCAGCCAAATTTGCCATCTTCAAATTCCACGGGGTCGTGTTTTGACCCTATCTCTTCATCTCATTCTTCGGTTGGTTCTCATCTTTCTGCCTGAGAAGGGCACGTCCAGCCTGTATCAGACCCGCTGCATTGCCAGAGTGTGAACAATGTGCGGGCGGCCATGGTAGGCGTCCTGACCACGCAGGGAGGGGGAGGCTGGCAAACGCCCCCTTGGAGACTAATGGCGTTGTTATGGGACGATGCCCGGTCTGAAGTTGAAGTGGAGCTGCAAGGAGCAACAGACACTTGCACTGGGTTGTGGACGAGCACTGTGTCGTGAAGGCGAACTGTCTAAGAATGCCCTGGCGCACTGTGCTCCTGGCTGCGCGGAGCATACAGGAACGTGTTGGTGAGGCCGTGCCTCGCACAAGCCGTGGGACTTGAGGAACCCCTGGGCTCATGTGCCGAAGGGCGTAGGAGCAGGAGGAATCATAGAAACTGAACGCGTGGCTGGAAATTTGATGGTCATGACGTTGAAGCACTCAACTGTCTCCGATTTTTTTGTCGGTGTGCCAACGCCGCTTGAAGCGCTTTTCCCCGTGTGTTACTTGTGAACAAGTGAAGAGACTGTCCGTCACCAAGCAGAGAAGCAAGGGTTGCGCCGAAATTGTCGACGTCACGAACTTTCTTCAAGAAAGTTTGTTTTTGCAAAAGTTTTGCAAGGAAGTTTCTTTCAGTGCAAGACGTGTGCAGGAATTGCACACATCCCGCGCACAAGACTTGCACACATTGTAATTCCACGGATCCCGTCATTTGCAAATGATCCGTAATTAAGGTTCTGACTGACTTACGCTTTAAGCCGTTCGGGCCATTTACGGATGTTTTGCCGCCCACGATCGTGCGTTGGAGCCCGGAGCTGACGGCTACCTCATCGACTACTTGTGTAAAATTGAATGAAGAATGATGACCATGCGCCGTCCGAGTGTGAGCTGCAAAGACCCCCCCTAGACCGATTCCCCCTCCGCCACGCCAGCTATCGCACTCCATGTGCTCCGCTTGGTGGGCCGGAGGCGCGCAGTGCGCCAACCGGCCTCGGCCGCCCCCCTCCGCCCTCTCGTAGCCCAACGCCGCAGCCCTGCACACAGCGGCGCGCCACTGCTCCGACACCCGATACTCAGCGCCGACACCCGGTGTCATCCCGACGCGCACCCCCGGTGCTGACAGCGGCCGCCGCGCCCGATCTGCCTGAGCCGGAGATCCCATCCCGAGGTCGCATCCCGAGGGTCGGCTCGGCGGCGGCCATGGGCGATACGGAGCAGGTCCGCGTCGCGATCGACCTCTCGTCCGACGGGGCCAGGGTTCAGATCGATGCCGAAGGGGGGGATGGGCGCCGGAGTTTAGGTACCGGGCCGGTCTTGGGGGATCGCGATGCCGTGGCAGGGCCGGAGGCCCGGGGACCGTCTCCGGGCGATGGCGATCAGAGCCCAGTGGGCGACGACGGGCATGAGACGAGCAGCAGCAGCTACGTGGTGGTGGAATCCGGCGGGAAGGATGGTGACAGCCCGGTGTGGAGGCGTGATGCGGAAGGAGGCATGGGCGAGGAAGCATGGGGGAGGAGGCATGGGGAAGGAGTCGCGGGCGCGGGCGAGGGGGAGGCGCCTGTGATCACGCGGATTGAGCTCTCCAGCGTGCACCTGTCTGATGATGCGGGCAGCAGGTCGGACGAGATGAGCCCCGGCTGGGTGGATCCCCAGGCGGTAAGGGCGCGGGGGGATGGGGTGGCTTTTGCTGGATCGGCGGCGCCGGCTTCGGCCGGGATGGCGCTGAAGGTCGAGCGGGGGGGGGACGAGGCCCTGCGGGTGGCCACGGACGCGCTGCAGGAGGCGGAGATGCGGAACAGCCTGCGGCACGAGCGGTCGAGGTCTAGGTCGTCCAGCCGGTCGTTCACGGGGTCGGTGGAGGGCGGGGAGGGCGGCGCCCCTGCGGGGGGTGAGGGGGCAGCGCCCCAGGGCCTGGCGGAGATCCCGCTGATCAGCCAGGCCGGCCAGCCGTTCGAGGGCCTGCTGCACTGCGACACCACGGACAGCGCGGGCCACCCGGTGGTGGTGGTGAACACGGGCGCGCTGCCGCGGGTGCCCTTCGGCGCCGTGAGGGCGCGCACGGCGGCGCTGAACTACATACGGGACGCGCTGGAGCCGGTGGTGGAGAGGGGACCCTACGTGCTGATCTTCACGTCGTTCCAGGTGGGTGGGATTGGATGGGAAGGAGGAAGGGGAGAGAGGGTTCCCATCAAATTGGGTTCCCTTTCATACAAAGGTTTCGACTTTACAAGTCATGCCCCCATCCGTGGTATGCCCAGAGTGTGTGTCCCACTTTTGCTCCGCCCTTGAAGGCAACCCATGTACAGCCCCAGACAGCCCCAGACACACACAGGAGAAGCGGGCCATGCACCTGCATGCAACTGCAGCATCTCTCTGCAGTTCAGAGAAGATTCTCCTGCGCACTTGCTTGGGAGGGGGTGCACTTTGTGACCTGTTCAAGGTGGGTGGGGTGGTGCCTGGGGTGTAAGATGGCTGGGTGGGCCAGCAGTGCAATTGATTGCGTTGTTGAAGTTTTGGGTGACATCGCTCTTGCCCTTGTGAGGCGATGGGGCACATGGGGCCAAGCCGCAGAGACAGATTGCGGAGCCTTCAAGCAGACGTTCGCTCAATGCTGAGGTTTAGTGTTTAGCTTACTGTCCTATTAGCTCTTGTCATGTGCATTCATTGGAACCTTTACAGGAAGGTGAATATGTACAAAGTCCATCCGTGCTGTTTCTGGGTTTAGGTACCAAACATGGGCCGTGCACCTCTCAGTGAATTTTTGGCAGGTAGTGATGGCTTGTGACACAGTGGCGCCTCGAATTCCTGTAGCAGTGGATGGCCCTAAGCTGGACCACCTTGCTAGGCGTCCTGTGCTGCAGTCTCGGGTCATAATCCCCAGCTTTCTTAAGCTCTCCTTGAAGCAAGGGCAGCTTGAGCATTGGGATCTCCTGCTGTGCTGCGCACATTGGAAAGCTGGATTGTGTCCTCTGTGGTTGGCAGTACATTCACACTGTCATCTTTTTGCTCCAGCTCTGAACGTTCACCTTTATGATTTAGGGTTTCAGGCCGCTCCAACCACTAAGGAGGCCATGATTTCAGCACGAAAGTGCAGCACTGTGCGGCACTCATTGGATGGCCCATAATTCAGTGTGAATAGCCAACATGAAAGAAAGCATCTGTTTGGCTTGTGATCTTCATCTATGGGCTGTCTCGCAGGTCTCATCCCTGTCTCAGGTGAATACTGCTTGGGTTGTGAGCGCCTACAGGAAACTAACCAGACCCTTCAAGAAGAACGTCAAATTCATCGTCCTTGTCAGGCCCAGCCTTTGGCTCAAGGCCCTGCTAAAGGCAAGTGACTGAGGCTCGTTTTACAACACTGTCAACGCCTGAACTGTGTACTGCCTAGCAGATCAAGCCAGAGGCAATGTGCAGCCATTACCCTTGCCTTGGCAGATAACTGAGCATGTGAAGACTTAAAGTATGGGATGTGTTGGGAATGCCTCTCTGCAACAAGGTTCTTTGACACTCTTCTCCATCTTGTACAAATGGTGCGCGCATCGCCAGAAAATCCAGTGGTGTCCAAATATGTTGATGCACAAAAATTTCGCACGAGCACACGACGGTGTCAAAATGATATGCAAGGTCGATGGCGGGTATCAGCGTGTTCTTGATTCCTATTTTTGTTTGGCCCTGAAGGTGATGGGGATGGTGGTGAAGCAGAAGGCCAGGAGGAAGGTCAAGATCGTCAGGTTCCTTGAGGACATGGCCCTGGCCACTGGTGGGGAGGTCTCTGTGGAGCACCTTGGCACATCGGTGCTCAAGGCGCTCGAACATGCAAGAGAAGTAGCTGCCGCAGCATCCTGATTCACTGATGCCCCACCCAACACCACCCTCCTAGCCCACCATTTCGTTCCCACTAAGCTCCGTGTTGCCAGAACCATAATCCATCCATACAAGCGTGGCTTGCGCTGCTGGAATGCTTTGATGGCATGCACAGCAAGTATGGAATCTGGAGCCGTGGGAGGTTATCCAAATGATCCAGATCGAGGAGCAGAAGCGAGAGGAACTGCGTCCATGACTTTTGTGGTGGTTTGTGGGTGGGATGCAACCTTGGGTTTGCCGAGCCGCTTGGGGATGTGCAGTGTAGGTTTCGAAGCATCTGGCTTGGGGATCGGGACGAACGGGTTAGGAATAGGGGTACCATAGGAATGGCGGGCTAGGGATAGGGACGTGCACCGGGGTTTGCTTGGTCGCACTGATGAGTACAGTCCTAGAGACGCTGCCACCACTGCACGACTCTGTCCATTTACAGAGTGTGGTGCATGACGGATACTCCGCAACTTACTCATTCAAGTGCGGACTAAAGCCATGCGAATGACATGTCTACACGCGCGAAACGGCTGTTGCAATGCGTGATAATTCGCTGAACACCGTTTTTCTGCGCTGGAAGTGTCGGGCATATGCGCCCGAGTGGGCTGTGCCCATACCTGGCCAAGGGCCCAGGCGATATTCCGATGTCGTCACTGCACACGTTCCTCTGTGAACGAGTCATTCGTCGCCCCCCCCCAAAAGAAGCGGAGGCACCTGCCTCCTGTGCGCCACCGTCCCAACCCACCCTGCGTTAATGTCTTTGCGGTCAAACCGACCGTACTATCCGCCAATGAGGTAGTATTTTCGACCCTGTGCCCAGGGAAATAATATTACTGCCTGCACCAAATCGGTGACTGCTTGCACCAAGTCACGTGCACACTTTGTCCTAACCTCAATTTTAGGGTTAGGTTTAGTTTCAGGGTGAGTTTTAGGGTTAGGGTTAGGGTTGGGGTTAGGACATGTTTATGTTCAGGTTTTAGGGTTTAGGTTTTAGGTTAGGTTAGTTTGGACGGAGTTGGACATGATGTGCACGTGACTTGGTGCAAGCAGTCACCGATTTGGTGCAGCCAGTAATTTTATGCCGTGCCTAGGGCATCAATGCTTATCCGCAGCGGACCGATGTGACCCACGTTGGGGGCTGTGGCCCCGCCCTCTGGCCGCCGAAGATGCCCGTGCAACACACAGGCGCGATGACGCCCTGGGACCCTATCCGCAAGCTTTGACAAAGGCCACCCGCCAGACATGCGGACGCCAACCAAACCCCACAACGCACGGCACGTGGGCGTCAGTAATTTATCCCACCCCCCACCAGTGCGACCTTTCATAACGGTCACTGCCCACTCGCGTGTTACCCAACACCACGGTCCCCCAGAGGTCCAGATTTCGGCTTCCAGACCGACAGGGTTCGGTGAGGGGCTTCCGAATTGGCATCGCATAGGCGCATCGGAAGCGGGGGGTGTTGGATCAGGGCGGCATGACTACCGGCCGGCGGAGCCGCCGGACATAAAAGGGCCCAGCGGCCGACGCGCCACCGCCCCGTGCCCCGCTCAGGCGCCCAGTGAGCTTGGAGACGCCGGCCGGCGACCGCCGCGCCTCCCAGGGGGGCGCCAGCCCTGGCGCCACGCCCGCCCGCCCAGGCCTCCGCGGAATAAGCGGCCGAGAGGCGGAGCTGGTGGACCCCACGGACCACACGCGGGCCGACCTCCTGCGACGCGCGCCACCCCGCGAGGTCGCCGATCGGCGCCTGCACGCTTGCACGACGCTCGGCGCTGCAAGCCGCCCGGATCGGCGCTCGGCGCCCGCGGACAGCCGACCGGTCGGCCGATCAGGTGAGCGCTGCTTGGGGGTGGTTTGGCCGTTGGCGGAACGGCCGGGCGACTGGTGGCACGGTACGACGGGGTCAGTTCACCGCCCGGCCTGTGCGGTGGTCGGTGTCTTAGAGAGCATCCGGCCGCCTGTGCGCGGGCGAGCGGCGTCCTGGCTTGGCGCGCCCTTTTCCTTTGCCACACAAAAGGGGGTTGCGGCGTGGGGGAGCGGGAGGGGTAAAAACGGGGACCGACCAACGCTGGGGACCGTGGGAGATATATACATCTGTGAACGCGCCTCCGCGCTCACCAAGGCACCCCCCGCTTGCGCCTTCGCGCGCCGCCCTCGCGGGCGCCCGCCGCGGCGCCGACGCCGCCTTATCCATAGATCTAGACGATGTGGCGCATGCGTCAACTTCACCGCCATCGGGGACGCCACGGCTGGACCGCGATCCCCACTCCCAATGCCCCGCGCTTTTGCCGCTGCAAGCCGCTCCCCCCGCCCGCCCCCACCCCGCCATCGACTCCCCCACCGGCCTTCGCCGCCCCCACCCGTCGGCGCGTCATCCCTTGCGCCGCTGGCGGGGCAGCAGGGCGTGACGGGTGACGGGTGGGGCCCACTCACTTGATTCGCCATAATGTGCGGTCATGCGGCGCGCTCAACCGAATTTTGAGCCCATTTGGCCCCCCCCATGTCGGGCCCGCGGGCCGAGGCGGGTGGTGCCCTGCCGCGAGGTACGGCGGGACATGCTGTACTGCCAGGGACGGGTTGCTCCCAGTGGGCTTCCTGGTGAGCCCGGGCGTGGGGGTGCGGCTTCTCGGCCGCCCTTGCCCAATGGTCCAGCCTCATCCGTAACTCTCTGGCTGCCCGGCGGTGTTAAACACTTTCAAGGAGAGACTGTTTGCCTCGCCCTCGAGGAGGTAAGGCGCCGCCTGGGGGATCAGATAACGTCACGTCGGCGCGAAGTCCCTGGCGATCCCAGCGGCGCGGGGGGCGCCCAAGACTGCGGCCCCTTCACGGTAGTTGTAGTACGAGGGGCTTGTAGTACCGGGGCCAAGGGTCCGTGGGACCGATGGGGAGGGTGATGGCCGGGGGAAGTCCTGGGGAGGGGCTGGGCTTCTTCACGGGCTCTCCTCGCTTCCTCCTGAGCCGCGCAGGAGCCGGTGGGTTGGGCCATAGGGTCCCGGGAGCCGAGCGCCGGACCACCGAGCGGCGGGGCAGCCGTTCGGGCGGGCTTTGGCGGCGACCCCCCCACCCCAAGTGGTCACCTCTCCGCCCTGTGGCTGCAGGATTGTGATGCCATTTGCGTGAAGAGCTGCTGGGGATGGCGCGCATGAGCACGTCGGAAGGCGGCCCGCTGGAGGCAGAGGGCCCCCCCCGGATCCGCGCGAGCCCCGTGGAGTCCGTCCTGGGCTGCTTCAAGTTGCCCTCCTGCTACAACTGCAGCCGCGTGGACCTGGAGCTGCGCGCGCGCTACCCCTGGGTGGCCGACAGCGACAAGAGCGGGATCGAATCCGTCGACGACGCCATCTTCCGGGCCTCCGACACCGCGGGGCCGGCGACGCCGTCCGTGAACTCCCTGGGCTCCGGGTCGCTGTCCTCCGCGGCGCAGGTGATGCCCAAGCTCCTGGGCCCGGAGGACTGGCCGGTGCGCCAGCCGGCCTTCCCATGGGAGGGCTTCCCGCCGGCGCTGATATTCGACGAAGGCACCCCAGTTCGGACCGCCCCACCGGTGCTCGACCTCAGCGGAGCGTCGGAGATCGAGGAGTGCCCATCGACGCCTCCCATCGCCGACGCCCCCCCCGCCGCCCCCTCCCCGACGAACGGGGCCGCCCCCTCGCCGTCTCCCCGCGCCATGCGGCAGCCCCGGGCCATCAGGACCGGACGGACGTGGATCGAATCGACGGAGTCGTCCGCGGGCGCTTGTCGCGTCGGAGGATCGACCAGGGCCCGAGGAGACGAGCCTTCCGTCCGCGACGGCGCAGCGCGGCGCGATCACAAGGGCGGAAGTCGGTCGACGGAAGGCGGTTCGGGAAGGCAGATGATCAAGGGCGCCAGCCAGACGGTAGAACTGGGGCCGGTGCTGCCGGACGGGGACCGGTTCGACCCCTTGTACGGGGCGGACCGCAGGGCGCCGCTGCCAGCCAAGTCGGTGAAACTGTTCGTCAAGCACGACCACAAGCCCACGTGGCCTCACCCCGCCCCCCCCTCCGAGGCCTCCGCGCTGTACATGACGCGCCGCAAGAATAAGCACCCCAACCTCCAAGTCCAGATCCAGGCCCAGGGGCCCAGCAGGTGGGTGTCTGAGGTCAGACGGGCGGAAAAGAACATCAGGCGCACGCTGGCCATCGAGGCCGGGGGCGAGGATGCCGGCCGCCAGTCGCGAGACAGGGACCGCACCGGACGGGATGCCGAGCGCGCGACGGAGGCCGCGGCTGGGGCCGCCCGGCCGCGCGGCAGGAAGTGCGAGAGCCTGGACGTGCGGCGGACGTGCGACGTGATCGACAGCTCCAAGTCGCTGCACACGCTGCTGGCAGCGATGGACATCGCCAAGGCCGTGGCGTCCAGCCGGTGCTCGACGGCATGCGCCGCGCTGGGCGCCGTGCAGATCCCGGGCGCCCGGGGGCAGCGGCCCAACGAGGGCCCGCGGCGCGAGTTCGACCTGGCCAGGGTCCTGCAGGCCCGGCCGCCGGGCCCCAGGGCCCCGGCTCCGTTCCCTCAAGCCCAGGAGCGCTTGTCTTGTTGACGGGTCCGCTTGTTTTTCCGCCGCTCCTGGCTGCGGGTTGGCCCGCCCACGCGGCGAGGGAGGGCCAGGGAAAGCAGGTGGGGGCGCGACAGGCGACCAGAGTTGTCCTGCGGGGTTGGGAAGGTGTTGTTTAGTTACAGGGCAAGGGGGCGATGCGGGGCACGGGTATGGGAGGCGGAAAGAGCCCTGCTTGCGCTGCGCTTTCGTGTGGGAGGCGAGGCGGCGGCATTGCAATGAGGATGCCTCCGCTGGGATTTTGCATTAGTTGCTGGCAGCGCAGAGGCAATAATGCATGTACTGCGACGAAATGTGTGCGCGTGTGCGCGTGTGCTCCTCTCTCCTTGTGTTGGACCTTTGTACTATAGAGGAGGCGAGGCAGTTGAAACTAGGTGTTTGGATGCTTCACAGATTCAGAGAATCCTGACTCCCCCGATTCCGTTGTTGAACTCCATGGCCACCGGGCATGGGGTTGGAGTTGGAGACGTCAGATTGTGACACAGAACATAACAAAATATGAACAGTTGGTAGGCGTTGAGGGAACCGTCGGAATGTCGGAGGTAACGCCGATTCCAATAGCCTGAACTTGTGAACTTTTAGGATGGACTGGAATCGTTAGCTTGCCAGAGCCATATCGAAGTTTTCGCTGTCAGGAGGGGCAACAGAGGCGTTTTGTTTTCGCGTAGCGTGGATGGGGCCGTATTTAATTGGCTGACATGGTGCGTTACCTCGGTTGCTTTGTAGGTGGCTGGGCCGGTGACTCGGCCGGTTGGGGAAGGGGATTCTTTTTCTGTTCCACACATACTTATCCCACAACTAGCCGCAAGGCTTTTTAAGGACATTAACTGGTATGCATCTAGGCTAGGACCAAATTTGTGACCGGTGAAGGTAGCTCATTGGACATACGGTCTCAGGGTTGTTACAACTTGTGGCGTGTAAAGCATGTGTGGTGTTGTGTTGTCTGCGGTGAGGGCTCTCACCGCGCCTCTCACTGAGGGTGTCCGCAAGTGGTGCCCGCCTCGGCTCTGAAAACAAGGAGGGGCACACGGGCGACAGGCGGCCTGCATTTGACGCTGCGGCAATTGCTGCTGCCTGAGCGCAGAAGGGCGTGTTCTCGGTTGAGGCTGCCTATCAGCGTTCCACAACTCACCCAGGCATCAGCGAGGTTGCGTTCATATGATGCCTATTCATTCCCTCGAGTGTGACAAATCGCTGAAAATCCACCTGTCCATGGGATACAATGTTGCCTGAGTTGACAGTATGCCCGAGAGGGTGACATGACATTGGAGATCGCTGCAGCTGGTCGTTCAATCTGATCTTGCGAGTGCACCAACCATGCGTTCAGATGGTTATTATCTGGGTTCCTATCGCTCATTGACATGCGGCTGTCATTGCGTACAGCAACAGCGCACTAAGGGAACTTGCAATTGTGGCAGAAACGCGTGCTGCCATTGGTACCATTGCCCATCCCAATTTCCCAAAAGTGCCTCCTCTCAGCGCTGACACGCAAGCTCACAACGTCATTCATTGTTCATGGCTATGCTGCGGCGCGTGCTGAACACGAGAGGCGCAGACGATGTCATCAGAACATGATTACTCTGTTGAAGAAAATAGAGCAACCTGTCACACAATGCGCACGCCTGTCACGATCAAGAAACGAAGGTGAGATTCCTTTCCGTACCATGAACGATGACGTATGGTCTCTGATCGCCCAAGGAAAACACAACAACGCATGCGCCAACCACAGCAATTGAGTCATCAGAGACAAGCAGGTTGGCAGCAAGCAGCAGGGTGGTGTCAATGGCCCACAGCAACCAGCAGACAAGCAGCCATGGGCACAACATTTCCATCTTTCTGCCGGCTAGAGCAGGGGATGATTCGGCCCATCGGCCCAAGCGGCTCCATCCCTGGAGATTGAGCGTGCTTCACAGATATTAGCATTTCCAAGAACGCAACACGGTATGTAGCTTGCATCACCACAACATACTGCGGCTAGCTCTCACGGCAAGCAACTAATCCATCCCATGCTCTCCAGGGAAATGCCTACCATTTGAAAAGTGCTCTGCAAACAGCATCAGGACATCCAGTGCTCCCAAGTCAAAGGAGAACTGCCGCCACGTGCGCTTTTTGCAGCTGAGATCTCTGGTACCACGAGACTATTCATTGCAACTAGTACAACGATGACAAAACTGTGTTCAGCGCACAAAACGCAACAAAATGAGAAACTCAGTCACCGACATTGGCTTTCATTTCCAACCTGCACAGGAAGAAATGACCAACATAGCCTCCAGGACGTGGTGCTCAGCACCCTGTGTAGCGCCCATCTCTTCGGCAGCATCACCATGGCAGTGCACCCAACACGCCATCCACTCACCAGGTGCTTGCAGCAGACAAAGGGCGCAAGGAAACGCATGGGAGCCGACTGGGAGGGGGAAATGCATTCGTGTGCTCATTTTGTGAGTCCATTGCCATGTTCAGCAAGCTTGAACATATCGTACTGCACTAGAGACCCACCTCACAAAAACAGATACTTCTCTCTTGCAAATCCTTCCCTTGCAATCGACATCCTGAATAAGCACAAGTTGCACTCATTCCAGCCTTGCAGCGCAACGCGTGCCACCGACAGTGAGGGTGATACAGCGCAAGGGGCTTGCTTGCAAGCGGCAAACATCCGCCCAAGGCTTGTCCACGAGTGGGTGCGCTTTGGGGGAAGGGGAAAAGGGCGGACATGCACGCGCATGTGGACTAGCAGCGCTCGTGTACCAGTGATTGGTCCCGTGCCTTCCAATGTCCTGCTGACAATTCGCCTTGGCGTCTCACATCGTCCGCCTGGGACGGGCGTGCAATTTGATGTGCTTGTTCCCCTGTTCCGAAAGGGTCACCGCATCCGCTCCTTAGCCGCAGCCACCCTCCTGTCGATGCTCCGCCGCAAACGACGCTCCCTCCCAACGTTGCCTCGCAGGTGAAATGGCAACGCGCCGCCAAGTTTTGGCACACCCCATCAAAAGAACTCTACGCTCAACCCCTTCTCATGCAGGCGGTAGCGCTCCGTCTCAGCGGAGCTCACCGCAACGGGCTTCGTCGACGCACATGTGCAACTGGTCAAGGACTGCGTGGCCCCTTGAGAACATCACCGCGGCAACGATCAATGATACGACGGCGACCTGCTCAGCAGGCGTGAACGCATACTGCAACTGGGGCCCGTAAACCTCCAGACAGCCACGCCGCGATGGTCGCTTGCCACCTGAATCACGCTCTCAGAGGCCGCGGAGGCCCAAGCCCATGCTCCAACAACGGTCACAAGGGTCTGTCCGCCTCAATCCGGCCGACACACTTAAAATTGCCCAGGGCCCAATCCCATGCTCCAAGATGGTCACGGGGGTCTGGCTCGATCACACACACCGGGGAAAGGCCGTGGCGCAGAGGCAGACTACCCAGAGTGCTGCATCGCATGACTCCTTCGAGCGGGACCTCATCTCCGAGTTCGGCCGAAAGGGAGACAGCGAGGGTGGGGTGCGTTGAGTGTGGGGATGGAGAGAGTAGGGACTGGGTAAGCGCACAGCCCCTTCACGTTGCCCGACAAAGCGCACCACGGGGTGCGGTGCGCTTCGCCTGGGGCCCTCCGCAACACAGAATGAGCGCAGCGTTCGGACGCCCATATGATCACGTCAACCACACGGGGGCGCCATCACACCCGGGTAAATCCGGGGGTCAGCGCTGATCCGCCCCCTCGAAATCCGTCGTGTGGGTGCGCACCGCGTTACGGGTCCCGCCGTAACTAATCACCGCCGCTACTAAAGCACCCACCCTGACCAATATTCGTCCTCACCAATGCCGTTAAGCAACAACGCAGGGCGCCCACTCACAGGCACAGGCAAGGGCACGCCAACACGCCGAGCGCCATGGCGAGCACCGCGGTCAAGTCCGAGTGCGCTGCAGCCCAGTGGGGGGAATCGCCACCCCCCGCCAGCCCCCCTGACGAAGATTGGAACAACCGAGCCTGGGATTTTTCAAGCCACGACCACGGGCCCCTGCGCGCTCACGTCGCGCTCCAGCTGACATACCTGCTGCAGACGAAGGGGGGCGGGGGCATTTGGTGTGCCCGGGGCGAGCTGGGTGGGTTCGTCGCCCGGCTGGAGGAGGCGCTGTACAGGACAGCTGCGTCGATCGACGAGTACGCGGACGCGGGCACATTGGAGGCCCGGCTGCGGCGGGTGGCCGAGGCGCTGCTCAGGCGCGCGCGGGCGGCCGAGTCGAGCCGTTGAATCGATTCAGATGGGAGGGATCTGTTCGATGGGTGCTGTCGCCGCGGGTGACGCGCCGGGAGGATTGCTCTCCCAATCGACTGCTGGAGTCGATTGGGTGGCGAGGCTGCAGCGGGGGTGGGAGGTTGAGGGACGGTGGCCGTGGCGGGGTTGCCGGAGGGGTCACGGGCAGCGGGGCCGGGAGTTGGAAGTTCCCGACTCGGGCCGCGGCCGAGAGGGGCGCGGCGTGTGCTGTTGGGCGCGTGTGCAGTGGGGATTGGGTGATGGTTCGCAAGTTTTCGTTCGTTCGTGGTCACAAGTGTGACCTTGGTGTGGCGGTGCGATGAATATTGGTGTGGTCTGGCAAGGAGGGCCGGGACGTTCAGGAGTTTTTCCAGGGTATTACCGCATGACGACCATACAGATGTAGGCCGTCGCTTACATGATAATACCCGTTCGGCTCCCACACTTTCACTGAGGCGTGCCAATCCCTCCTCGGGATATTCAAGCCCGGGACTGGGCCAAAAGCGCAGTGGTCGTGAGCATGGCGCCGACACTGTCCTTTGGCCCATTTTTCGCTGCCGGGATGTTTTATTTCGTTGCAGGGTGGGGTGCCGCCGATAGCACACATTTGTGCGCACGTGTGCATTCGCTAAGTTGATTTCCTTGAGGTAGATGAGCAGTGTTTGGAGTGGTCAGCTGGGAGCGAGGAAGCAGAAAATAGTGAAGTGCGAGGATGCTGGTAGCCCGGCAATGCTAGAATTGCCAGAGCTGCTCAGAGTACAAGTCAAAACGCTATGATTCCCGCCCGATGCGGCATTTGGTTTTCAAAGCACGGCTTTGCAAAACAGGATGCGCCGTGATATGTTTGTTAACCGAGGGGATATTCACAGAGGTATGCCCTTCGTCGTCATGCAGGTGCAGCCCCAATACTTTGTCATTTCACAATGTAATGAAAGAATTGGAGAGGGAGATATCCAGTGCACCTTCGCTCCTGGATGCAAAAAAACTGGCATAGCGAAAGAATGAAATGCCCTGCGCAATCGCCGTTCGTTGGCTTGAAAATGCCCAGAAGTTCAGAGGCCAGAAGCAGGGCAATGATCACGGCCGCTCATTCGCCTGGGAGGCCGGCCATTGCACCTTTCCATGTCCCCGCGGCCACATCCCCCCTTTCCTCCTGTAAAGAAAATAGACCAAAAAATACTTTGCTGTCAGACCCTATTAGCCCCATCCGTTGGCCCGTTCCCGCTCTCTACTAGCCCTTGCATGCGGCTTACCTCACAGACAGCGCCTCCCACAGCCATGTGAGCCCCCTTCCCCAATCGTTCACTCAGCCAATCAGCAGTACCGCACGCGAAGGAGGTCGCCCTTTCCCAGATACGGACAACCGACACCGAGACAGAGGCGGGTCACAATTGAGCCGTTGGGCGTCGGTGTGTGGGGTATGTATTCATGGGGTCTCCCTCTCCGCCTCTGTCTCCGCCTCCGTCTCCGTCTCCGTCTCCGCCTCCGTCTCCGTCTCCGCCTCCGTCTCCGTCTCCGTCTCCGCCTCCGTCTCCGCCTCCGTCTCCGCCTCCGTCTCCGCCTCCGTCTCCGCCTCCGTCTCCGCCTCCGTCTCCGCCTCCGTCTCCGCCTCCGTCTCCGTCTCCGTCACCGTATCATCGATCGGTATCAAGAACGCCCTCAACGAAGCCGCTGCCCGCCACGCATCCCAGCCCCTCGATTCCCCCAATCTAGCGCCCATTCCGCGCCCCACCCCTCCCCTACGGGGCGGCATTCCCCACAAAAAGTTGGTCCCGCTCACCCCATCGCCTCAACCCGCCGCGGCAGGCTCGACGCCGTCAGCCTCCCCCCAGCGCGCCCAGGACACCAAGTGGCGGCACCGGCGCCCACCGGCCGCTCCGCAGCCCACCATGCGGGGGCTGCTGTCCGATGACGTCCTCCCACAGTGGTGCGCTTCCCCTCCCCTCCCTCCTCCCCAACTCCCCCCATCCCCTTGGCCAAGCCTTAAAGCCCGCCGGCGGCCCTGCAAATCACCATTTTCAGACCCCTCCCTTTGAGGCCTCCTCCCCGCTGCCGTTTGTGAGGCTGGGCTGACTCGTCCGCTCGGCCCTGGGTGCAGGTGGAAGAATGTGGACGACTTGCTGGAGAAGCCCTGCAGCGAGGACCGGCCGTACGCCTGCTACTGGTACTACCTGGCTCTGGCCTATGGCATCATCGCCTTCGTGGCCGCGGTGAGCTGCCCCCCCTCCCCCAACCGCTCTGGTGGCATGGCTGCCGGAACCGGCTGGCACCGCCTTGCCTCGTGTATCCCTCCGCGACCGAACCCAGTGCCCGGCCCGGCTGGACATCCCGAGGCTTCCAGTCCGTGCCGTCCACCTCGCGGCGTCTCGGGAGATGGCGAACCCGTGCTTGCGGCGGCCGGCGGACAGTTTGGCAGTATTCGCGGCCCTCTGGGGCGCCATCCGAGGAGAACGTGGGATGAAGCGACCGAGCAGCGCTGGAAACCGCGGCGGCGTGCCTCCGTGGCCGCTGGGACGGCGCGACACGCGCCCCACGCGTGGCTGAGGGGCACAATGGCGACGCTCACCTGCCAGGGGGGTTGAAGAAAGGGGATTCGCATCGGCCCCGTGGCCGTGGGCGCCCCCAGGCGGTCCCTTGGGCGGATTGCCGGCAAGGCGAGGGGGGGGGAGGGGGCACACCCGGGCTGGCCTTTCGAGCGCCGGTGCTTGCGTTTGCGTGGCGTCGAGCATTTTGTCACCCTTCGCAAAAGTGCCCAACCCCTCTCTGCCTGCCCGTGCCGCAGACCCAGCTGATTCGGATCCAGCAGCGGGTGCCGGACTACGGATGGACGACGCAGAAGGTCTTCCACCTGCTGAACTTCCTGTTCTGCGTCCTCCGCGCCGTCTCCTTCGCGCTGTACACCCTCCTGGATGAGCTCAACGACAGCAACGTGCACCAGGCCGTCGCAAAGCTCGTCGTCTTTGACCTTCCAGGTGAATCCCGCCGCCCCCCCCAATTCCCTGCCACGGTGAGAAGCGCAAGGCCCAAGGGCACCGCTTTGCCTTTCAGGGGCAACGTTGAACAAAGGATTGTGGCGATATCAATCGCAGATTACAACTGCCATTCTTCAAGCACGGTGACGAACTGTGGTTTCTGCAACCTTGTCTCATCTGGGCACACCTGTGGCACAGATGGATGGACGCCCATCTCTGTCTGGCGCTTTCGTGCCAGGTTGCAGTAGCCCTGCTCCCCCTTGCCATCCAACCTCCCTGTCCTCTGCTGACATTGGCATTGCCCACAGGCCTCCTGTTCTTCACGACCTTCACTTTGCTGGTGCTTTTCTGGGCCGAAATCTACCACCAGGCCAGCAACGTGGACACCAGGTTTCTGAGGCCTTACTTCATCAAAGTGAACGTCCTCGTTTATGTGGTCGAGGTATGTGCCCCTGTTTCCATGGAGTTGAATCACATGCGGCAGGGGCGTCTCAAATGCACCTGCAGCACTTGACTGCAGAAACCCACTGTGATAGAAATCGTTGTTCCAAGGCAGAACAGTTCTCATCATTGTTTAGAAGATGTCGGGCACCTGCCTCTGCTGTGCACGCCATGTCCAGCAACCTCACCATGGTCCGATTCTTTTGGCTTACTCCTGGTGCTTGAGAAACTGCTGTCAAGTCACAAGCTGCTGTCTTTCAATTCTGGCAGTCTGGGCTGGCTTTAAAAAATGTGCATCATCTTCCACTCTATCGCACAGAATCTCAGGGAACTCACTAGTGTTGATGCTGTTGGTGGTGATGGGCAACGGGGGCAATTTTTGCCCGTGTTTTGCGTTTCAGTGAGAGTCGCTGATTGGGGTGCCGACTGTGGCTTGTGCAGATCATCTTGTGGGGTCTATCGGCAGTGAGCCTGTCGCATACCTGGGCACGTTATGCATCTGCGGGATTCTTGAGTGCTGTTTCAGTGGGCGCAGTGGTGGGCTTCCTTGTGTATGGCTGCCGCCTGTTTTCGATGTTGAGGCAGTTCCCCATAGAGTCTCGCGGCAGGCACAAGAAGCTGCAGGAAGTTGGCCTCATCACTGTTATATGCTCAGCCTGCTTTGCCATAAGGTGTGACACATTGTCCTGGCCCCACATTGAAAAGACAGAAAAGGACGGAAAGATGGAACATACAGAAAGCAACAAGCCTTTTGTCCTGTCTGGTGTGTGCTCGTGGCATCTGACTATCCTCCTTGAGATTGGGGAGGGCGTGAACAATGGTGTTGGTTTGGCGTCGCAGTACTTGCCGACTATTCACAGCCTGTTTTGTGCTTGCCTTGCTAATCTTGCTAATGAGCATAGGTCCATGAAGAGGTGACGCATGCTGTGTGCTGTGAAGTCATGAAGCAAGGGTTTGCCACTAGATTTGTGAAAGGCGTTAGCCTTCATCACTTAAATAGTTTGCTGTGTTGACTTTCCTGGGCAGAATCTTGTTGGTTTGTCACCACTGCCTTGTTTTGTTGTCGTCCTCCATTCCCATTGCCTCCTGGAGCAGTGCTGCACAGTAATAGATGTCTGATAAACGAAGCTGCAAGAAGGGTAGTTCCCAGCCCTTGACTGCTTGTGCAAGCACAAGCATATATGTATGCATTCACAATACTGACCACAATGAAGCCCCAGAGGGGAGCAGACAGGTACCTTGCAACGTAGTGTAGAAAATGTCTCAGTGCAGGACTCGATGTGGTTGAAATTCCCAAACTCAGTCTGCTGTGTACGGTGACCGCAGATGTCTGTTGATTTGTGTAGGGTTGTTGTGTTCTGTGAGTGCACAGTGTGCCATGGTTGTCTTGTGCTCGCAACCACCATATTACTTCAGCATTCTATTGGTCACTGTGACATCCCAAAGATGCCTTATCATTTGCATGCTCATGTGGTGCAGTTTCTGGTAATCCCAATTTAGTCGAAGTGGGACACGTCACACACCGAAGCCTTTTGCTCAGAGCATGCCCACAAAAGCCGTTTGTGCCACTGAAGAAGACATCTGTGCTTGTTAGTTTGCTTCCATCAGTTCTGCTGCCACAGCTGTGGCAAGTGCCCCAATATGACAAATAGAGTGATGTCGCACCTTCAAAGGTGAAAATGGACATCAACAGAGTTAGTGCACAGTTTGCACAGTTTTTCGCTTTTATCGCTGTGGCTTTACCCCAGAAAACCCTGAAGATAGGAAGAAAGCTGTGCCCTTGTGCCAGCAAGACGTTTTCAGTGCATGCTCACAACGCCTTATTTGCATGTGCGCTGCCCTGACATCGCCTACAGGGTGTTGCTCTGTGTGACAAGGCAGTGTAATCAGTTTTGGAAGGACCCGTTGTCTACCCCAGGGAATGTAAAAGGAACAAGGAGCAGAAGGTCCCAGATAGAGGGTGTAGTACGTTGTTGAGGCAAAGGTGACCCTAGAATGCATCCAGTTAGTAGCCAAAGTCTCATTCAGGAGAAAACGCCTAAGGTGCAAAGGGCTGAGCATTGTCGTTTCTTGGTGAACCAGTCGGAATTCATCCAGTTGCTGCAATCCATGCATGGTGCTGCATTCACCTTTCTTGGCATGTGGTACAGGGCGCTGCTGTTGATCCTGTACATCGTGGACGATAGAGACTTCGACGTGGACTTGATGCAGAACCCCCTCCTCAACATCATGTTCTATGTTGCGTGTGAGATCCTGGCCGCCGTGCTGGTCCTTTGCATCCTGCACCGCTTGCCACCAAAGCACAAGGCCCCCCGCCAAAGGCCTGTCCAAGGTGGCGACTACCAGCCAATCGCAGCGTCGGAGGAGGGTTGAACCGTGGACAGGGTTTGAGTCGTGGCTGTCCGAGTCACTTTGTGTCTGACGCAGTTTGGAGCCTGGGTCCTGGCAAGGGGTTGTCTCAGCCATCTTGCGACTGAGTCACGGCGTCTTGGTCTGCCCAGCTCCCACTGAAGGCTGGCGGGAATGTGGTTCGTGTGTGTCTGCGCCTGCAGGCATTAAACTGACCTTCAGGAAACGCAGCCAGGGTGCTGGCTTCGTCCCAAATCGTGGGCCTGGCCAAGCGGCTATGTCTTCCCTTCCCAGTTCAAACGTGTAGCGGTCTCAAGAATTGGTGTTGTTCGGGTGGCGCTTGGGCGTGGTCGAGGTTGGTGTTCCCAACTGGGTGGTTACTCAGTTTTGTGGTCGAGTGGGAAAAAGTGTGTCGGGTTTCTAGCCGCGCTTGGCACCTGGCTTGTGAGACCCCAAAGTTGGCAAGGCCATGAGGCAGGCTGCTGGGCTATTGTGGGGACGTCCGGGGGCGGGTAGGGAATGCACGCGGGAAGGGACAAGGAGGGTGCCAGGTCAGGTGGCGCTGGCGCACTGCACTGGGAGCTGTCTGCGTGGGATGTTAGGGTCAGTAGCAAGATCTTCCTTTTTCAGCACTGCGTGAGGATCCCTTACGTGGGCCGTGCATGTGCGCCCACGCCTCGCCAGCGCCAAATCTCCAATTTCCAGTTTAAGGGCGTGGGAAGGTGGCAGTTTGGGAGAGGACCGGGCGGGTGAGGGAAAAGGAGCTGCGCAAAGTGTGGCGTGCTCCGTGCTGCTCTGACTGATGTGTGGTCGCACCTGCGAACGTGAGCTTGCGCCCGTCCTGTTTTACTATTGTAAATGAATGTTGTGCTTTACGCACAGGAGTTGTGTCGCAGTGTCGCTATTGTTGAATCAGGCCGTGGAATCGTACCTTGAACAAATCACGGGCGCGTTGTCGACCTGTTAAAACCACGCCCAGCATCATCCACAAAACGGCGGCATGATCATCAGAGTTAACGCAAATGGAAGTCAAAAACTTGGGCTCGGACTTTGATGACCGTTGAGTAGCAATGGCAAATCCCTTCGTACACGCAGCAGTACTTTATGGGATTCACATGCCTTTGCCCCGCTTCGGTCCGCACTCTCACCTGCCCTCCAACTACTCCTAGTATCTGGCAAAAATGAGTCGTCGCGCCCTATGGAGACCCAGCCAGACACACCAGGGCAACGCCCATGTCACCCTGACCGGCGCTCCACCATTGCACCTTAGTGAAACATCACGTGGTGGCAGCCATGCCATTCCCCCAAGTCGCAACGAAAGTTGGCAAAGCCGCTTACAAAGTGCTGGCGGCGCGGCGCCCATCACAGCAGAGTGATTGACACTGCCACTCTTTGCAGCCCGCGATGACCTTGTTGTGCACGTTCCCCTTCGCCGCCAACACGCCCGGCGCCCCAGCATGAGTGGCACCCGCCGCGAGCAACAAAGCACACTGAATTGCACCACTCAATCCCACGGATTCTGAGTGAGGGTCACACACATCACAAAGCGACCCTAAGAAACCGACCCACAAGGAAGCGTGGGGCTTGCGATCACCTGCCGTGTCGTCGCCTCCACACGCCCATCATCGCCGAGTCAGGTGGGCAAAGAGGGGTGTATTACATGCCCACAGCACTTCAGTCACCGGCCTCTGCCCCACTGGGTGGAGAGCGCCATATTTGTATCTGGCTGGCATGACATGCCGTGCCTGCCTCTCACCACGAACACACATATACACTCAAACCGAGTGTCCCTCTGTCATACCCCCATCACTTCACACCCCGCGTCACTTCGCATCGCACCCCGCGACCCATCCCTCCGCGCCCTGCGAGGCATCGCCCTGCACCCCGCGGCACGTCCCACTGCACCACGTGCTTCTCGCGCTGCTTGCGTGCCACTGGCCCACCAAACTCGTGCCAACCGCCAGCCTTATGTAGTGCTTAATACTAGTGCTGTGCCACCCCTTCCGGGCGCTGGCGACGGCCACGATGGCCATGGGCGCCAGCCTTACTATCGTGCTGAGAAATGACATTAACTATCTTGTTAATAGATTTCCACCCAGGACGACGTTGGGTGGGTTGCGCCGAGTTTCGAATCAGGCGCAATCGTATTCAAACGGGTTTCTGGCCCTTCCTAGTACCTTGGGTCAGTCAAAGTACGGAGTGTCCAAGGGTCCGCCCGTTTTGGCGGCTTGGACTTGGCGGGCTTTGGCGGGGCTGAGCGGGGGCGGCTATTTAGGCTCCCCCCTCGGTCCCCCTCCTATCTTGTTTCGCTTCGCGCCACTTGTTGGCACAACCCGAAGGCACCGAGTGCCTTGCCCTCCCCGGCCGTCTTGGCCGACTTCTTTCTATGAACCGGACACCTGCGGAGCAGTGGCTTCAAGAACAAGCCGTCCGGTTCAACGACGGTCCGCCTACGGCTTCTCTCGACACCGTTTGGCTACCGGACCCCCGTCTCCTTCCGCGGTCAGTCACCAACCCAGTGGTCCGACCTCCGGGGGTCCGCTTTCCCGAGTGGTTCGACGTGAGGCGGACTTCCGAAGGCGCGCAGCTCGCGCAGGCGCTGGGGACCAACTCCGGCTACTTCCAGGAGTACCAGAACTAGGCGCCCTACGTCGCGTGGCTCTTCGACCTCACGGCCGCCTTGATCGACTTCGCGGCGCACCAGGACTTCCCGCCCATCTTTCGGGACGCCCTCTTGCCGTACCTCCACGCCCAGGTGACGATTACGACAAGATTGCAGAGCCTAATCCGTCTCCAACAAGTGCACGGGGAGCACAAGGGGACGTCCCTCAACGGGTTGTGGCGTGCGCTCCAGACCAACGTTCGGCTGGGCGCCGTTCATCGCCGCTTCTGGGATCCTTTGATCGACGAGCCGCTGAAGCACATATGCAAGGAGGTCCTCAATCAACAGTTGAAGCTGGCGACCAAGTCGGCTGCCGCCAAGAATCAGGCCAACCTCGATCGCGCCGCTCCGGCTCCCAATCCTGCGGGCGCGTCCACCTCCAACGCTCGCCACTTCAAGGGCAAGAGTTCCAAGCCGCAGGCGGGCCCCAACGCTCCGGCCCAGCCCCCCAAACCCGTCGCCTAGAGGACCCTCCGTACGCTCGTCTTCGGGGCCGTCTCTCCGGGTGGCGCCGCATCGGGGCGCCTTCGCGAGTCTTGCAGTGGATCCACACCGGCGCCCCCCTTCAATGGGGTCCGATGGGCCCTCCGGCCCCCTTCGATCAGGGCGAATACCCCTTGACGACCCCGGAGGAATGGCGAGCATGGCGGGAACTGCGGGACGAATACCTCGAGACGGGAGCGATCGTCCGGACCAACCCCTCTTCCGACGCCCGGATTTCGTGCGCTTTCTTGGTGGCCAAGCCGGCGGAGAATGGCAAGACCAAATACCGGCTCATCATCGATCTTCGGCGAATCAATCGCCATCTCAAGAAGGTGGTCTTCGTTATGAAAAACTGCGTGATTTTGGATTTCTGTTGAAGAAGCATGATTACTTGGTGGGATTCGACATCAAAAACGCTTATCATCATATTCGGATGAGAGTGGATCAAGAGCATTTTCTTCAATTTCGCATGGGTGGGGAGACATTTGCTTGCCGGGCGCTCCCCTTTGGCTTGGCCCTCTCCCCCTTTTATTTCATGCAACTCATGTTGGTAGTGGTCCGTTTCTTAAGGACCCCCAGCTCTTGTCCCAAAGCTGCCACTCGTTTTCGTTTTGGTCGATTAGCGGGGGAGGATTCCATTCTCCAGTACTATCTCCAGTACTCGCGGGAGCTTCCCGCGCTGATTTTGGCCTATTTGGATGATTTCATTGCTGCCATGTCGGATCCTCAGCGGCTCACCCAATGGTCCAGTTTGGTCCGCCGGGTTTTCGCCACTCTTGGCCTCGCTTTTGAGGAGTCCAAGTGTCAATGGGAGCCGGTCCAATGCAAGAAGCATCTAGGGATCTTGATCGACACCAATCAGTGCCAATTTCAGGTCCCTCCGGACAAGGTTGCGGCCATTTCGCGGCGGGCCCAGGAGATTAGTCGACGGGGTTTCATTGTTGCTCGGGATCTGGCTAAGTTCTGTGGCTCTGCCATTTCCTTGTACTTGGCTTTTCCATTGGCACGGTTTTTTTGACGGATCTCTACTCTCTTTTGCGCGGCAAGCGTTCTTGGCGAGATCGGCTCTGTTTGACCGCCGCGGCTCGTTTGGAATTGGCCGCCTGGGCCCAGATCGGTCGGTTGGCGGGCAGGTCGCTCAATTCCGCCTCCTTGGAGCTGGTGGGCACCTTAGCTACGGACGCCAGCCTCACCGGCTGGGGGGCCACTTTTACGCCTCTGGGCGGTGATCAACCCCTTCTTGCTCGCGGATTCTTTGATCGGGAGCTCATTCACATCAATGTCCGTGAAATGCAGGCCGTATACTTGGCCCTGCTGTCTTTCTTTCCTCGCCGGTGCCCCAGGACCGCTTCTCGCCGGCTTCGGTTGCTCGTGGACAACCAGGTGGTTCTCCACTGCCTCAACTCGATGACTACCAAATCAGCCGGTCTCTTGAGGCCCCTTCGCCAGTTGCAAGCTATTTGTGCGACGCGGAAGTTGCTCCTGGAGCCCGAGTACATTCGGTCAGCGGACAATGTCCTTCCGGACAGGCTTTCGCGTATACGGACTTCGGAGGACTACCGGCTCAATCCGCGCATATTCCAGGAGGTCGTCCACCGCTTCGGGGCCTGTTCAGTGGACCGATTTGCGTCCGCTCGGAATGCCCTCTGCGCGGCCTACAACAGTCAACATTGGGATGTGGGTACGTCGGGCGTCGACGCCTTCGCACAGAACTGGACGGGGACGCGCAGCTGGTGCAATCCCCCGTGGAGCCTCCTCGCGAGGCTTGTCGCCTTCCTCGCCTCGAGGCCGCAACTGGATGCAGTGGTGCTCGCGCCGGACTGGCCGAGCGCGGTTTGGTTTCCCCGCCTCCGGGCAATGGCGCAGGCCGAGATCTTCATTCCCCGCCAGCCCAACCTCTTTCTCCCCGGGGATCCGAGCCTCCCGTCCTCCCTTCCACCTCCGCGCTGGAATTTGCGCGCCTTCCATGTGGCGCCGAGGACACACCCGACGACCCTGCGGACCCCACCGGCGATGACGCCCTGAGCGAACCGGAGGCTCCGGCGCCTCCCGCCGGGGAGCCTCCTTCGGATCCGTTCCCCTTGGAACCGGTCCCCGAGGACCATCCGCTGTACGGCACCGAAGTGGATGGCTTGCTGGCGGACGATCGGAGCTGGATGGCACAACAGTTCCTTGCCTCCTATACGGAGGCCACCCGGCGGACTATGCAGGCCAAGTTCCTGCGTTTCCAGGCCTTTTGCGAGGCACATGCCTTGCAGCCGCTGCCCGCTCGTCGCGCCACCATCTACCGCTACATTCGGTTCCTACGCGAGGAAGGCAAGGTGGGCGTTCGTTCTTTGCCGCAGTATCTCGCGGCCATCTCCATGGTGCACCATATGTCTGGGCACCTTGGCTTTTCTGCTTTCGACCCGGTCACCCGTGTCCTCACCCGCGCATGGCGCCGGGATACGCCAGCCCCCGTGCAACATCACCGCCCTGTGCCCATCGAGGTGATGATTCGCATCCTCGACGTGGGATTGACCACGGAGGACGGGGCCTTCCTTCGGGCGGCGTGCGCGGCGTACATCGATTACATCTTTTTCAACCGGGCGCAATCGGGCCACTTCGTTCTCGCGGAGGACATTCGGATGGCTGACGGGGTCGTTTTATTTCGGGAACGCAAATCCAAGCTGCACAAGGATGCGGCCCCTCGCTTGCGTTTTCGGTCCTGGCCGACCCAAGGCGCCCCGGAGGTCGTGGATCTCATTCTTCGATGGACGGCTTTCCGCGACCGCGCCTGGGCCCAGACGGACCAAGCGCCTCGCCATTTCTACCGCCTTCCGGGCGAGGCGTCCCCCAGCTCCAAGACGGTGGCCGCTTGGTTTTCGGACTTGCTGGCCAAGCACCCGACCATCGCTCGAGAACCTTTCACGCACCATGGCCTCTGCGGTGGCGGTGCGTCTAGCTGCTTCGCTTTGGAGGTCGCCGAGCGGCGCATTCGGGACTGGGGTGGCTGGAAGTCAGACTCCATGTGGTCGTACGTGGACATTTTTCGTTTACCCACTGAGTGGGACTTTCGTTTGTTCGGGTGGATGACGATCACCGCCCGCGACCTCCACGCCCAGTTTGGGCACATTTTCTGCCCCGGAGGTGCCTCCCGTGCCCTTGGAGAGTGAATGGGCAAACTGTTAAGTACGGGGACCTCGGGTATGTGGAGTGTTGGTGATGGACACCTTTGCTGTAATGTGTTGTCGTGTGGGGAATATGACCGGGTGGGTTCAGGAGACCGGTCAGGTGGAAATGACATTAACTATCTTGTTATTAGATTTCCACCCAGGACGACGTTGGGTGGGTTGCGCTGAGTTTCGAATCAGGCGCAATCGTATTCAAACGGGTTTCTGGCCCTTCCTAGTACCTTGGGTCAGTCAAAGTACGGAGTGTCCAAGGGTCCGCCCGTTTTGGCGGCTTGGACTTGGCGGGCTTTGGCGGGGCTGAGCGGGGGCGGCTATTTAGGCTCCCCCCTCGGTCCCCCTCCTATCTTGTTTCGCACCCAGCCCTCCCGCCCGAGAGAGTGGAGTTCGGTTGAGTTGAAGGGAGAACGGGATGGAATGGACTGCTGTACGGGAAAGGGGTGAGTCAGGGTTTTCTGTCACGGGAGAAACGTGAAGTAAAGTAAGGGCGAAGCGAAAGGGCAAACTGTTAAGTACGGGGACCTCGGGTATGTGGAGTGTTGGTGATGGACACCTTTGTTGTAATGTGTTGTCGTGTGGGGAACATGACCGGGTGGGTTCAGGAGACCGGTCAGGTGGAAATCCCACCGCGAAGGCTCGGCAAGGGGAGACGGGGTGAGCTCATGAGCGACCGAATCGGGAGGAAGGGTGATGGAGGGTGGCGAGTAATACTAATCGTCCAGGCAGGGGCAGACCACGCTAGACAGGCATGAAATCCAAAAAGTTCTGGCAGTGCTACCCTTCCAGACGGGAAACCGTACACGTGGCTGAATGCACAAGCATGCAATGTGCAGATGCGGATCGCTCGACTTTTTTGCTCTTTTCATTGCACAATATGGAGCAGATGCTGACTGCGTCTTCATTTGAACATTTTTGGCAAGTGCCAATGTTGAATCCCTCAAGAAACTTATTCCAGCAGCACTGAAAATTACTGAAAATGTGATGTGGGTCGCACATTGTGGAATGCCCCAGCGCAACAGAAACACCACACAATGAAATCAGGCCCCACATGGCCAATAGGCAGCCTCGCGACGATCCCTCGACGATTGAAGGTAGCGTGCTTAGTCGTAATGTGAGCATTATTGACACAATCTTCAACGAGTTAACGAACAAGCACAAGGACCTGTGCCGCGATGCCAGCCAATACAATCATTAAACAATTGACAGAGTGACACATTCAGCACATCATCCGTGAACATGTGCCACTCCCAGCGCCTCGTCCTTGTCACCGTCCGCCAGGACAGCGATCGTAAAACTTGGGAAGCCTGGCGAACAAAATGGTGTCTCCTGCCATCAATTCCAGGTACGTCCAGGCAGCAGCGCACAGCGCCTCCGCCTGCGCCTGTCTTCATGATCGCAATCTTCATGGGGTGGCCGGATACAACTGCCAACCCACACATGACTGAAACGCCACAATGAGATTTGAATTCTTCTCGGACACGCCCTTGTCACACACGCAGCCCAAACACTGCAGCCCCCAAGGGTCCCCGTGCTGCAACACCCAGCAAACGCGTCTTGTACACACCATTTCCTTGCTTTGTGCCTCTGGGCTGCGCCACCGCTTCACCCATCTGCCTACGACCTGTCGCGCCCTTCCGCAAGCAGGGCGGGGCCCTAATCTACCCCCACAGCAAGACCAATTGTGGCAAGGGCATTCTCGGCAGGGCTGTGCTCGGCTCAAAGAATAAGGAATTTTCTCCCCCCCGTCACTTTAGCGACTAACAAATAACCCGCCAGGCGGGTCAAATAGTGCAGCCGCGCACGCGCCATGGCGCAGATCTAGCCGCCCCAAATGAACGTACACCTGACGCAAGGGCCGGTGACTGCCCTCCGCTTTCTCCAGAACTGGCTGGGTTTCTGGTCTCAGGATTCGGGCATCAGGAAGGAACTGCTGCATCAGGCGACCGACGTCATGGGCTTGTGCAAAAAGTCGAAGCCATGGCTCGACCGCAGGGCCTCGGGAGTCTCCCGAATGTCACAGTACAGGTCCTGGGGAGCCGCACATGTGCACAGTCAGCCACACGTCTTACAGCAGTATCATAACAATTCCGACATTGAACCACAGCAAATAGCAGAGTCTGGACAAGAGCAGCAGACGATAGGTTTGGAGTTTTGCTTCATTCTTTTTCGTGTCCAGCGTGTAGTAAGGCACGAGAGTGACTACACACTTCCCCCTCCCCTCCCTCCCCCAGAAAAAATGAAAAGGAAAGCAAAACACAAGCGTGTCGTGTGGTGGTGGCTACGTGTGTTGTGAGTGTCCATGTCTGGAAGCGCTCTCACGCCAGGCCTGGGTGCCCGTGGCTCTTCGTGTGTGTGTGCTTGTGAGGTAACCAAGCCGTAGCACAGGGCAGCAGAGTTCGAACAAACTCAGCGCGACCTGATCTGTAAGCATCGCATGATAACCATCAACACACAGACTTCGATATCCAGGAGCAGTGTGAACGCCGCCCAGCGGACTGCACTTGGGCTGCAGATCCAACCTTTGGCTGAGATGTGTGCTGAGGATGCAGGTGTGCCACTCAGCAACTTGGCCCTTCGCCAATGCGAAAGGGATGTCAGCTGGTCAACATTTGGTGGATGAAACAACGACTGTTCCCCACCATAACTCCACCAAGTTGAATGCTTCCTGAACGAGGATCTCACAAAGCAACTGTGTTTTTATATTTCAACCCATCAAGCTGCCATCTGCTGCATCCAAAAACCTGGCCCACCAGGCACTCCGCACGAAAGCACTGCATCAACGGCCCCCTGGTCTACACGGCTGAAAAGCACCATAGTACTGTGCACAGCAACATGGGTGCCAGACCAGCACCACACTTGTTCAATTACAGAAGTGAAACGCACATTCATGGACTGTGCCACCCATGCTCTCTGTGCCTTGTACTTGTTACAAGTTCATTTGAATACATTGACACCCTGTCAAGCAACGAGGCACCAACAGGGGCAATGTTGCAGGCTTCACAGCAGCCTGAACAACACTCGTCCAGGACAGCCCAGCTAGCTGGGCCAGCAGCAATCGGTGGCAGAGTGTGTGCATGTGTGTGGTGCCCACCTTTTCGTCCATGTTCTGTGCAATGTGCTCCAGTGAGAATGGGATGCTTGAGTCATCGTCCAGCAGGAACGAGTGGCTGGCAGCAGACGAGTTGTCGACCATGAGCTGCTTCATCTGCTGCAAAACTTCTGGCGACACGGTCTCGGAGTTGTATTTGTCGTCCCAGTACATAGTGGAGATGCGGTACAGTTGCTGGATGCTCAGGCAGGGGCACAGTTCCGTGGTGATGTCCTGGAGGGACTTAGTGGGTTTTTGGTGGATGACCTGGAAGGCCACAGCCTTTGCAAGAACAGTGGCAGCGCGCCAAATGCCGTGTCAGACAGGCAGCCGTTGTTCACACTGCACCCTCTCTGTGGTGCCGCAAGCACTGCACCAAGTTGCTAATGCCAGCATTGACAAGGCAATGTGGAGATGGCACGTAGTTGGGTTTGAGCTTCTGGAGCAGGCACATTTGGCTCTGGGAGCCCATCATCTGGTCGGCTGCCATGGGAATTAGGCCAGGGACCAGCCAGGGCACAGTGCAGAGTCCGTTTTGGCCTCGCAGGACCCACCTCAGGTGTCCATCCTCAAGAGAGGTCATCAATACGAGATGGGTGAAGAGTTCACCCAGCGGCCATTCAATGCCCCACCCAGTTTCCCCACCCAATATTGCTAACTATGCCCACCACTCGCTATGCGTGCAGGGCAAGAAGACTGCACATCTGTGCAAAAGCTTCACAGAAGTTAAAGTAAAGTTACGAGTGCAATGTAGACCCTCTCATGCTGATTGCCTCATGGATGACAGTACCAAATGTTGATGGCTACTTCATCAAATAAAGTTGTACATATCACTGCGACTGAGCAGTTTTGGACTCGACACTCAGTACCCATGGTGGAACACAAAAATAGAAGAAACTGCCTACAACGAAAGGCACCGCCTCTGCTTTCCTTTTTAATTAACTCCTACATTAATGTAACAAGTATTGACAGCTTCACAAAACCTCATCAATTTTGTCACACATATCAAGCATGATCAGCGTAGCAGTGGAACTCAGTGTAAAGCAAAAGCACAGCAGTCGACCACACATAAATATCACAACCTGCCAAAAACCCAATCATGTGAGTGTTTCACAAAACGCACAAAAGCTACTGTACATATGTTCAGCACACAAGTACCCTGGCTACCCGATGGTTCTCCAACACTTCGTGCACAATTCAAGCAACCCCGGCAGATGCAATTTCACCCTTCCCTGCACTCAAAAGTGCACACAGCCAACACTGTGCACAATTGCCTGCTCCGCCCTCACCTGTCGTATGAACTTCAGCTCGTCCCACGAGTCGCCCACATACTTCCGGGAAGAGTTGTCTATCCAGTTCTCCACCTCAGACAGCCCCGTCTTGACGTATTCACCATTGGAGAAGGAGCAGCACTCGCGTCGCAGCAGGAGCTGGTTAAAGAGCTGCACGTTGATGAAGGCGAATATCTGCTTGAACAGCATCTGCATGAGGAAGTGTGGCACATGGTTGGCCTTGAGCACAAAGAGCACGCGGTCTAGGACGTGCAAGACGTCCTCCCACTGGCGGCCCTGCACATGGGGAGAAAGGCCACCTGCACAGCCGGTGAACAAAAACTGAGTGCAGTGCTCATGAAAGGCAGGCAAGGGCTGTATACAACAGTCATAACAAATTCCTTGGACTGCTGCAATTGTCACAATGCCCTGGGAAACAATGGCCCTGCAACTTGTAGGAGCTGATGATGCCAACAGACAACAGTGCTCTTCCCTGTGGAGCCTGGAGGACAGGCTGCCTGCAGAAGCTGAGAGGGACATGTGGCAGGCGCTGAGGGTACGACAAAAGAGACAACAGCTATTGCTTGTAGGTTTCTTCAGGTGGGTGAGGATGACAGCTCGTTGCGGCATTTGTCAGGCCAGCCAAAGCAGCTAATCTAGATCCATTGTAGCGGTCAGACAGATGGCAGGGGGAATCAGGCTACCTGGATGAGGCACAGGTGAGTTGCATCTGCATTCAAGGTTTGGAGAAACAGTGGAAAGGAAAGCATGGTGGCAAAGGTCTGCCAAAGATCACTGCCTGCGGTATTGCTGTCATTGCTAGATGCAGAGCTGCTGACATCCAGGTGCATAAACCAATGTTTCCTTGACCAGCAGGTGCTTGGATGCCTGAGTGTGGGATGCCTTGATGCAGCAGTCACAAGTAGATGTGTATTCTTTCGGTACAATCGTTACATTTGGCAAGATCTGGAAAACAACCTTGCAACAACTTCAGTGATGCTGGACCAAAGCATTGGGCCAGTTTAGGGACAGTTGCAGATGCCTTTTGCTAATAGTACAGGTGCACAATAGTTGCCTTGGCTTTACAGTATCTGCACAGATATTTCGCACTGACACCAGCACCAGCCATGGAAAGCAACAACGGATGGTCATTATCTTGTACTCGACACCATCTCTTCAAGCACATGGTACTGGGAGGAGCAATTCCCATTCAAGATACGCAATGGACAGCAATTGTCACACAGCCCTGTTCTTACAAGCCCATGCACACATTGCGGCTTGTCATATCTGCTCGCTGTTGTGGATTTTTCTCCAGCACTTGTGGAATTCTACACATTCACAGGATGCTGCCTAAACAGAGGATTTGGATGCACCTTGCACCGGTGGCCGATGCCCTATGTACGAAACTATTGATAGTGTATTTTGGCTTGCTTACTATTTCTTACTGTCACATTGCTACCTTGTTGGAATTCGATAGTTGCTCTTTTCAACTCTGTTGCACAGACTGTCAGCTATCATAAACACTCACCAGATGTTGATGTCGTCCGGCTAATACGACTAGCCCCAGACCTTGTGCCTCCCCTTGGTGCCAAGATGCAGGACGACAAGTGGTTTGTGATTTCCTTCTTGACATTGTCCCTCAGCATCGGAAAGATCTTCTGCACAAAGGCATCCAGCTGCTGCTTGAACAGGAGCGCAGGGTATTTGGCCTCAATCTACCGACACCACAGTCACAAGGGAGGTGTGAAGATTGCACGATGGAGTTCCGTGCACTTCCACACCAACGTCCACAAAATCTATTGCATGAAACCTCTTCAGTGTGAATTTCACTGTTGATATGACACCCCCCAAAACGTCAATACATGATGTGCTGTACCAGGGTGACAGCAGGTTTAAGGGGCTTAAACAGCTTCAAACTATGCATAGATAAAGCACTTCCTGGGTACCTCCTCAGAAACTCTGCTTGTTGAATGGCGCATGGTGGACGTGTGCTATGTCGTTTTCGCTCCCAGTGTTTTGTTCATACCATTGCAAAACTTCCAGCGCCTCCATGGATGGAGGCATCTGAGAAAGATGGTGTGGACGGTGCAGTCATCCTGGAGAAGAAGCTGGTGAAGCGGTTGGGTCCCAGGAGAGAACGTGCACTGCTCCCAGGCCTGCCAGACTTGCCATAAGCGCCGCTGCTCGCCGGCTTTATGTTCTTTTGCAGCATGAACAGCAGCGTAACAATGTTCGTGAGCCTGCACAGGCACAACGGCACTGAGCTGCTCACCCCTGGATCAAAAAATGGTAGGCAAACAGCAATCCACTTCTGGACAAGTTAGATCACTGAAAATGTTGGCACAAAAACATGGGTTCAAGTTGCACTCCATCTGACAGAACAGCATCAACATACACAGGCCTTAAAATCTTCAGAGCGCTGCAATATGCATGCGAGACTCTTTTTGCTAGCACCATCATCGCATCACAGTGGGGGCCATGAGGAGCCCTTTCAGAGATCTATGCTATAAAGGCAGCATTTCATCAGTACAGGAAGGTGCAAGGTAGTGCAGTGCTCCCACACGGTAAAACCTATCAGTGCTGAATGGGAAAATCAAGCTCGCAGTACTTGCCCTCACCAATAGGCAAGCACACTATTCTCCTCCTGCTTCTCTTCGATCTGCTTGCCGATCGCCTGAATGATACGATCGAAGACAGACGTCTTGTCTGCCTGGAACGACTTCCACTGCAAGCAGCACCTGAAACATATTGCACAAGCACCCATGAAGTCTCCATCTGGCCATCAATGGTGGAGTTGAACAGACTTTCTTATATGCACAGGTACAGAAGCCCATGCTACAGGTCACATTCCATACCCAGTCAGTAAATTGCCAACTTGACGCATTTTGGGACTTCGAGTTTGATGAAGCTGGGAATAGCACCTGAAAATGACGATCGCAGCCAACGGGCGGCCCTTTTGGAAGCCAAGGTCTGAAGTGAGGGCTTGCAGCAACTTCTCCTCATCTGCCTTGCGCTGCTCCTTGTACATCGCCTGCTGTTTCAGGTACAGCTCCTGCTGGGTGCGGTCCACTTCGGGGTACTCCTGGCCTGGCCTGTTTAGTTGCACAAGCACTGTTAGTGCCTGGCATGCTGTAGTATATTCAACTCTTCCACATGCCGAGTTTTCAGCAACTGGTTTTTGCTCCACAGCCCTCTGAAAGACCATTATCTATTTCTTGGTGCGCCCCGCGTAATTTTTACTGGACACAGTTTGGGCAGAGCAGCCTGTTGACCAAATTTCACATGGAGCTGACCAGACCCATAGCAGCCGTTGTGTTTGTCCTGTCACACCCAAGTGCAGAGGGTGGGAGCAGCGGACAGACTCTACTATGGAACTGTGGCTGCGAGACACAGCGCGTTCCATAGTGCTTTTCCTCTGAATGGACAAGCCATTGCGGGTACATTCCAAATCAACCACATTTGCTGGGTAATTGGATGGCACTCCATGGAAAGAGCAGCTGTTACAGCAGCCCCAACTGAACCACCAACACGCATTGAATGGAGGTTGTCAATGGCATCGCAGATCTGACGGTAAGCAGCTGTGTGGTTGTGTTGGTAAACAGCGCTCTTGGGGTGGTTGTCAGGCGATGAGCACTTGTTTCACTTGCATGCATTACTGTGCAGGCACAGCATGCAAGCCAACCAAATCACGCTACACTGCAACAATGTTGGGTCTATTTGCAATGCTCTCATGGGCAGCTGCAAACCTGGCTGCATTTGGAGCACACCATGGAGTGTTATGTTTCGGCAGCCCCACATTTTCCTGAAGACTGTTGCGATAATGTTCTGCACAAAAGTCCGGCTTCACATGACGATGATGAAGGATTCACTGCATTATGGTATTGTTGCACTTCTTCAACTGCAAGTGCTCATAAGCAAATGAAATGAAAAAAGTCTTTTGTCTTGCAGCCTCCCAAAGCATTTGCTCACTCTTCGAAAGGGAGTCAGCTCATAATCACCACGTGCAAACACTGTTCAAAGACCAGAACAAAACGAATTCGAACATAGAATTCTGCAACAGCACCCACCCAGCAAACTTGGACTCTAAGACATCCCCATTGGCTGCCTCGTTTTCAGCATTGTGAATCTTTTTGTTGTAGGTCGACACATCCATGCTCATGGACCTACATCACGAACACAGAACAGTTGCCAATTTGATCGAAATAGGAAGATACAATAGAATACATAAGAAATAATTTTCTCAACATAGATTCAATTCCTGCAGATCCGTGTGACTGTAACTCCACTTTGACCACACCAGCATCACATGGGCCATCGCCAACAACAGTCTACCAAATGCATTGCGAGTCAGCTCAGCTACTTTGCTGGGATGCAGCATGTTTGAAGCTGTAAGCAAGCAACACAATGCTGTGTCCAATGAAATGCCCAGACCAAAGCCAAATTCGGTTGGCATTAGCCAGCATGGCCTCATATTTTCACCATCGCCATAATGCATGTCTGAAGCACACAAGATAGTCTGCAGCTTATACAGGCACTCTTGTCACCATGGATTGGGAGTTCAAGTGGGCAGAAGTTTTTTGGTTGTCAAATGGACACCCATACTTGGGTGACTAACAATTGTGTATAGTTGCAAAAGTCTCCACTATCTGTACAACAAGGTGCACCATCACCAGTGAATAGCGCTATAGTTTTCACACTAAGCAAAGGAGGAGTGGGCAACTACTCTGTCCTTGGGTAACAGACGAACTTCACCTGTTGCCGTGCCAATCATTATCTGCAAGACACACTGGTTTGGTTTGCATTGCGATATTGACCGGGCAATATCTGCAAGAATCACCGTCAGCAGCACAAATGCCAGGCAGAACATTCTAATCTTCACCTGTGCTTCCGCAAAGTAGGGCGGGCTGCAGCTTCTGCGGCAGCAGCCGCTGCAGCCTCATGCCCGGCCTTTGCCTCAAGCTTGCAGGCAGCGATCTCCTCCTCCTGCCTCTTCAGCTCATTCTCCAGCCCCAGAGTTCTCTCCCTGGCATCATTTCGCTGCTTCACGGCATTGTCAAGCCTGCAGTGCACAAATGTCGCATCGCCTCACACCCTGTCTGTCAAATGGTATAGCTACATCATGGCAAGTGAATTGTTTGCTGCCATTGGCAAAATGTTGGACACGTCCACGATAATCACCCCCAACAATGCACCACTGCAGGGAAGCAGTAACAAGCAACTGCCCAACGCTGAAAACCTCTGCTCAGCCCTGACCAATTCCTGATGTTGTGCGCACCCAACGGCTCGGGAAGCTTTCATACCAGCCCAAACATTTCACACCGCACAAGCATGCCGGCAGACCTGCTGCTGTCCCCCCCTCGCTCTTACTGCTCACTAAGCAACCCAGTTGGTCCATCACCCCAGCTGGATGCAATTAGTTTGGATCCGGACTAACAATCGTCACTGTGGCTGGTGCACAATCACCAGCGCAAATCTTGAATTGCATGTCAACGATGCTGGGACCCACAGCATTGCTTACATGGGTGAGCATATGTGAAATTTCTGATGCACATGACATATCCGATAATGTGTTACACAATGGGCGTGTACTGCCAAATGAGAAAAATGCCGCTGCAAGTAGCTGCACCTTCTCATTAATTCCTCCTCCTTCTTCTTGGATTGTGCCACCAAGTCCTCACTGTCCTTCTCCAATGCCAACAACCTTTCACCTACTTCGGCAACCTTCTTTTCCAAATCCAGATTGGCTTGTTTGAGCGCCTTCTCACGATCGCGGGCCTTCTTGCGCATGGCTTCCAGTTCCTCTTGGATCTGCTTGCAGTGAACACAGAACAGCCTTCTAGCGCCATTCCAGGGGTTGTGTCCACGTGTAGAGTGGGAGCCCCTTTATTCTGCTTTATCATGGACTGTCCAATGTTATAAGTCCATGCCCAACTTTGGACAAACACAATAAGCACGTGATTCGATAATATGTTGAAGGTGGTCTGCTGTTATCCTGTACTGATGCATCAACATATGAGATGACAGACAGACAAGTACAATCGCACGTCCCCCGTTTGCATGTGGTAGACCAAGTAAACACCCACCTTCATTGTAGGGCAAGAACGCACAATAGCGCCCTCTCCACAACAGCATAACTTGAAACTGCTAACAGACAATACGGTTGCAGCAAACAGACTTTGAAGTAATTATACTGTCCCTTAAAGATGGGAAGTATGTACTGTCCGAGGCAACAGGGAGATAACTAGCTGACACAGAAGCATTGAGTGCTGCTGACAGGAGCTCACATTCACAGAGCAACAAATGTGGCAACAACTGACACCAGCTGACCAAAGATAGGGAAATAGCCTAACAACGAGTTGATGAACTGAAATTCTGTCAGAACAAAATTCAAAACTGGCGGTGTAACTTGTGTTTAGCAGATACAAGTCCAAGACGATGCCTGTCTCTGGGCCCCACCTTTTCTTTGCCCTGTCTCTGTTCCTCAACCGCCATCCTGAGCTTTTCCTGCTGTTGGGCGTTTATGTTTTCCTTATCTTGCTCCAGGGCTGCGATCCTCTCGAGGTTTCTGGCTCCCACAGCCTTCTCCTCCTGTAGTATCCCAAGAACAATGATAGAATGGTGAGTGGGGTTTGGGCACAGCACCGTTTTGGGCGCACACTAAGGGTAGCAAAGGTTGCTGTCAGCTGTCACAACATACTGTGGATAAAATACACTGTGCCCATAACTCCCGCACAGTGTGGCATTAGCACTGGTTTACCATAATTATATGACAATTGCCAAGGCATAAGCATGCAACGATCGATTGCACGGTGATATTGGCTTGCCAGGGACAGCAGCTGGCAGAGTAGAACAGCACCATCGCCACTTGATTGAAGGACATTGTAGATTAGCAACTGCAGTGTTGCATATAGCAAGGCCTCGAATCTCCAGTTCACATAATGTTTGTTCATAGTTGGCAAGGACTCGATGGGAGACACAAACGCAAAGTCCAGAACCAGTGCACCACAAAAATGGACAATGACCACACCCTGCAACATGCGCTTTGCACAGACTGCACAAATTCTTTTGCAATCGCTGTGACGCACAGCACAAGTGTCCATTGCACACATTACACAGAGCAAAGCCCATCATTTGGAATAAAGGGAACAAACACTATCATTCAACCACAAAGACGCCACAACCTGTACAAAAAACGGGTCTGACCTTCAGGAACTTCTTGAGATCATTCCTCTGATCCTGCACGTGTGCCAACAAGGCCTCGAGGTCCCTATTTCTCTCCTGCAGCTTCTTCTTGTCTGCCAGCAGCTTCCCTGCCTCCTTGGCCTCCGCTTTCAGCTTCTTTTTCAACCGCCTTGCAAGCTGTGAGCAACACATAGGCACCATGTTCAGCAAATGTGTTCCACAGCCTTAATGTCTACAGCAGAGGAACCCTGTACATGGAGTCACACACCACCAGCGGAGCGCAGTTTCCTCAGAGACACATAGGGAGCTATCAATTTGGGTGTACGCAAATTTTGACACTACAGACAAAATCTACCAGTGCAAATATCCCTACAATCCCCATATCCAAATATGCTGCAAGCCACATTGGTGGGTGGGCAACATTGCCTCAATTCTGGCAAGTCTGGTCAAGCCTGTCTGAATATAGAACTAGCCCCTGAACTTCAAGGTAGAAGACTGAGATATCACGCTCTTCAGGCAACCTATGCGCACATAATGATGCAGGGCAACAGGGGAAGTAGCAGGTCAAAAAGCACCATCGTTTAGCAAGCACTAATTTCCATGCCCCGCGTTGTCAACTGCATGAAGCAGTAGAGTTGCACTGCAAAACTTTCCTGTGGCATAAATAGATCCCTCATCTTGCACTTTTAACACATTCGTAAGCAATACTACTGGCACACTCACAACTTTACTGTTTTGGTTAGGGACTGGCAACCAACAGCCGAAATGCCAAACAACACTGTGGATTTGAAGAACAACAAATCGCAGCAAAAGGGCAGTCCAACAACGCCTCTAAGCACACCTATGGAACATTACGATGGCCACAGGCCACTGCAATGGTCAATAATGACTGAGATCATTCATTCAACGCCATGTTACCGACTCAAAAAGACAAAAAAGGGGAATGGCGAGCAAGCAAAACAAGGGACGAAAAGAAAATGACTACAGTCTGTGCCTGTCAGCGCCAGGGCGGCTTGTTCTTCGGTCCGCCTGGTGGGTGGCAGAGTTTGGAAGTGGACAGTGGTCGCCTCGCGCTTGTTGGGGTGGAGCCGCGGGAGGTGCCACGGCGTGATGACCTTCCCGAAGACGAGTGGCGCTTCCCATTGCAGACCTCAATGCGGGGAAGTGGCAAAGGTGGTGGTGGATCCTGGCGATAAAGTTTCGTGGCGTCAGCGCGGGACACGCCCTGGCGAGGGGATTGGTTGTGGTGGGAAAGGCAGAGGTCCATTTGGTTGGGGATGGTCTGCCTGCTTTGTCTGTTTATTGACTTTCTCATGTTCTATTTTCGGCACGTATTCAACTTGCAACAAATAGTACCGATTCCTGCACCAAACAGCATCAAGTCTAACACCCAACCATCTTTGTGCCAAACAATGTGCAATAAGACGATATTGCATAAGACACAATATTGAGTGTGGTACCAACCATTTCTGCATCAATTTTCTGGAACTCCAAGCAAAGGATTGTTGCAGCAATATAAATTGGCAAGCAATCCGCAGCTGAGTTACAATCACAGAATGGAAATTCACTGTTTAGAGCGCGAAGCTTACTTTGGGGTATTTTATACTTGAAGTGTTATTATGATACTACTATCTCAAAGTTAACACATTTAATACATTGAAGGATCTGATACTCTGTTCGTTCAATACCAGATTCAGAATAGGTTTGCACCAACTTCAGTGTTGTTTGGCACAAAACCAGGTTCGGCACTAGTCTCAAAGCCACTCAGCAGAAATTCAGCACTATTCGTCACAGAGTCAAATAGGCTCCTTCATTTTCGTAACATCGTTTGTCACCATAGAATAGTGCCATACTGCTTTCCTGTACACATGTTTCTGGCAGAGTGCGTTTGCTGCCCTCCCCACTGAACAACGACTGCCCATTCTTCCTTGACTGGATAATGGCATGGGTGGAGGGCTCTGCAGCTTGTGGCTGCCGGTGCTCAGGCGCGTCTGTTGGTGCTGACAAGGCTGGAGGAATCCTTGTGCAAGATAAGGGGCGATGACCGGCATCCGAGGCCTTGAAGTGTCCATTCTGGAGGTGCCCTGTTGTGCCCTGCTGCTTCATACCTGCTGTGTGGGAATGCTCTCCACAGGAAGATGCCCACTGTGAGAAATGTTTCCAGCCCTTTTTGCAGGTACCCAAAAGGGACTTGCTTGCAAGAACAATTGGCCATGGCGATGATGAGGCACTCAACTATGGGCATTCTCTTCATTCTCTAGTGGTCAGTTTCTCCAGAGATACAGATACCCAGTTGATGGGGATGGCTTTTGGGAGGTTTAGACATTTTTGGTACCAGTTTGGGTACAGACTGACCTTTGTACAAAGACACTGAGACATTTTGACCAAGCAGCAGAAGACTGTGCGTGACAATGGGCAGATAACAAGCAAATGAGCAAGTGGCAGCAATGGGCTAAATAGGATGAGTTTTTCTTTTTTTGTTGGCAGCGAAATAACAGCAGCCACTGGTATGGGCTTTGTATTTGCTACACTCTGCCAACTGACAAACTGGACCCTGAACAAGACTGGCTATGAAACCATTCGGCACCAGAATACTCCTGGCGTAATAAAAACATTTTATGGCTGCAAGTAACAAAAACATGTTATGGCTGCAAACACACTGAAAATGTAAGTGCATGGATGCATTCGGTGGTGGCTGTGGCACAAAGGGACAGAGCTGGGGCCATGGCACCCACCACCACACGACGTCCACATTGAATGACGATTGCTGCATGGACAATCCTCTGGTACTCCTTTCGGGCCATGTAGCCTCGCCAGATCCTCTGGATCTTTGTGGCCGCCCGTTGGACACGCAGGTCATGTACAGCCATTCGTGCCTTGTGGCCCCTCCAGCCTGCTTGCATGCGCAGCACGGCGCGGTACGTATTGTTGTATGCCTCACGGGCCTGGTGGCGCCGCGTGTATTTCTGAATGATGACAGCAGCCCTGAGGCGCCGCTTCTGTGCAGCAAGACGGCGAGCAAACATGCCACGAGTGTGTGCCTGTGATGAAGGCAAATGATTATGTTCAGCATCAGTGGACTTCAAACTGCATCCTCAATATAAAAGCAAGACAATTCCAATTAAATGAGTTGGTACATCTTCAAGTGAAAATGCAGCAGGCAGAAGCGATGAACAGAACAAAAGAGATGAGTTTCGCAATGCAGGTACATGGCCCCTAGGAGCCTTATGGCTGAGATTATCACGAAAGCTCTGTGCTCACACTGATGGCCATGGGTGTCTGCAGGATCTCAAAACCTGCCAATCATCTCCTTTTTGAGTCAATCTCCATTGTTCTCAGGAACAGAAATGGTGTCACATTCTGGCAGGAGCTGGCAAGGTCTGTGCATACCGTCAGACAAGCGCCAATCCCATCGTACTAGTGCAGCAACTCATCGGGTAGAGCAACGGAAGGATGACAATGGACAATGAAAACTATCAGGCAGTGCATCACAACATGTTCGAACTTTGAGGGCAATATGACACAGTTATTTGTCTTTCTGGCAAGATTGCTAAGCTTGCAAGAATGAGACACACTCAACAGCTTAAAGCGCTTGAATTCTTCAATTTCCCAACATGACAATGGTCCAACAAACTCACAAAATCGTTTGACATTACCTGGATAACGACAACCGCTTTGAGCGTCTTCTGGTAACGCTTCCTCTGAAGGTAACCCTTCACACTCTTTTGAATTCTGGTGGCAGATGCCATGAGCAATTCTGTCCTCTTCTTGTCCAGAATGGCCAGGCCCCCTGACCGCAGGAACAGCTTGCTGATGCCCATCTGGAAGTCCTCCACTCCGGCTTTTGTGACGATCTCCTTGCAAAGCTCCTTGTCGCTCACGTTGCCGTGGTACTGCTTGATTGCCAGCGGCCAGAAGTGGTCCACGAAGTCACCATACAGACGCTTCGTGGGGTATCCTGGTCAGGGAGAAAATCTGTTTGGCCACGTTGGCTGTCACAAGAAAAATGACGAGGCACTGCCCAACACATTGAAAACGATGGCAGGCACTATCCCAACCACGCTGCTGCTCAAGAAACATTTGTTCTATTCGAGTCACACAAAGTCCCAAAAAAACTGACAAGAGAAGCCTGCAGCAATCATCGTGACATCTCCAGGCAACCAGAAAACTGGGAGGAAATTTTTGAAGTGCTGCGCTACAGTGCGGCTGTCTACGTCCAAAGGGCACAGTGTCACCACACACAAGCCCTGGCAGGGGAATCAGGGGATATGTCAAAGTCTGGAGGAACACCCAGCTGCAAGTTCATGTCCTTAGGTGCCCTTTGTCAGCATGGACGGAGGGGCAGCCAATCTGTTCAGCAAAGGTGTCTTTGTGAGCGCAAACATGAAACCTGTTGTCCACAAATCGTTCTGCAAGGATACAGTTGTGCCTATTGAGATGCTTGTCATCATGACTATGAGAAACATCTCTCCAATAAAAGTTGCCCTCTCAGTGCTGCTTTGAGGGTGAATTGACACTGTTAGGAGCTTCAGACAAAGAGGCAGAACACCAAAATTCCGGCACTGTGGAGTAAGTATGCAACCTCCACAGAGCAGGCTGGCACACAATTCCTTCACAAGCAGAAAACGGGCTGGTTGCAAGTGAGATACTGTGAGATTCACTGTCATATATATAAAACCCAACTGTGTATCAAGAAGCACAAATAACATTAGTGAAGCAAGTAATCAAACTATGGTGCGTGTTGCATATATTCCACTGCAAAGCTCTGCTGGGGACACTTACCTGCACAGCTGATCCTTACAGCCTCCAGCACGCCACCACATCGCAATTGGTGCAAGCAATACACATTCTCGTAGTTCATAGGCTGGTTCACGCTGTTCGGCTTGATGCACCTATCAGGCAGCAGGCAAAATTTGTGATCAAGAACACAACGAGGTACCCACTGCGATTGCCTTGTCAACACAAGCTACGACAATAACCTCGTGACTGAAGGCGATCTTGGCGGGGCAGAGCTACGGGACAACAATGGATCATGATTCAGCAAATCACGCAAGCTGTATATAACAAGCAACACCGCTTGGTGAACACTCATCATACTTATAAGAAACATCACTTCACACTTGTTTGCATGTTGCAAAGGATGATCTGGGACTGTCAACACAATCAGAAGAAAATGCACACCTTATATAGTGTGGAGACATGGTGTGGAGTGTAGACATCAGCTCGTGTAGCTGCTTCTTGAAACGGCTCCCAACGGAAGAAAATTTGTATGCAGACTTGTTCCCAGATTTGCCATTGGCTTTGGGCTGGGGTGCACCAGCACAAGCGCACTCAGAACAGACCTGGAGCTGGCTGCCCAATGCAGCACCACGTTGACAGCAGTACCAAAATGTATATTCGGTTAACTAAGACAGCAAGTGCTCAACGACATGTGCGACACAAGCATGCAACAAAAAGCACAAGATCCAATGGGCTTTCTGAAGGAAACGTGCAGCACGATGGGCACAACCAGCAGTCCCAAGCAATGCCTTTGGTACTGTTCTGCAATGCATATCAATTCTGCAGGTGCACCTGGAAAGGCACAAACTGAAAAGCAACACTGGCAGCAACATGGGCAAGTCTTGGACGGTACCTCACATTATCAACAACTGCACAACTCTTGCCACTGCTCCATTTCCAAGTTCATTTTCAATTATTCAAATATTCAACTTCAAGCGCAACTCTGAATCAGTGAACTGCAGTGCCCTTTCGCTCTTCTTTGAGAACATTTATCTCAAAGACTATGTTCCTAGGCTTCTATACAGCTGCTAAACAGATGTTCAAAAGAATATTTCGGAATTCAACATATGCAGGAGTCACATCATATCTAGCTGCATCCTGAGCATTCCGGCACTCACGGCATCTTCCTCCGATTTGAATAGCACTGTTACGAACTCGAGCCCCGAGCTGCCCAACAGGTCTTGGTGCTCAAAGATCACAAAGTCCTTGTTCTTGGCCATGAAATTGGTGACCTGCACACAAAACCCTACTTAATGCCTGTCGAGAATTCGACATATTCTACATCAGCTGCCAATGTAACTTCCCCAAGGACGCCTGGCTCTTCGCATTGCCGCAAGATATAATTGGACTCAAACGGCAGAAAGTACCCAACGTTAAAGGAGGGGGCATGCAGCTTGTCGTGTCTTGCTGTTGTGCCCAAGAGATGTCACAGTGAGGGATGTTCACACCGCTTGACCTCAGAATGTTTGGTCATCTTGTGTGCTGAAACACCATCAGCTTCTGCTGCACAGTCTCTCTTACAAACGCTTAATGCCTTTTCCATGCATCATGAATTTATGTACGATATTTTCATGACTTCAAATAAAGCTGGCACATCAAAGCCATTGATTGACTTAAATTACAACACGGCAGGAGTGGTGGGTGTCCTGAATTTGTGCCATTCACTCGCGAGGCTCAGGATTTCCTTAGGTGAATATCCAAAAAGTTGTGTGAGAGTACTCAGCACACATACAGCACTGGAGATGCACTCAACTGACCTGATAGGTGACAGCGCCTGCATAGTGGTCCAGGGTGAAGGAAGTCACAGAGCGCCGTGGCTTGGAGAACCGCTTGTGCTTCATCACAGTGTCAGCTTGGTACAGCTTCTGGGCGAGGTCATCCGCAGTCGACTGAACAAGACACGCCATCCTGTGATATCTTCCACAGATGCAATCCACGGATTCGAATAGCGATTCTAACTGTTGCAGACTGAACTAAACACTAATGGTCATCATATGGCTTTTCTGCAAACGCACTGCAAGAAAATCGAGCAGCGATTCTCATAAAATGTGCCCAGCATGACATCAGATGGGCACAGCACTTGCGGTAAGAGTCTACGGCTTTCCTGTTGTTGGAAGTAGCTGTGGTTGCAGACGTGCAAAAGTCTGTCCAGCACTGTATGGCCACCATATGTCTACAAGGCAATTACTGCCTCAGTTTGTGGCCACCTTGTGTGTTCCCACATCTTTTGTGACTGCTTCACACACAACTCTTTTCAATGCAGGGGATAGTGAGGCAAAATATGAAATAGTGGGGACAACATCAAGTGCCAAGGAAGAATAGATTCTTCAGAGGCAGAGCACACATTGCACAGGTCCCTGTTGGACAATAAGTTTGGAGACTCTCTGGTATTCTGCACGAAACAGACTATGTCAAAAGTCACAGCAAGAGCATATTTCTGCTCAGCACCCTTTTGTTTGCATCTGAGGGCCTGCACGTATGTCAACAGCTTACAAGCCGGTCCACATTGTTGCTGCATCTCATGTTGCAGACACCACTATCTATGTGCCGTGTAATGATGTCACAGCCAATGGCTGCACTTCCGATGGACAGCCAAATGAAGGGATACGAGCGAGCAGCCTTATGTCATCGCATGTGGAACAGGTGTCAAGCTGTCACAACCACTCAAGATTCACATCACATGGCACCTCAGCACCAAAAGTTACTGTGCCAGTATGACAATGAAATACACCAAACCTCACATGCAACATGGATCAATGTTTGCCACTGTTTGGATCCCTCACAAAATACACTCACATTTCCAAATTTGCAGGTCTCATCCAGCAAGTCCAGTATGCCCATCTTGTTTTCGATGAGGTCCAGGACGTCCTGGTTGTCCACAAATTCGATGTAGCTCCAGTCGATTTTTTCTTTCTCGTACTCAGCCTAGAATCAACACACATAACTGCATCGAGACCACACTGACAAGCATTGGCAGGAATTTTTGATGCGATACACCCTCCTGGCCTGGGCTCTCAATGTGGCTGCAAACAATAAAACTTGTGTTTCCTTGAGCACCACGCGAACTGCAAAACATTGCTAGTTTTCCACAATGGTGTGTCCAAAATGGTCTCCTCCTTATTCCATTCGCAATTGTCAAAAGCCTTCAACAGTTCCATTCAATGCCAGCACATGCATTGCATTTTGCCCAAAATCGGTCCAACAGCCCTTCCGTAGTCCTCTGCCTGCTCCAGCACTAAACTGCACCAAGTGAACTGAACCTTCACGACATCACTTCAGCAATGCATTTCGATCCTACCAGGGCGACATGCACCGCATCGGCACGTGCACCCACCTGCTCCATCTTGAAGACGTGCTGGTTGAAGTGCTGCTGCAGCTTTTCATTGGCAAGGTTTATGCAGAACTGCTCAAAGTCATTTTCCGTGAAGCACTCAAAGCCGTATATATCCAACACACCAATGACGCATCGGCAGTTGGGGTCCTGTCCTATGGACGTGTTCACAGCAGACACCAGCCAGTCGAACAGCTTTGAGTAGATCGTCTTGGACAGAGTGTCGCGATTGTCCATGGATGCTGCCGGAGGGAGAGGACTAACAATTTTGCCTGTGCGTCGCATTGAACACCAATTCAGACAGCTCCGCCCCTGATGCTGTCATCACCTTACACTACCTCCACACAGCACCCATCCTATACTGTGTATTAAAAAGAAGCACAAAAAAGTTGATTTGCATCCTAAAATGTGCCATGCCCGCACAGCTGCATCAAACAAAACAAACAATAAGTGGTTCAGCTCTTTTGTACCATGCAGTGCTAATGCGCACACCTGACCAAGACGAACAGGGGCAAGTCCATGCACTACACTGATAATTTGTATCCCCCATTTTGTTTCTTCTTATATTATGGCGTCATTGTATCAGTTTCCGTTTACTTCCTAATAGCACACTTGATATACATTTATGGTTCTGCTACATATTCTTCGTTGCCATCACCAGACAAGAAACCAGCTTACACAAGCATGGCAAGAACAAACATTGCCATCTGTTGATTATGCAGATAGGCTAAATATTACGTGGTTCTGAAGTGCAAACCCACGCACAGCAGACTGTCCATTCATCCACAGTGACAAGAGATCACCTCTTTGGAATCACCCACGCTTTGGAATCACCCATTCTGATTACTGTCAAGGTCTTTCCCAATTTCACAACCTCACACTGCAAGCAATGAACACAGACAAGCGCAAATGGCAAGAGAACATTGACCCCAGGGTACACTCAAAGCCAGAGGTGTGAAACATCCATGAAATGAGACCAAGGTCTGACGAACACCCAACCAAAAGCCAAACAGCCATTACTAACCATCTGGAGTGCTCCTGGTCCTTGTTGTCAGGGCATGTTTCAGTCCCTCCGCTGAGACGCCGAGCAGTTTTGCAGCGGCATTGAGATGGAAGGTGGCTTTGTCATCGGCCAGTTCTGATGACTCTGTCTCAACGCCATCAACAAAAGCAATATTGCCAATGTGGAGGACAGCTGCAACAGTCCTGAAGACATCCATCTGGTCTTTCTCGGGTATGCCCACAAGCGACATGGCCTTCTTTGTTCTCTAGTGGAGGACACACACACACACACACAACGAATCATTGACTTCTGCATCGTCTCCATTTGCCAAGAACTGGCAAAGCACCGTGACTCGATACAACAAGGGACAGTGAGGGGGATAATCTCTAATGTTCTATTCTGGATGACGATAGACTGGATTACCCGGTTTCTGTCCGTGGACATATTGGGTCGGTGTGGGTCCTTGTCTCAATAGCACAAAGCAACTCCAAGCACCTCTGCTGGAGGCCAACAGCCATGTCTGGGGTTGTGTGGGTGTGTGCTCGTCCATTGACGATGTCTGCCCATGAGCATGCAGCACAGGAATATGGTTCAAATTGGTAAAGTACTAAAAGCTGAGCATCAGAAGTATTGCTGCTTGCTGGAGGACAGCAAACCGCAAGTATGGTGCGTGTGTGCGCCTGCTTTGATTGCTTTTGTTCTAGGGGAAAGGAACCTGCATGGGCAATTTTCGTTCATATCTGACATGATTTGCGAAAATGTGTCAGAGCACTGACCATGCACCTGCGGGGAGTTGATGAGTACCAGTGACATTTACTGCTGTTTGCCTCCATGGGCATCTCAAGTCCCTCATGCCACCCAAGTGCACACAAAGTTGATGGCTGATGGGACGTTCATGCCATCTTGGCTCTTGTTCGAGCTGCCGGCGTGTTTGCATGATGGAAGATCCGACCAAATGCTTTGCTCCTCAACGAGCATATGCTACAACACAAATGTTGTTGCAGAAATCTGACAGAAGAAAATCTGTAAATGTTCGCTCTCTCGTTGACAGTCAACCTTGGGAGGAGCTCAGCTCGAATTTCGCGACATATGATAATACTCAATCTTACCATCAATGCCAAGATTGGATATTCCCAGAACAGGATGGGAGCTGCAAGTGTCACCACATTCTCCCCAAGAAATTGTCAGAAAAAAGGGACGTGTTTCTGTGCATTTTGTGACCACCACACTGATCTACCTGGTCGTACACAGGCAGCCTTTGATCCAGGCCGAATGGCAAGAAACAAGAAACAAACAAAGCCGCGCTGAATTTTGTGCCTGTTTTATGGTATTTGTCTGAATGCTGTTCAGACATGCCTCGCAGACATCTCGATTGCGCTATCATGGCTTTAGTTCCCAATTTGGTCCCTGGCCAGCATCCTTCTGATGTTCACTACTGCAGCAACCAAAAAGTAGTGCTTATCAAGTCTCCCTCAACTCTTTGCATACTTGAGTTCCTATGTATCCACTGGCTCGTTGCACATTCAGTGAATCCACCAGCAACAAGAGCTCCCACTGCTGTTCAGTTCAAATCCCAACTGAACAGCTTCCGACCACAATCACATACCTTGTACTCTCGAGCATTGTCGACACCCTTGAGGTTGAAACATGTGCTCTGACTCAGGTAGGCAAATTCCGATGCTGGCTTCAGGAAAAAAGCCTCCTTCTCCTCATCAGAGGCACCATCGCACAGCTGTGCAACACATCTCAACACTCAAGTCGTGGCCAGGGTAGCAAAAGATGCAGGTTAATTCCTACAGTTGCTACATAGGTCCTCAATGCATTCCCATAGATCCTACTATGTGCCAGCCTTAAATACGATTCCTTTGCCCACTTCTGGAACCACAGGAGACACTCTCACAAAAGAATGCCAATTACTTGAGATACAAGAGTCCACACTCTCACCCACCCACCACTTCCCTGAACAATTGCTGACAACACAAGGAAAGAACAGAAATCACTGTGCATGAAAATCATAGGTGATTCTGCAGCATTTGCGTGGACAAAACACCTGGCAAGAAAGTCAGCACTTGAAACCCCAAATACAGGACCACTTTTCAAGGGTGTTAGACACAAAGAAACCCATTCCCGACAGAAGTCTATTTCTTTCTCTTCCACAGACTTCCATGGCCAGCATCAGCCTGCTAGTGCAGTTGTGAAAGTAAATTGGCGCAAATCGATATCCACAATCTCCTTATCTGCAGTGTGCTTTGGAATGGTACTCCAGGCAATTACGGCAGGAACGTTGACAAACACCAACATATGTATGACGAACATGTGCTTCTAGCATGGGACGAATTCAACTCTACCACTGCCACTATTCTCAATTGGCTCAACGGTCGCATTTCTGAGGCATGCATGATGTTCCAAGGGAGGAAGTACAACATACAACCTAGAAAACGAACATACGTGCATACACATATGCAATGAAGCAGCAACTGCAGTGTACCACGCAGCAGCTGTTGTCAGCACGAGGGCCGTGCACAGAGCACGCAATGTTGAACATAGATCGGAAGAGGTGGAGCAGAAACAGTGCACATTGCAAGGGGCTTCTTACCTGATAGAAAACGTGATAATTCCGCTCTGGGTCGTTCAAGCTCACCACCCGTGACCGTTCCAACAGGTATGTCCTGATAGCTGCACCTGAGATCCTGCCGTTTTGGTCAAAGTGCAGTTCTGTGAACTTTCCAAACCGGGATGAGTTGTTGTTCCTGGTTGTCTTTGCATTGCCAAAAGCCTCCAACAGAGGATTGGACTCAAGGACCTGCATTTGAAGACACGAGGGGAATCATTTGAATCTTCGCAAGCCACATCAACACATTTTGGACATGTCCTCATGAGCAACACCCCATAGTGTTACTGCAACTCTAAATGGAACCAGGCAAAAGGAACAAAAGCTTCTGCTCCACACAACCTGCAGTAATGTATTCGTTTCAGCAGATCAGTGCCTATGGACAGAAGATGGTCTGCTACCATTTGGCATTCTACAATGAATTCAGAAATATGCGCACAATAGCATGGACAGATCACCAGACGCTGATCAATGGCAAGGGTTGCAACGAGAACAGAACACACCGATACAAGGTACCGCAAGGTACAGTGCATTTTGCATCCTGTTGCACTCACTTGTGAGGGGGCACATGGAATACATCTGTCCGACTAGGGTGGGGGGGGGGGACACCTGGGCTCTCAAAATGAGCTGCGAATGTTTGGATTAAACAATATACGGGCACAAAAAGGCAACTCAATTCTGAGCAACCAGCTGATACAGTCTGTGCACCCAAGACACACCAGAGAATCAATGTGCCAGATGCTGTCAGGACACCAGGTAGGTCCTTCTGTTGCCATACCTGTTGTTCCACACTGCGAGTGTCATCTGCTGAGTCATTTGCGGCTTCTCTATAGCCTCCCATGAAGGCAAGGTAGCGCATTATGAGTTTGCTCGTTTCAGTCTTGCCAGCACCGCTCTCTCCGCTAACCTGGAGGTCGATTGCCACAGGCCAAGTGTGAAAGTCAGAGGAGAACTCTGCCACAAACGCTGCCAAAGATGCTTCTGTGACGACAAGCCATCTCAAAATCGAAGGTTGGAGTTGAAGATCACAACAGCAGAGGTAGGACAGCCAGAGCATATCACAGTACAAAAACCCCTTCTGCATTGTAATGTTATGTTTGGCCTTGTTATAAAGTCAGTAATATAAACGTAATTGTGCCCAGAAATGTGCCATAAGAATGTGAAGCAGCCCCAGCCACAACGCAAAGGTCTCCTGCGTGTTCATGGCATTTAGCAGCCCCAGATGCACAACTCACTGTGGCAGAAAACTAGCATTCGAGGCCACATGAACTAAGTCCAGACCGGCTGCGACCGTGCTGCGGAGCCCCATAAAATAATGGCCAGTCAACAGAAAGCAGGGCAGAATCCTAATGGTATGTTCCAAAACGCCGAAGGGCAATACACTTTGGTACAAAGGCACTTGAAACAAGGAATGTGTCCTGTGCACCCAGGAAAAACCTGTGAAGGAGTGTACAACTGAACAGCACATGCATACGAGGTGCAAGGGAAAACAGGCTGCCCATACTGTTGATCGCCTGGGCCCTGAATACACCAACGGCTCCCTGGCCTCCAGCAACCAGCAAAACACACAGCTTGATGGCACACCCCCTCCCGCCCCTTGGCCGGCGCCAATCCCCGGCTGCCCCCTCTCAGCCACCGTCTCCCCCACAACCACACATTGACCAACGTCAATGGTCACACACGCCCCAAGCAACGCACACACCCCACCAGCGCCCCCGATTGCAGCGCCCGGCGCCTCTCGCCCCCCGCACGGCCACGCACTCTCCGGCCAGTCCTCACCCCACCCCGCGCCAGAGATCCGTCCCCTTCAAAATAAGCCCCCGCCCTCCTCTTCCCCCCTTCTCACCAGAATTGATTGGCTGCTGCTCTCTTTTATCATCAGCCGGTAGGCCTCGTCGGCCACCGCGTACACGTGAGGCGACAGCTCTCCCAGGTCCACGCCCCGGTACTGCTCCATCATGTGGCGCCCGTACAGGTGGCCCAGTGCCGCGAAGGGGTTGACAGCGATCAGGATGTTGCCGGTGTAGGTGTAGATGTCGTCCACCATGTAGCGCGACCGCAGATTGTGTAGCACGGCGGGCTCGTTCAGGTAGGGCAGCTTGGTCATGTCCTGCGGGAGGCGAAAACAAGGGCAGGCGTGAGGCAGCGTTGTCAAGCGCCAGGCGCGTCAACAAGCGGCCCAGCGGCCGGCAGGAAGATCGTCAAACGGTTCAAACGGGGGCAAACCTCCTCGAGGCGATTGCCTCAGGAGGAATTGGATCCGCTGCGGGGACCGCTCGACCCTGCATTCGGCATCCTGGCCCGGACCTACGGGCCTACGGGCGCGTCGATGAGGGGGGCGAGACGCAAGGCTGCAAGGCAGCGCGCGAGGCACGGCAGCCCGGTGTGAGGCAACGCTCCATGCGACAAGGCGCGGGCCTGCCCTGCCGGTGCATGGTCTGCTTGCACCGCGTTCCAACAAGGCAATCGTCGCCGCAGCGCGCAAACTCCGGTGCGGCGCCCGCGACAGCACCGCCACACTTCCCCGCCGCACACACCCTTCGTCCACACACACACAGTCAAGCCCCGATGCAACATGCACAGGCGCCATCTTCGGTGTCCCGCCAGCGCCCACCGTGCGCCAATCAATTTTCTCGTCCCGGTCCGCCGATTCCCCTCGCCCACCGGCCACCTCCACCGTCGAGACAGGGGTCGCCGTGGTCAGCGTCCACTACGAGCCCCAAACGCAAAAAGCACCCAGCGCAACCAGGCGCTGCCTCGACCACCAATCGAGCACCGATCCCGCCCACCCACCTCCTCCGGCCGCCCGTCCACGTTTTGCCTCGGACACGCCATAGCCGACTTCTTCACAGTGGCGCCGGTCTCCAGCCGCACGCTCACTTGCTCTCCATCCAGCCCCACAACCTCCCCCTTCATCCACCCCACATCATTGTCCTGCACCCACACGTGCGACCCCACTGCGTGGATCGCCGCACTAAGCTCGCCCATCTCGACCCCCCGCGCCCCTCCCCCCTCTGTTCCACCTCGGCGCCTGGCCGCGCGCCCACTGGACACACGGCGACGAGATTTCGAATCGCGCCTGCGATGTTTCGGCGCGGGGGCCGATCGCGGGCTGCGGGCCTCAGGTTCCCTTCGCCGGGGGGGGGCTGGGGCCTGGCGGGGCGGGCGGCGGTGTCGTGCGCGCCCGCGGCGGGGAAGGGTCGAGAAAAAATGGTGGGGCGCTGGGAAGCGCGGCGCGGAACAGGGCGACGCGACGGGTGGGCGGGGGAAGTGGGCTTTTTTCGCCCGCGCGAAAAGAGTGTTACGGGCCGCGGGAGGCGCTGGTCTGGTACATAACCGGTGGTGATTCCGTGACGATCACGGTGTAACCTGTGTACCTGCCCTGTAACTGCTTTAGGCTGGATGCCGTGATTCGCAGCCTGGCGAACGAGGGGTCGAGGGAGTGGAAGTGAGGGTGTCAAGTCAGCCCTGGCGCTTGGCCTCCGTGCTCAGCGTCTGGCCACTGCCCGTGGCCACTTTCCGTTGGAAAGAAAGGAAGAAAGAGCGCCGGCAAGGGTCAGCGCGGTCAAAGTCGCATTCAGCGACTGGAAAGCGCTGGCCGGACTGGGAGGCTCGCAGCGATGCAGCGGACTCGAGCAGCGGCGTTCGAATGCCCGTGCCATGAATGCCGACGGATGGCGGGGGTCAGGACCGCAGCGACGGCCCAAGCCCGAGCGCGGGCGGGCGTCTGGTGCGCTGCGAAGAAACTGCCCCAGGTTGGATACTTCTCTGAGGCGGACCCCACAGGTGGGCGTTGAGGCACCCTTTGGTCACAATTGCGTTGGGCTCGATTTGGGGCAACGCCCTCCTCGTCCGCGTTTTGAGTTCCGAGTCTGCTACCAACCAAGAATCCTCATTCAACGGTAGCCACAGTCAGAGATGTCGTCAGCGAGATGTCTCATGCTTGTCTGCGATGCCGTTGTCACCGATCGGCGCTTAAGCTGATCGATTTGGTCAGCGGCGTACCACCATTTCCTTCACGGCGTCCGTTGTTGTCCACAACTTCATGCTGGAAATCATTTTCAGTTGTGTTCCCAAAGGGAAAGGCGCCTGCATGGAATGGGTGCTGGCACAATCAGTGGCAAACAAATGGAACCCAGTGCCTGTCTGACCCCGCGTCTGCTCAACACATGGAACTCTTTCTGTATGTGCAAATGCCGGCAGATCCCTATCAGCAGGGTCTGCACGGTGTCTATGCGCGCTTCAGAGTTGATTGAAGAGGGTTTTAAATTGCAGCCACGGGAACACCGTGTGCAGTCCCAAAAAGCTGGCTGGGTGTGAACTGTGCACCATTCCCATCCTCGGCGAGCACAGAAACTGCATAAACTCAGAGAAGTGTCAATGAGACTGTTTGGAGTGGTGTATAAATTCACTTGCCTTGCAAGGGAAGGTGGATGTCGTGCCGTGTGCCTTTCTCTCAGTGACAATGCGGTTGATTGTTGCAGCCATGTTCATTCACTCGTGGCCTACTATTTGTTCGTGTATCAGTTCTTGTTGTCACTTGCTTCAGGTAACTCTGGCATTAGTTCATGAAGCTGCATCCCACTAGCGAGTTCCTTGTTTCGCCATGATGCAAGAATATGTGACTTAATTGACTTTGCCCCACATTCAGCAATGCCAGTTGGACGTCAGTGTGTTTCCTGAGGCTGCCAGGATACTTTCAATTCGTCTCCAACCCATGGAGTGAGTTGTGTCTCACTTGGTGCATTGGGGACGTTGGCAACTGGTGGTATCGAACAGCACAATTGCAAGGCACCGTTTGTTCTTGCAGCACTCGGTGAAACTGAAAATGTGGATGATGTGCAATTAAATGCTGCAGATATGCAGAAAAATGTTGTTCTGATGTGCGAACAATTTCGTTGTGTCTGGAGTACTGCAGGCACAGTACCCTTTGGTGTCGGAGCATTATGCATTGAGAGCTTTTGTCTGTTGATGGTCCTGCTTGTGCCTGTTGGTGCAGCGGAAGTGCCTCCCGCCCGTAGGAAGCCCCTTGACCCATCTGACCGCGGTGGGCGATTTGACCCAGAATTCATCTGGAACACAGGCTGGGAGCAGGAGGTGGGGTGTGGCACACCTAACCCTGTTCTGATTATCTTTTACCAACAGTTGACCTGGCATGCGATGGGCACTACCTTCCTAGGCAAGAACTCCAGTTGACTGTTTCATGGTGTTTGCTACGTTCAATCTGAGACACTGTTGGATGCGATGTAACAAACCTTTGAGGGCAGCATAAATTGTAGGCCGAACGAACCAGAACCCCTGCATGTTACCCTTTGCCTGCAACCACACTGACCAATTTTGTCAGTGGAGGTCAAATGCTGCACTGCTGCTATTGGGCGATGTTGGACCTGTCTGCTTGTCAGTGCCAAAGCAGACGCCTGCACAAAAGTGATGAGCAATGTTGGCATTTCAATGCATGATCTAGAATAATGTTGATCTCATGTACTCCGATGTAAAGTGCTAAGCTTTGCTCACGTTTCAGCTTGTCAGGTCTCACATTCAGGCACCTGTCACAGACTGAAGTACTGCTGTTGTCTGCATGTGTGAGTGTGTGCCTCTGCAGTATGGCAACAGCCAAGTTTCTGAATGGACGATGCTGGCTCTTGGCCCAGCTGCTCTAAACAGATATGGGTAGACTTAACATTGTTGTTCAGCTTGCCATGGGTGCCAATTTAACACTGGCCAATCCGTGGTTTGTGCATTTCAGGATGGGTCCCCGCTGTGGCAACCAACAGCAGAGACTCCAGTTGTGATAAGCTTAAAGCTGGCAGCAACACACGCACTGTGAATCGCTGTGAATCATGTTAAAGAGGGGATTTATGGCATTCAATTGGCATACACAGTATGTGTGCCCAAGTCTGCTGCATACACCCCAGTCCCTGTCATTTTCCTTTTGGACGATGTTGGCCCAGGGGATGAGCTTGGAGGCTGTGCATTCGTTTGGAGATTCTGTACCAAAGGACAGAGACTGGACACTTTGTAGTGTTGATACTGCATTTATGGTGGTTGACAGCAGCAATGAAGGCATGCACATACTCTTCACCACCTTGTCGACAGGATGTTCACTTCATGGCCTGACATAGCACTGCAGCTGCAAAGGGCCTGAATGGACTGATGTGCATAGCTGTAACCACCGTCACTCATATATTATACTGCTGTTACACGAACCTTCAAAGATTCCATAGTGTGGAGAGGGTAGAAATGCTTGGAACAGCTGAGGTGCAGGTTTGTTGAACCATACATGTGTCAGGATTCACCACCACCACAACACCACATCCTGAGAAGAGAAATTTAGCATCTGTGCCCTTGTCGGGGATATGATTGTCCAGAACTCTCTATACTGTGGAAAAGCGAACAAAAACCAACAATGGGAAAGGGGTGGGGGTGGGGGGACTGGGGGTTTCATGTTTGAGATTTTCCACCTGTGGCCGTTGCAGTGTTCCATGGTCGAAATCGATGTTTGCACAGGTCGCCCCCCAAAACACGCAGACGAACTGGCAACATTTTGTGGATTTAGGACATGTGCCACGAATGGTGTTTGTCTGTAGAATTCAGATTGCTGCCCAAGGGGCCATTTAGTTGTGTCACTGATGAGCTGTGTGGTGACTCTGCATCAGCCAGAGGAGGCAGACCGTTCAACTGAGGAAGGTGATCAAGATCAGGTGTGAATTGTTGCTGAAGGCAGCATGTAAAGATGCGATTGATCAAAATGTGGAATGGAGCGAAATTCGACATGCACATGTTGAATCTGCTATGAATTGTGTGCGCATAGGATAAGCAGCAGGCAAAACGCGCTGAATTCCCATGACCTGTACAGTCCACTGCAAGTTTATTGAAGTGGCTTCAAACTACTTTCTGTTCATGTGTTGCAATTTTGATGTAACAATTTTGCCCTCAAAGCAAAGCCTATCGTATCACAGTTGCAGGTGGTCTTTGTCCAGACTGTATGCTCTGCAACATCTTTAATGGAACGCTGCTGTGTACACACTATCTTTTCTCGACTTTGGCCAGTCTCCAACCGCTGACTCCTGGTGTTTGACTTGTGTTCTGCTGTTGACTCACACATGTATCTGTGGCAACACACTTCCGGCTTTGGTAGTTCTCACGCGTCTTGGGAAGTTGTTGAAAGGGCAGTTGGAGAGCTCTCTGTAGGACAAGCCAATAATGCTAGGTGGTGGTGGTTTGTTTCCTCTGATATTGCTGACTTGAAGGCTGTATGTAAGTAAAGTACCGTTGCTCCAGATTGACGGTTTAATACGAGGGAAGGGGAACACATCAGCATAGGAAGGACAGGAGAGGGGCCAACAACATGGTGTTATGCTTTCTGTGGGAGACATTGTAAACACGAGTGCACGTTGGAGAAGACGCGATGTGTGATAACTGGATGTGCCTACAGCCTGTAAGATTATTGGCCACATTTCTGTAGGAGAGGTCACCTTGCAGTGTGATTGCGATGCAGAAGCAAGCTGACTCCGGATTTCTGAGCTTCAGCAGACTGGCAGATTTAAACAGGTGATACAAATGAACTAGACACCTGCACAGCAGCAGGCATCTAGAACCTGGCCTGTCTTAACTTCTCAGTCTCTAATTCATGAACAACCCCATACCTGTGGAACTCAACTTTTCTCTGGACCAATGGCCTCATTTCCTGAACTTTAAATCGCTTTTGCCAATTTCTATTATGTTTATTTATATCATTGTTTGCAGCTTGTCCAACGACTGGAGCTCGAAAATCAAGGAAAGCGGTAAGAGAGACAAACAGCGAAAGAAGGCCATGGCAGAAGCCAAGGCGGCTGCAGAAGCTGCGGCGGCTTCAGAAGCGGCGGCACCCGGGCCAGTCATCTTTCCTACAAAGGTAATTCACCAAATCAACTGTTCAACAGCACGCTGCACCAGGGAGACGTTGCCACCGCAGAAAAAGCCTTGTGCACTTGGCACAGCTGTCTGATGGCAACTGGTGCAAGCAATATCAGTGGAGAAGTTGAGGTTGAATCCTGATATGAGAGTGAAATCAGTGACAGAATCTGAAACTGTGCACCAAATTTGCATTCTCCACTTTCCACAATGGCGATGTCAGATGTTCTTTAGTAGGAGTCTGTCCAGTCCAGGGCGCTGTGAAATGCCCTCCCTAGATTATGGCCTGCCTAGATAGCAAATTTACAGAGAATTTCATTGACCAGCCCCTACCCTGGTTCATGCCAGGTGACAGTTAGAATTGTTTAGCTGACCTCTGCAGCTGTTTCATTGCCTATCGAATTCGGCACAGCTTTGCCTGTTCCATCAAGTCCATCCCAGTCCACATGCATCTAGTTTAGGCTCCTCATCTTGGATCACCCTCAACAGAATATTGAGGAAGTTCTGCCAGTACCCACACCAACTAAGTGATGCACTTTTGGCAACATGATGACTTGAATGTGTGCTGTCTCTGACCGAAGCTTTGACAATATTTCAAAAGGTGACCATAAGCATGTGTGGTGCACAGCGGGAGTCTGAAGCATGGGGCCGCAGCACAAAGATAGCATACCAGACTGCGGAGCGACCACCCACCAACCCAGCCTCCTACGAGGAGTACGAAAGTGAAAAGACAGCAGTGGTGCTATGGACGCTGGCCCTTACAGCATTCGGCTTTGGTTCCACATACTACTTTTACACGACGGTGTGTTCTTTCCCGATTTCGTCTCTCTCCCAGAGGTCTGAGTGAGCGGACCTGAACAGCGAGCAAGCATGGGATAGTGCCCACATTGACCACTGTGCAGTTTCAAGGGCAATGAACTGTTTGACACATCCAGCCAAACCTTCTGGACACTGTGCTACACTCCCCTTGATAACTGGCCACATTGCTGAAAGGGAGCCATTGCGATGGCTACCTGCATCTGAAAAGAGGAGTGCCAATTGCTGCAATCTGTGTGGAGCAGCACATGCGAAGTCATGTCTTACAGTTCTCGAATCACCAGTTTGTTGGAGCGATGGGCAACACGGGCATGTTTGGCTTACTGAAACTTTGTCAGGCATTGGAAAACCCAGATTCATAAAACGAACAGCACAACAGCGCATGTTCTTGACAGCTTCTTGTTAACAAATTCCTGGCGAAATGAAGGCAAGAAGTTGCCATCCTTGGACAGCATGATGGCATCCTTCTTGGTGTCTTCCGCAGGACATCGCCGCCAGCTACTTGACTGGAGCGATTGGCGGCCTGCTATACTTGCGGCTCCTGGGACGGGGCGTTGACGCGATTGGGAAAGAGGGAGACGGACCAGGCGGCATTCTGGCTCAACCCAGGCTGCTCGTTCCTGTTGTTTTGGTGATGGTGTACAACAGGTGAGGTTGACATATGTTGTGATGGCACTGCGCACGTCTGCGCACACACAGCACATCAGTGAGGTGCTGTATTGCTGAGGTGGATATTGGCAGCCCAAGGCAAAATGGCTGGGCAGCCAGTTGTGCACCAGTGCAGCCAGTTGTGCACAGTGTCTGTGGCATGTTGTTGTGCATTTGGTTTTATATGTTTGCACCTGTTTGAAAGTATTGTCCTTATCTACTGCAGCTGTTGAAGTGCTACACACTCTTGATCCCAGAAATGGGCTGTGGCTACGTTTGCCATCGCATGCCATTATTCCACCTATAAGGAAATGCTGGTTGTTACCGCATCCAACTGGAAAATCGATACACTGGTTGTACAGTAGCTGTTGTCGATGGTGATTTGCCACTGTTGCGTACTTTTCATAGTATGTATGGGTGACTGTGCATCACCTGCTTCAAAGAGAGTCCAATCTCATGTGGCTGGTATGGAGCGCTCAACATCGAATGCCTGATCTGTTTGTCGGGGTCCTTATTGTTCTTCAGCTTGGTTATCATGCCTTGCTGCAGCTTGGAGCACAAGAGGACCAAAACACGTCGCATTGTCGATTGATCGATGTGTTAAACAGAACAACAGATATCGTGGGCTTGTCCAGTCCATCGAATGGAAGGCTGGCTCACTTGTAGCGCAGTGCCACTTTGCACAGCAATTCAGCATCGCATGAAAGGTAGCCGCTGACGTCTGACCATTCGACGTAACTGTTTGGAGTGAGGAAGACATGCTGATGTGCTCACGGTGTGGCAATCGTCGCAGAGGGGTCAATTGTCATAGTGGCGGTGCCCAACAGCAATATGGTCCCAACTGTGCCCATCAGCAATGTTGTCAAAACTGCGCCCATCAGCAATGTGGTCAACGCTGTGCATGTCAGCATTGTGTTCAAGCAGACAATGCCAATGCGGTTGCTTTTAGCACTCATTGTTAATGTCCATGTTGGGAGACCGATCTAACCCTGTAGCGTTTTGCATGCGCACATACATCAAGGCACAATTGTTTTTGGTCAGAAGCATTTTTGAATGTTGTTGACTGATAATTTGTGCGCAGCAATGCGCCAGGTATCAGGCCAACGTCCCAAAACGCATCCGTTGGGGCAATACAGTTCCACTTGACTGTCAGAAATACATGTTCTGTTTCACGACATGTTGCATTTTTTGCGTTCATATTAACTTGTCAATGTCCTTGATTTATGAATGTTGATTGTTTGTTCATAATAGATGAGGACATATGATTCAGTATTGCCACCCGCGCTATACTCAGACATACCATTTTCCGCAATGCGTTGTGAGAAGCGAGTGGCATTTTTGCAGATGGAACACATTGGCGGCGACCAATGTGGGCGTCAGCCTGGAGCTCTTGCCAATGTTAGTTGGCTTTTTCACGTACAAGGGCGCCATGGTAGGCAAACAATCCCTGCAGCTGTTCTCCAATTTGGTAGCGGAAGTGAAGGGCGAGGGAAAAAGGGAGGGCACACAGCAAGACTGACGTGCCCAGTCTGCAGAGGCGTTGCTCTTTAGCTTTGCAGGAAAGGAGAGGCTATACAGTTTCGTTTGCTATGTGCTCTTGTACAGGAACTGTGGTCGGATGCAAACTTTGGGGGCCTTCAAGGCGTTGTGAGATTCTTGCAGCAGCGGCAATTGCGTTGCGGTCTTCTTGCAGAAACTCGGGGGGGTAGGCCACGAGCCCACAATTACGAACTGTTAATGCTGGGTCTCCCCCTCGGGCTTCCAGTGGAAGGCGAATTCCTCATAGTTTACTTTTGTCCGCCATTGTACCAACAGTTGTGGTCGTTTTTAACCCGAGGGATTTTGTAGCAAAGCTCCATATATGATGATGGGAAAAGCCCTTGATCAAGGGTCGGTTCACTGCTTCTCAACGCGGTCCACATTACGTCTGGGCTCTGCCTCACCAAAATTTTGCTTGCAGCGCTCAGCCGAAAGCTTGCCACATTTCAGTTGACGTGGCAGGTCGGGATTAGCAAGGATGCGCCGTTCATCTTTGTGCGTATGTGGGACGCTTCTGGGAGTAGAAGGGAGAGAGTTCTGGAGAATAAGAGCCCACCTCCGGGCTCATGGATGGCGGGAGAGACCTTGTTCGACAAAGCGAATGCTAAACTTAGAGTCTACATATGCCGCCAAGCCTGGCAAGTCTTAAACTGAGAAGCAAACCAAGCTGCCGCTGACCGGCGTGAAGCAATCTATCATTCATCCCAAAACTTCCCTCAGGCCGAATCGTCATCATACATATTTACATGAGAAGGCAAGGCATGGAAGTAGCCGTCAAGCATTCAATCTTTATGGATACCCGCAAAATGCCCCAATCGACGGTGATAGTATCATGGCTTCGAACATCTCATTTATCAGATCACTATAATCGCTGTAGGCCTGGCTGCCGTGTGTCTTGAAGACTTGTTGATGTTGCATGGCATACATGGCAACGTGGTTGAGACATCCTGGCAATGACATAAGGATTGACGCCAAGGTGCGGTCTGAATAGCGCCAAACTGACGCTATGCATACCAAAATCGACATAATGTTTTCCCTGAGTATGCTTCAAACAACACTCCGGCTCTCCTGACGCCACAGTTCAAACGAATGATCCCAAAAGCGGCAAGGCTGGATTCTGTAAATAAAGCAGCGCCAAAGAGGCATGATATCTGAAGCAAACAGCTCATCTAGAGGCCTTGAAATAGTGGCCTGACTTGGAAATCATTTTGAGTGTAGTTTTTCTGCTGCAGGTGGAAACTTTGACACACCACCATGGTTATATGCCACTTGATTTTTGTTCAGCAGCCAGCACAATCACAAGGTGCCGCAAAAGCTTTCTCATGTCAGCGTGGCTGACACAGTACTTCCACGAGATACCACCCACGCCTTTTCGTACGATTCCTGCACCGGGTTACAAAGTGGCACTTGATTCGGTACTTGGGTGGTACCAGTGGCCCAGCACCGCTTACTCGAACAGCGAACTTGTTCGACTGATATGGTCAAGCGTTCGTCCAACTGTTGGACAGCTTCCTGGCGCTGCTGTGCCGCACTGATGGCAGATCCTCCTTGGCCTTGCGCCACTGTTTGCCCTTGCGATTCAGGGATTGTCCGATGAAGGTCATTTCAGGCGGCAAATTCAGGAAGGGGTCCTGGTCATAAAAAGCACTGCGGACTTTCAACCCCAACAATCTGAAAACACCCTAAGCCCGAAAATGACCTTCGCTGCTTTCACGACTCCATGACCTCATGACTTCATGACCTTCATGATTTCCACAACGTCATGTCAAACTCCGTGACCTTCATGTCCGGCTCCCGGACTCCGGGAATGAAGGGTATTGGGCATTTCTGTCCGGGAGGCGCCGAGATGCAACCGCAGGCTCTGTATTCGAGCGCATGCCACCGCTCTGATTTTCAAGCGTTCAGGAACACGACGCGCCCACGTCCCGGTCCGCCTGAGGCCGACACCAGCGCCGCGATCTGGCTTGCGCCCACCCGTCCCGGATGCGTACGTCTCAGACGCCTTTGACGGATCGGCGTGAGCCAGACCCCAGAGCGCGCCCGTGCGCCATCGCCGTCCCTCGGCTCCCCATCAGGATCACAGTACGGACGGTACCAGTACCATGGTACTCCGCCCCTGCCGGCTTCCGGGGCTCAGCGGCGCGCATCATGAGAGTGAGATGCGATGCCCTCGCTCCCCCTGCCCCCCTTCCCAAGCCCAGGTTCACCCACCAGCCGCTACCAAGATTTCTCCCAATATTTGGTAACGCCAGCACGGCTCTCCCCGGGCCAAGATCCCACGAATGGCCGCTGCCGCGCCTCCTTGGGCAGGCACCCCCCCCCTACCTTCGCCCTTTCCGTACATTCGCCCCCCGTCAGTAAGCCCATCACACCCCGGGGGGCAAGCCTCAAGGGTGTAAATAAAGCCACCTGTACAGCCCGGTCCCAAGATTACTCAGCCCTAAACCTAGCACCCCCTCTTCCCGCCCCTTTCCATCAGGGCGGGGGTTGCAGGGGCACCTCAGCGGCGGTCCCCAGGCCAGTGCGCAGTGGCTGAGGGGCGGCCGGTGGCGTCTGGCGCGGCCATGGCGCCGGCGGCGGGCTTCTTCTGGGACTACAGCGCGCAGAAGGCCACACCGCAGGAGGCGCCCGCCCTCGCCAAGGCAAAGGCAGCGCTGGGCGCGCGCCTGGCCCACCTCATGCAGGGCGGCGGTCGAGGATTCGCGGAGGAGTACGAGCGCCTGTCCCTCGTGGCGTCATCCTCGCAGTACACGGCCAGCGAAGGGGCGTCCCCGCCGAACGCGGGGCGGAACCGGTACCGGAACATTCTCCCATACGACTATAACAGAGTCCGGCTGGCCACGGTGCCCGAGGGGGGGAACTACATTAACGCGAGCCTGGTGAGAAGCGGCGGCGGGGAGAGCCCGCCGTGGTGCTTCATCGCGTCGCAGGGGCCGCTGAAAGGCACGGTGGAGGACTTCTGGCGGATGGTGCTGGAGCAGCGCTGCAGCGCGGTGGTGATGCTGACGCAGGCGTTCGAGCGGCGCGTGGAGAAGTGCGCGCCCTACTTCCCGCAGGCCAAGGGATCGGGGGCCATGGTGGGGCGCCTGCAGGTGCGCTGAAGTCTCCTTGCCGGCATCGCTCCCCGGAACCCCCCCTCATTCTCTCTCCGGCTCGCTGGCAAGCGGCGACGCCGCGAGGGCCGACCCCCTTTCCGGGCGGCGGACCGTTATCGGGCACGAGTTCGCAGGCGGATTGCCCGAAATGGGATGGCTCTTGACGCCCGAGTCTGACGCAGGTGTGCGTGGAGGACCTGAGGGAAGTGAGCACCGACATCACGGTGCGCGCCATCCGCGTGAGCGACCCCACAACGGGCATGGTGTCCACCGTGCAGCATTACCACTACCACAAGTGGCCGGACCACGGCGTGCCCGAGTTCACTAAGCCCCTGCGCGACCTGATCAACCTACTGGAGGCCACGGGCGCCGGGCGGGCGCCCATCCTCGTGCACTGTAGCGCGGGCGTCGGCCGGACAGGCACCTTCTGCGCGGTGTACGTGCTGCTGCAGCGCCTGTACGCGCTGCTGCGGTCCAGCAGGCCGTCCGTGGGGCAGATAGAGCGCGCCGTGGACGTGCCCGGGGTTGTTGCCCGACTGAGGAGGCAGAGGATGGGCATGGTGCAGACCGTGGAGCAGTACTACTTCTGCTACCAGGCGGTGATACAGGAGGTGGAGGCGGAGATGATGCGGAGGGGGGGGTGAGGGGCGGAGCCCGGGCCAGATTGGGGGAAGGGGAGGTGATGTAGCAGAATGGGGGACCCTGGGCTGCAGGGGAGAATTCTGGGAGCAGTGTTTTCATGTACCAGTATGTTGGCGCAAGGGCGCTCGCGCGGGAGTTGCTGCAGCTGTATCAATCGGGGGGCGATGGGGCTTGGTGCAGGGCGGGCGACTTCGGCGTATAATAAGCCGCATGCAATGGTTTTAGCATGCGGACGCAGCTGGTTGTGAATAATGCAGCCACGCACTGTGCTGGCTGTTTGAGGATGGCTGGAGTTTGTTTTGGGCTGTGGGAGGCCTTTCCGGGCGCATGGGATTATCCGTTTCAGTGCCAGGCCCCGGACTGTGCCCTGGGCTGCAGCTCCATTCTTTGGCACTGGCCATGTGTGGGAGCAGACTGCATGGCACGGTTCTGTCTGGCAGGGCATCGGGGGGCAGAATCTCGCGATCAGGCCCTCTCGATCGGCTGTACTTGCTGCAGCATGTACATTTCTTCAGGTGGGGTGGGGATAGCAAGGTGAAATGAGGATTGTGGGCTCGGAAAATCTAGGTGGCCAGACAATCTAGGGGCTACAGTACAAGACCCATGGGGTGTTGGCATTTTATCGTTCTTTAGGTCAGCAGCGAACGAATCTAGGGGCAAGGGGCAGGAATGGGGCAAGAAATGAGACAAAAACACACGGGGGAAGGCGTGGGTGGAAGTAAGAGCTTCTGGGTGCTTGAATTGAGGGGTATGCAGCACCAGCTGCAGGTTGAAACTAAGGCGCGCGTGTGGCTGCGAGAGGAACTTGCGGATGACTTGAAAGCAGGCAGCACGCACTGGATCGCATCTCCTGAAGTGCTGGGTGCTATGACTGTGCGCCTGCAGCAGCGTCCTAACTGCATGGTTTTGGCATCTTCTATTGCAATCTTTGTGCCGCGTGTTCATTCAATGGGGAATTGAATGGCAGCGACACAGTGAGCACCAGATACCAATGCTGAAATGTGTTGAGGCTTGGGGATGGGCGCAGGCGTGGTGCATTGGCTGTGATGCCCCAGTTTGGTGCGGTACATGAGGAGCAGGCAAGCTGGTTTGGGGTGGCCAAGACGTTCTGGATGTGGTTTGCCGAGCAGGGATTGAATGGGACCTGCCCATTTGTGGGGGAGGGTGTGGGAGTAGTTTTGCTGGGCAGGTGTGGATGCTCAAGTTGAGAATGTAATAAAGAGTTCGATTATTGTCAGTTTGCCTGTCTCATCAAAAGGCAGCCAATCGCGTTGGCTCAATCCTGATTCAACTAATACAAGTCTGTGCACTCAGCGCTCCGGTGGACCCTGTGGATTCGCCAGGGTCTCCCACACCAATCCTCGTGATGTTGGTCACGCGTTCAATTGGCCAGGAGCCCTGCTGGCATCCTTCAGATCATTCACAGGGTTGCCGATATCGGTGTCCAGGGGACAATGGTATCTATGGACACTGCCCACCCAAGGCCGTTTGTCTTTCCGATTGCCATATCAGTATCAAATGTGATGGTGACGCGCAAGGGGCACTTTGTGAAAGGCGAAGCGGCGCTTCTTGCATGTGTGGAGAAGCGTCGAGTTGAAGCGCCTCGACGTCTGGGCGACAGTTCTTCTGATGTCCCTTGTGCCGCTCATTTTGGCGGGGTGGCACAGTTTGCCAAATGCAGGGCAGCACGCAGCCTTAGTCCCTGTCTGATTCGGTCCATAGCACAACGCGATAGGGGGCCAAAACGCGCACTCACCGTGTCGAATACAGAGGGCGCACGGCCTTTGTCTCTGTGAAACGGTTGTGGTGGAAATTTCAACACGGTTGCCCATGAAGCCCGTGAATTCTCTGCTTGGCGCATCCGCCATGCGCGGGGCAGGGTGTCTCCAGGTGGCGCCTCCCAAAGTTCGCACAGAATCACAACGCAAACGAATCCATCTTGCCCATGGCCCCATTCACTGCCATTCAAGCCGTCACAGGACCGGCAGCATTTTCATGCGGTTAATGACGAGAGGGGGGCCACTGCGGCTTCTCATGCACGTAAGCCTGCCCGCCAGTGCCCGTAGATCGTCCTCGTGGTAATGCACATTTGCAACCATTTGCGAGACGCCATCCAGGCCGTCCTACTGGTCGTCAACAATCGTATGTCCTGGGGCCCGGCCCCGAGATCCACGTTGGCACCCTGACAGCCGGCGCGTACAAGCAGAGCGGCCTCCTCAATTCCAGTCACACCACCTTGAAGGCGCTGGAGCCCTATGCATGGCCAAGAACCTGATAGTCCGGCAGGACGCGCTGGATGCCCGAGAAATTGAATCCGCCTTTCCGTGCCCATGCAAACTTCGAATGCGCGCTGCCAGTCCGCCCTCTGCCAGCCCGCCCTCTGCCAGCCCTGCTGAACACTGACTCTGTCCCCACACCAAGACTTCCATGCCCTTCAGCATCTGTTGACAACAGACCTCAACGCTGGCGAGAGAGAGAAGAGTGGGAAGCAACCAGCCTATGGATGTGCATCGCTCGCCAGTGAATGTCAGTAGAGGGCCGTGGGGTCAGCCTCCTGACCTCCAGCATCACTGGGAGCCATTTCGTTCCAAAAGCAAGGCTTTCATAGTTTCGTAAGTCCCCCAACAGATGGCTGCCGCCGGCACGTGGAACATGACGCGTGGCTTCAGCCCCCGCCACAGCGCCCGCGGTCCTTCCTCGCGGGCGATCTGCTTCATAGTCGGGATCTGCAGATCCGGATATTACACACCATGGCTTCAGGCAAACGGGATGCTCGCGCAGCAGTCCGTCAGCACAACACGGCGCCAGTTTGCACGCACAATATCACAAGCTTTGGCTTTCACTGGGCAGCCGTTAAGGGCAGGCAAAGTCAGTGAAACGTGCGAGAGGCAGACTTTCTGCAAGACGAGGTCGCCTGGAGAATTCTTTTGACAGGAATGCGGAGCCACTCCAAATTCAATCCCTTCCAAATTTCCCAGAGAACGTGTTGCAGTTGAAATGAACCCGCGTCGAAGCACACCCCCATCACATAATGACGAATTGCCTCCAGCTTCCCATTTCTTCTTCCAAGCCTGCCATTTGCAACAGCAGATCACCAGCGGCGTACCCAGCCACTCGTCTGAAACTGAGCATTCATTTAGACATAAACACCAGTGGGGCTTTGCATTGCCTTGCATTCTTTTGTTACGTGGTGCAAGGCCCGTATTTGTTCTGATAGGACAGGAGTGGCACCTTGATGTGGTGTACTTCAATGTGGTGTAGGGAGTACTCTCAATAAGGTGCGGCACCCAGCCTCTTTAATGGGGTACTTACATTGCACTTCAATGTGGCGTAAGTAGTACTGTCTAACAACGGAAACAACAGAGCAACCACCAGAAGGCCAGCTGGGTGCACTGCGCTCCTTCCGTTTCTGTGGATGGAATTGCGCCCAGAATGGCCAAGAAGAACAATTGCAGAGGTTGCGAAGTTACACCTGTCCCTACAGCGGACAAAATGCATCACACAGTGGTGTCGCGGTTTCCACAGCATGGCAACACAGTCGGAGCACAGGGCCAGGCCCCAATCAGAACCCCAGGAAGAACCAAGCCACCGAACCACGGCTGACACAAACGCGCCCCCCAACGTCCCCTCGAAATTGTAAGGCCAGTGTCCTGCTTTGCTTCAGCATATGCAGCACAAGTCAATAGAGACAAAATACTTCAATCATAGAAGACGAAAACACAGCTCAATAAAAGAAAAAAAGGGTTGTCTCTGTCTCTCACCACAGCCGATCTGTTGTAGGTGGTGGCGCTGGTGACGCCCTGCGTCTGCAGCCTCGTCTTGACGACGTCTAGCGGATTGGTTACACCTGCTGCCATGCCACCAGCAATGGCCCCTGCAGTCAGCTGGATCATCAGCCCGTCTTCCTCCTCAGAGCCCATCAGCTTCTTGCAGGATTCGTACGTGGAGACCTGCGGGCACCATTGCCACACATCGCTGCATACCAGTGTGCTCCTTTTCTGCACTTTCCTTTTTGCACTTTCCTTTTTTGCGCTTTCCTTCTTTTCACTTTCCTTTGTTGCACTTTCCTTTTTTGCACTTTCCTTCTTTGCACTTTCCTTTTTTTCACTTTCCTTCTTTGCACTTTCTCACGACGCACAAGTACACACATTCTGTTGCTACAATCTGCAACGGAGTTGATTCTCCTCAGGTTGAGATCAGGGCTGCCATTGGGATAAGATGGTGTTGCTCGAAATCGATCAGCCATCAGAATCTGGCCCTGCAAGGAACATCTTGAGCAAATAGGATGCAGGGAATAGGGTGCAAAATTTTCCCAACACGACTCGGGGGTGCTTGAGCCCGTTTGTCAATACTGCCAAACATTGAAAGAACTTAGGACCAAGGCATGACACTGCCAAGACTGGTTCCTGCACTGCACATCCAGCTGCTGACAGTGACCCATGCAGCCAAAAAACTCTGTGCTACGCACAACCCAGAAAGACACCAGCTCCCCGAGAAAGCTCACTCACCACCAGGCGCATGAAACACAATAATGCACTGTGTTTGAAGTGCAACAGCCTGTTGTAATGGCAGCCGGCCATGACACTCGGTTGCTATATACTGGCGGGCGGGCCCAATACATTGATTGCAATATTCAGTCAGTTTTCAGGCACCTGGGTCATGCTGACCCAAGCATCTGACACCATCCAACATAGTTTTACGCAACAGGTCTCTTTGCTGTGGAATGGAAATCTGAAGACCTATGTTGTCTTAAGGTAGGACTCTCTGTACTATGCAGCACCGCTGCAGGCTCCATTTTAATGGCTGTTGACATGCAATTCGAATTTCGATTGATCGTTCGATTGTCCATAAATGTGCCAGATGACTCCCGCCAGCAAAAACGAAACATGTCACCTACATGGCAACCCTTTTTTCAGGGGAAAAACTGCATGTAAGCTTTGTGTCCATAAGGATGTTGCAGAAATCTCTGAATACAACAAGAAAGCACACAAGCCAGGTCTACACATACAGTAACAAGGCCTGCCCTCTGGATACCTGTATTCGAAAATGTACTTGGAAAGAGATACCTGGCACTTTGGAAGGGTGATCATGTACCTGCACTGCCATGTATGGCACGTTCATGAAGAGTGTGGTCCTGTACGACCTGTAGAACGCCCAAACACCCTCCTCTCTAAACGTCCGTGTGGTGCAGTCATAGACACTGCGATAAGGTGTGTTCACCAACTGAGCACCATGCCAGCACAGCAAACAAAGCGTTAGTCTCACATATGGCAGCAGTAGCCAGGAACGCAAGCATCAAGACAGCATCTGGAGGTGTGCACTATTACAAACAATGGACACAAGCTCCTAGACCCAGCAACAAGCAAAGGATGGGCTACTGCTAAAACCAGCTACTTGTCACAAGATGAGGTTGGCTGAGCACTGCAACAACACAGCACAAGGAATCACCAACATGGCCTGTCCTTGGCGATGGTGCTCGAAACAGCTTTTGTCACAAAAGCAGTGCACAGCTGTGGGATTCAAATACGGCTGGATTTTCCTGGACTGCTGATGCACAAGAGCCTCTCACTTGGAGCCGTTGCTTGACAACATCAGCTGGTGTCATCACGGCATCCTGGACGATCGTTGCTGTTGCACCTGCAAGCCCAGTGGCAAAGACCTGATGTCCTGGCCTGTCACCGCCATAAAGCTTCTTTGCTGTCTCATAAGTTAGGAAATACACAGCATGCGCAGGCCTGTCACACACACACACACACACACACACACGCAAACATTCACCCTCAACCACCCGTAAGCCAGAAAATGAAACTTGTAAATGCAATCAGTACTGGTTTGCAGCCTTGAGCTGGCAGTGATAAAGATCGCATTCGAGATATTTTGTGTGTCCCCTTCACCGCATTGAAGATGCAAGGGCATTGGTTTCTCATTTGACAACAGGAAATCTACACCTCCTTTTGCATGACCATTATCTTATTGAAAATGGCTAGGCCTGTTTCATTCACTTGGCCATGTGTGATCCAAAAGATGTTGAAATGGGTTCCCATGGACAATAGCAAATGCTGCACACCTGCTATGGACACAGTTGCACTTGCCATGGACAGTTCCCTGTGCAGCGATGTATCAGGCAATACAGAAGTTGTATCGATGCTTGAGAGGGCTTGAAGGGCTAGCTTGTGATTATACGCATGGAATCTCCCAAGCCATCATTTTGAAGCAAATGTTATGCGCATGAAGAATCCTGTCAAAGCCTGTTTAGCTTTACGTAGCCTTGCATTTTGTTGCTGGGTGGCACAAGGCGTGCATCTCTTCTGTTGGGACAGTGGTGGCACCTGGGCTCTCAAATGTGATTCAATATTCTGAAAACAAAATTATGCAACCATCTGCAATACTGCTTGGCACTCCAATTTCACGGCACTGTCCTAACGTTATGTCATATATTTGGGAAATCTGGACATCCATCAACAGCAGACCAGGGGCAGGATGTGGTTGGGGGCCCAAAGATCGCTCACTGGGGTGGCATTCTTGCTCGTGGACAATCCTCCCAGTTTCATGTTCTCTCTTCATTGGCATCAAATGTGTAGGGGAGAAAACACTGGGGCAGCAGATGCAGCACGTGCTGTGGGCAACTTGACCATGTTTTCCGGCAGTGCAATTAGCAATTTCAGTGCATTTGTCTCGAAGAATACATTTTGAACTCAACGACAATAATAGGATGAAATTGTTGCGGTGAGATAGAACCAAACCATAAAAGCGGAAACCAGTTTTTCAATCCTTGCACTTAGAGAGGGGCAGTCAATGGCTGGTGGAGGGCCTCTAATGAGGTTAGAGGTTATTAATATAGGTAATTATTACTATTATTATTACAATTGTTATAGGTTAGGTTATTAGAGGCAAAGAGTTTTAAGTCTTGTCCACATGTGTAAGAGATCACATGCCTGTTGTGGTGCGAGCTGCAGAAACTTAGCTCCCCGCATCCTCACAATGGGACTGCAAACTCCAATGACCACTGCCCTGACTTAGTTGCCAGCCTGCAAGGAAGCAAGCAGCGACCGATTTTACCCACAGGGCAGAGTGCATGCTGCTCAATTTTGAGGCACCGGGGGTCTTCTGTGCATTGTGGGCAAAGGGGCATGCAGTTTGTCAGCTTTTGGTAACATCGCATCGCATGTGGATGCGCTGTCTTCAAATGTTTTTAGTTGTTTCATACCTTACAAAAGTCACCTTATGGCATTTAAGGGTACAAGACGTTGTGCTGCGGACAACTGAGCACCATCTTGTGGTCACAGAAATAGGATTGAGAATTGGTGAGTTGGATTGGGAATTCATTGAGGGATTTGCCCCAGAGGACGTCTGGGCACCGACCTTGGAGGGGTAGGCACCTGACAGCAATCTGACAACTTGCATTCTTCGCTGTTTTGCGGTGTGGCAACGAAAATTACACCTTCTGGAAATGGATCGATTGTCATACCAAACCTGCAATTCTTCTGCCACAATGGAAGGGAACACGTTTCAGGGTATCATTGGTGTTGATCCACCATTAGAGACCAGCCATGCACTTGCACCTTGCTTTTGGCTGGTGATGCAGCAATGATATGTTGTGTCGTTCTTCGTGCCTCACAGTGACAAAAATATCGTATACATTAGCTGAAGCTGGAATTTTTTCTTCTGAAGTAACAGTTCTGGGTTTAGCATTGGGTCTGGAGTACACCAACTACCTAAAGGACTACAAGATATCACCAACAGACACTGCAGCTCTGAATGGATGCTACTCGCAGCAGTGTGCAGGCACTCACCCTGCACCTGCAACGACAGCCCCTATGCCTCTGTAAAGGCCAGGCCAGCCATCGTGCCGAAATGCTGCCTTTAGCGCACGCTTGAGGGCGGATCGATGCAACTGCATGCAGAGGCACACAAGAATCCCATACAAATAGATAAAAAGCAAGAGTCCAAAATACTGATTGATCTGCCGCACCGTCAAACATATCCACAGAGGTAGAAGTCACTGAATAGAAGCAAAAGCCCAAAAACCAAAAGATATGCCAAGTTTCTCCTTGTTCCTGATCAAGAAATTTGGGAGTCAATATGGCAAGCAAATGCCCCTGATAGTTTGACAGACGATGTACCCGAGAACCCCCCATTCTACAGGCTCTCATTCCGACAGCACATTCCGACTATGAAGTGCATGGTATGAACTGACCATTGAGGCATAATTGAACTTCTACCGGGACCTTAAATTTCCAACGGTGGGGCAGCACGCCAAGCTTATCAAGCATGGACTTCTAAAGTCGAAACAACAGTCAGCAGCAGCAACAAATTTCAGAAATTAAATCAAACCATGAATCTCCAAAATGTGAACATGACTGCATCAACTCAGCGCAGCCAACCGATCAAATAGTGTTATTCATCATTATGTTAGTCACCATATCCATAAAAAACACAAACACCAAATAAAGAGCAAGCTTGCATTGCAGTGATCTGACAGAGCAGGGCAGGCAAGACCTTAAAACCAAGGCAACCAAGCCTCGCTGGGATCTGCATTTCCCACATGCCTGTTGGGAGAAAGGGCCACGATTAGTTGTGATTCACTGTTGCTGATGCCATAAATACGATGTTGCATCTGTTGCGCACTTTGAGAGAATATGCCCCTGATTCTGCAATGCATCAACATGTTAGAACCACAGCACTCCGTCAGTGTCACAGTTTTTGCTGCAAGTGCAGTCCCTTATGTGGTTTGGTACTTGGGGTTAGTATGCACTAGCTCAAAAGCTGGCAGAAATTGGATAAGGAACAACAGCACCATACAGCAGTTTGTTCAGCACCTGCTGGCCTGGGTGCGCCAGTGCCTGGGCCCGGGTTTTAATGGTGTCCACTGGGTACATCGCTGTGTGCTCCACAACTCCTGCCACAGCGCCAGCCAGCATGTACTGAAACGACCACACCAATGTGTGACTCTCTCAGGAGAAGCAACGGCAAACACAGAGGCCACAGTACTTAAACGCAGTAGTGGTGCATCATCCAGGAGTAGACAGTACATTGGCACATTATTCATAATCACTGAACAGCCATTTTTTCCTCATTGGAGTCATTAGCACGGTCATTAGAGTGATCAGTGTGGTGGACATCCGACAAGGTTGTCACCAAATTGAAAAAAAAAATTGGGCTTCAGCCCTGCGCCACCTTGTGTTTGTGTCAGCATGGGCTTTGTGTGAAAGGGTGAGTGCAGACAACTGATTGAGCGCATGGTGGTCAGTTGCTAGGGCCCGCCCTAATGCTCACTGCAACAGCATTGGTCTTCTCATTCAAAAGCTCCTTCAGCAAGCATAACAGCAATAGTAGTAAACAGCAACCAGCTCCATTTCGGTCTTGGATCTGTGGCTTATGGAGCAAAACAAGGATATTGAGGGTATTGCATAAGGTCGTCGGAGACCAAGTACATCTACCACTGCCTGCACATCAACTTAAGAAGAGTGCCTGGCTTTCAATGCACCATTACAACACGATGTATTGATGGCTTTTCTCCAATCCCTTATGATGCTGTCCTGGATGCACGCATTCATCCAATTGCTTACAATTAATGAATGCAGAGGGGTGGAATGTGTCGTCCCAATAAACGGAACGTACGTCCTGCCACAGGCTTCGTTTTTGGCAGTCTTCTCAGGCAGCGTTGCGTGAAGCCATCAGAGGCAAAGGCAAGCCCAAGCACAGCATCCACCACCAATGTGCATGGCTTTCCGCAGCTGAATATTACTATTCGCTCAAAGTCTCCTGGACCCGTCTTCTACAATATAGAGAAGAAACTTGCAATCAATCTTGCACAGGATAGCATTGTCCATTGAACGGCGTGCTCCCTTCCAGCCAATGTGCATTTCACACCATTCGACCCCCAGCCAGCAGCTACGTGCTCTCAAGACATCCCCGCCATCCCCTCCATCCCGACTCCCACCGCGGCTCATCCTCGACCATCAGCGTCCCGAATCTCTCCCAAAACTAAGGGCAACAAGCGGTGCCCCGATTGGCCGCGGCAACGTACCACTCATCGACAGAAGACAGTGTGCAAAACATTGGCCCCATTCAGAGATAGGATTGCAGCCCTCGGACCCATTTGGAGCTCCGCTAACCCGCGACGCAGACGCCATTTTCTTCATGCCGGGCATCTCAACGGCAGCGGCAGCAACTCACCGACAGGAATCCCAGGCCGTCGTATCTCGCCGCCGCTCCTCCTGACATTTCCGAGTAAGGGCCAGGACCCGCCCCGTCGTCGGAGTACATTACGCCGCTGGCCGGGCGGCCTTGGAGATTCCTGGGCGGGGTCGCTGGAAGCGGGGGCGGCGGCCAACAGCAGGGAGGAGAGCGACCTGTGGCGTGGGTGACGGCTACGTTGGGTTAACGCAAGCGTTTGGCAGTTTGGTTCGGTGGGGTTGGGTTGATGGGTCGATGGGTTGATGGGGGTGGGGTGTTGTTGCCGATTTCTGCCTTACCGGTCTCCTGAGCCCACCCCGTCATGTACCCCATGACAATAATTACAAACAACCGTCAATCGTCACATTCCCGAGGTTCCCGTCCATTAAACTTGCCCATTCGCTTCGCTAGTACTTCAATGCCACTTCAGTGAGTGACTCCCCATGAGTCAGCTCCCTTTCCCGTACTTCACTCCCTCAACTCCCTCACCATCCCACAACTAACCCGAGCTCCACTATCCAGGGCGGGAGGGCTGGGTGCGAAACAAGGTAAGGAGGGGGACCGAGGGGCTGCCTAAATAGCCGCCCTCCGCCGCCCCGCCAAAGCCCGCCAAACTCGAGGGCGCCCTCGCGGGCGGCACCTCGGAATACCGTACTTTGACTGACCCACGGTACTAGGGGTGGCCAGAAATCCCAAGGGACGGGGTTGAGTAAACCCCAGGTTCAAACTGCACCGTTTGAATTGCCGGTGCAGCCCACCCAACGTCTCCCTTGGCAGAAACCCATTAACAGGATAGTTAACTTCATTTCTGCCTTACCGGTCTCCTGAGCCCACCCCGTCATGTACCCCATGACAATAATTACAAACAACCGTCAATCGTCACATTCCCGAGGTTCCCGTCCATTAAACTTGCCCAGTCACTCTAGGGAACGCGAGGCCCCTCCGGGGCAGAAGATGTGCCCAAACTGCTCATGCAGGTCGCGGGCGGTGATGGTCATCCAACCAAAGAGCCGAAAATCCCACTCAGTGGGTAAACGGAAAATATCAATGTAGGACCACAGAGCGTCTGACTTCCACCCACCCCAATCCCGGATGCGCCGCTCCGCGACCTCCAAGGCGAAGCAGCTGGACGCGCCCCCACCGCGCAGGCCATGATGCGTGAAGGGCTCGTGGGCCAGGTCCGGAAAGTGCGCGAGCAGGGACGTAAACCAGGAGGCCACCATCTTGGACGAAGGGGTGGCGTCGCCGGGCAGGCGGTAGAAATGGCGCGGCTGTTGGTCCGTTTGCGCCCAAGCTTGATCCCGAAAACGAGTCCAGCGGCGCAAAAGGGCGACGACTTCGGGAGCGCCGCGAGAAGGCCACGAGCGATAGCGCGACCGGGGCTCCTCCCCCGGGCGCAGCTTGGTCTTGCGCTCGCGAAAAACCACGACCTCCTCATCGATGCGAACGTCGTCGACCAAGATGTAATGGCCCGACTGGGCCCTGTTAAAGAAAATGTAGTCGAGGTGGGCCGCACACGCCGCCCGAAGGGTGGGCCCGTCCTCGGTGGTCAGGCCGACGTCCAGGATGCGTAGAAGCAGGGACACAGGGATCGGTCGGCGATGCTGCACCGGGCTCGGGGCCGCCCGGCGCCAAGCGCGGGTGAGGATACGGGTGACCGGGTCGAAGGCCGAGAAACCCAAATGGCCCGCGACATGATGCATCATAGAAATCGCGGCCAGGTACTGGGGCAACGACCGCACGCCCACCTTGCCCTCCTCCCGAAGAAAACGAATGTATCGGTAGATCGACGCCCGCCGGGCGGGCAGCGCGACCAGGTCGTTGGCCTCGCAGAATCGCTGGAAGCGCAAGAACTTGGCCTGGAGCGTCCGACGAGTGGCGTCCGTGTAGGATGCCAGAAACTGATGCTCCATCCAGCAGCGATCGTCACGGAGCAAACCGTCCAGGTCGGTGCCGTACAGGGGGTCATCCTCCGCCAGCGGCTCCAGCGGCAAGGCATCCCCCGGATGGTCCCCCGGCGGAGAGGGCGGAACGTCCGGCGGGATCACGCCTTCCTCCGATTCGGTCTCAGATGGCGCGTCGTCCGCGGGCACACATGGAACGCCCGTAGGTTCCACCGCGGAGGGGGCAGAGACGCCGGGAGAGTCGGGTCGCCGGGGAGAAAAAGGTCGGCCTGGCGGGGGATGAACATTTCCGCCCGGGCGATCGCTCGGAGCGGGCGAAACCACACCGCGCTCGGCCAGTCCGGCGCCAGCACCACCGCCTCCAGCGTCGGCCGCAAGGCGAGGAAGGACACGAGCTTCGCGAGGAGGCTCCACGGGGGATTGCACCAGGACCTGGTGCCGCTCCAATCCTGCTGGAAAGCATCCACTCCTGCCGTACCGACGTCCCAGTACTGACTGTTGAAGCGGGCGCAGAGGGCATTCCGGGCGGACGCGAATCGGTCCACAGAACAGGCCCCGAAGCTGCGGGCGACCTCCCGGAATATGCGCGGATTCAGGCGGTAGTCCTCCGAGGTCCGTATACGGGAAAGCCGGTCCGGCAGTACATTCTCGGCGGAGGGAATGTACTCCGGCTCCAGGAGAATCCGGCGTGCCGTACAGACGGCCTTCAACTGGCGGAGGGGCCTCAGGAGACTGGTGGCCCGGGTAGTCATGGAAAGGATACAGTGCAAGACCACCTGGTTGTCCACCAACAAACGGACCCGCCGGGAAGTCGTCCCGGAGTACTGGCGAGGAAAGAAACTGAGCAGTGCCAAGTACACGGCCTGCATTTCACGAACATTAATGTGAATAAGGTCCCGATCAAAAAAGCCCCTCGCAAGCATGGGGGCCGGGTGACCCAAAGGCTGAAAGGTCGCTCCCCAACCCGTCAGGCTGGCATCCGTCGCCAGGGTGCCAAGCAAAGGCAACGAAGCCGGTTGGAGAGCCCGGCCGGCAAGCCTGGAAAGGTTGGTCCAGGCCAAAAGGTCCAGGCGGGCTTGGGGGGTCAAAGGAAGCCGATCCCGCCAAGAACGCTTCCCTCTCAATAACGCATAGAGACTCATCAAGAAAAAACGGGCCAATGGAAAAGCCAAATAAAGGGAGATGGCAGAGCCACAGAATTGTGCCAACTTCCGCGCCACGACCACACCCGAATGGAGAATGGCACGAGCACGGGATGCAATGGCAGCTGCCTTGTCCGGAGGCACCAGAAATTGGCACCGGGTGGTGTCAATAATCACACCCAAATGAGTCTTCCGCTGCACCGGCTCCCACTGGCACTTTGAGTGTTTGAATTCAATCCCAAGAGCATGGAAAACCCGTTGGACCAGACTGGACCATTCCCCCAAACGGACCGGATCAGACATGGCGGCAATGAAATCGTCCAAATATGCTAAAATTAACGCGGGAACCTCCCGCGAGTACTTTAGGTAGTACTGTACAATGGAATCATTGCCCGCTAAACAGCCAAATCGAAAACGAGTTCCAGCCCCTGGACATGCATTAGGGGTCCTTAAGAAACGGACCACAACGAGCATGACATGAGTGAAATAAAAGGGGGCCAAAGAGAGCCCAAAGGGCAGCGCCCGACAAGCGAAAATCTCGCCACCCATTCGAAAGAGCAAGAAATGCTCTTGATCGGCTCGCATCCGAATGTGATGGTAAGCATTCTTCACGTTGAATCCCACCAGAAAGTCATTCTAATGCAAAAGAAACCTGAAATCCTTCAAGCGCTCGTAGCGGAGACCGACCTTCTTGAGATGGCGGTTGATCCGCCGAAGATCGATGACCAAACGGTACTTGGTCTTCCCGTTCTCCGCCGGCTTGGCCACCAAAAAGGCGCGCGAAATTCGGGCGCTGGAAGAGACCTCCGTCCGGTGGATCGCTCCCGTCCGCAGGTACTCGTCGCGCAGCTCCCGCCATGCTTGCCATTCCGCCGGGTCCCGGAGTGGGTACTCGCCTTGGTCGAACGGAGGCGGAGGGCCCCCCGGGCCCCACTGGAGCGGTGCCCCCGTATGAATCCATTGAAGCACTCGGGCGGGGGCGCCGATGCGGCGCCAGGCCGCGAGACGGCCTTGGAGGCGCGCGTAGGGGGGGGCTTCTAGGCAGTCGGCTTGGGAGGCGCTGGCGGGGCGCCGGACGTCTTGGGTTTGGCGCGTTGATGCTTGGCGCCGGTGGAAGGACCGCCGGGGGGCGGGGCTGCGGAAGCTTGGCGGTTGAGTTGCGCCTGATGCTGAGCCGCCGCGGACTTCGTCGCCAACTTGAGTTGTTGATTGAGGACCTCCTTGCGGATGTGCTCGAGGGGCTTGTCGATCAATGGGTCCCAGAACCGGCGATGCACGGCGCCCAATCGTACGTTGGTCTGAAGCGCCTTCCACAGACCGTCGAGGGAGGTGCCCTTCTGCTCGCCGTGGACTTGCTGAAGTCGGATCAGGCTCTGAAGACGCGACGTGATGGTCACTTGGGCGTGGACGTACGGAAGGAGGGCCTCCCGGAATTCTGGGGGGAAGGCCGGATGCGCCACGAAGTCGATCAGCGCGGCAGTAAGGTCGAACTGCCACGCGACGTAGGGGGCCCAGTTCTGATACTCCTGGAAGTACCCGGAGTTGGCTCCCAGGGCCTGCACGAGCTGCCCGCCTTCGGAGGTGCGGCGGACGTCGAACCACTCGGGGAAGCGTACGCCCGGAGGTCGGACCACCGGGTTGGTCACCGCTTGCGGTAGGAGCCGGGGGTCGGACAGCCAGACTTCGTCAAGGGAAGCCGTAGGCGGACCGTCGTTGAACTGAACCGCTTGGTCGTGCAGCCACTGCTCGGCCGGAGAACGGTTCATAGAAAGGACTCGGCCGTAGCCGGAGGGACAAGGCACTCGGTGCCTGCGGGTTGTGCCAACGCAGTGGCGCGAAGCAAAACAAGATAAGGAGGGGGACCGAGGGGCTGCCTAAATAGCCGCCCTCCGCCGCGCCGCCAAAGCCCGCCAAACTCGAGGGCGCCCTCGCGGGCGGCACCTCGGAATACCGTACTTCGACTGACCCACGGTACTAGGGGTGGCCAGAAATCCCAAGGGACGGGGTTGAGTAAACCCCAGGTTCAAACTGCACCGTTTGAATCGCCGGTGCAGCCCACCCATCGTCGCCCTTGGCAGAAACCCATTAACAGGATAGTTAACTTCATAAACGTCACCCACAAATTCGTCGACACGTCTTCCAATTAGGTCATGGCAGATTCCAGACGTCGGAGGAGAAGGCTAAGACCGGTCTTTTCCGGAAAAGACGTACGTACCATGGGTCGGGCAAAGAGCGCTGCTTAGAGATATTGCTTTGTTAGGAAGGGGATCTGAAGAGGGGCCACCGGTGCATATATCTGTTGGTCTAAATGTAACACTTAGCGTGAGGGCTCTGCCGTAGCGCGTTCGGCAAGAAATGCAAATATCCAAGTAGTCGCTGTACAAGGCATGCCCAACCTGTTCCGTGTGGACAGTTTGTGGAGCTCCAGCACGATGTGGCACACAGTGTCATTGGTGACATTTCAATTATTTTGGGACTCTTGTATATCACCCCTGGTTTCTGTAATTGTGGTCACAATGAGTGCATTTGATGGCATGGCCATGAACTGCACCTCTCTGGAGGTCATCAGTGGCATCCTGGACCGATAAGCATGACCAATGCTGACTTTGCCCCAGTCAACGGATTTTGGCGGCACCTGAGCACCCAAAGGTTACGGCTGAACCATTGCCACAATTCCTTGAATCCCAATGCGCTGGGTCAGAGGATTTGCTGCGATACTGATTGCTGCCATATTTAAATATTGAAATTTCTGAAGTTTGAGAAAGTATTGCACACGCTGGTTTAGGTCACTGCCAGCGAGCACTCAGAACCGCTGCACTAGAGGGACGTCATACCATCCACTGGAGACGCAGATTTCCCCAAACAATGGATGCACCCATGCGCACCTCTAAAGCTATGTATGAACATCCACATCTCTGAGCGATGCAGCAAACTACCCTCGATATCGCGCTGACGGGCTGTAGTTGCAAATCCCATCATCGTGTGCAATCCCCTTCACCACACCCCTCGCTAAGGTCCTATCACGCAGTGCCCTCTTCCAGCATCGATCGCCCCAGCATCGAGGCTCACGACTGCCTGGCATAGTGTGCAACGCGTAAGCGACCAACTACATTCTGCCAGTCGTGCGTTTTGAAGCTTTCCCATCGTGCGACCAGCTCGGACAACTCTTTCCCAACTTTCCTGAACCACGAAGGATCCATTCTGGTGCGCAGCAGCTGCCGACACCGACAAAGGTATGTTGACTGCACTTGCCTTCCCTTCAGCTGCAAGAGAAGCACAGAGCAGCCCACAAGGCCTCACAACGAAACGCCGCATCATTGCTGCGCTGAATAGGCAACGTTCACATTTGATGGAGTACCATCCTGACTGCCAAAACGGCTGGCGAGTGCTCAATGCTGGGAAAAATCAGCATGGCAACAATACCTGTCTACATGCACGTCGTGCATTGAGGTTCAACATGGGGAAACGAACAGATTTGAACCGAGACAGGGGTCGACAGGAAGACGCCTATACAATCTTGGACAGGCACAGAATGGGCCACTCCTTGTCTGTGGCGTTGCATTGGCAGACTGCTCACAAGGAGGGAATGCCAGCTCCCCCATCGTACACAGCCACAACACTGACATGTTTCTGCGAATATCATTGGATGATATGGACGCCCAGCACTCTTCGAATTGTGGATGGCAATGAACATCACAACGCTCCATACCGTCCACTTGGCTCGTTTCCTTCGAGGATTGGCCGAGGTGGGTCGTGAGTGAGTCTGGCGGTTTTTCAGCTCATCTTTGGCCTTCTTCAGTGCCTTCTCCATGTCACGCAAGTCAGAGCGCAGTCTCAGGTTTTCCTGTTCCAACCGCTTCACTCGCTCCTCCATGCCGCCTTGTTGGCACCAGCTACAACTGTCCAAACCACATACATCTGTTGTACTCCAGGCCTGCACTGATGCCACAGTCCAAGGCCCCAAAGTACGGCTGAGGCTAAACAGCAATGTCGGTTGAAGTCTGGTACCAATATATGCACCAGTGTTCTCCAATTTCGGTTCAGTGAACTGGAAGGAAACCACACCGCAAGCATCAAGCCAAAGCCGTTTAGTTCACAGCAGTTCTGGTTGACAAGAAGCCAGAGCACATCCTTCTGATGAAACATCGTACATGGCAGTCACTTTGTGGGCTGAGTGCGAACACAAAAAAGTCATTGCTTGGTCCTGTTATCCCAGAGAGCATCGTTTCTGCGTCTGATGCTTCTGTCTTATGATGTGGCATTGTTTTGATACGTGTGACAAGTTGACATGTTTGGGATAGGCCTGGGTCATATGGGTTTGCGTGTAGAATCTGCGGGAACATCATTCTGTTCTGTGGGCTGTTAAAAGAACAACACAAGCAAGGACAAAATCGTCATGTCCTTATGCCAAATTGTCGATTGACCTGCAGCACCCCACCTGTCCTCTGTCACAGGGTAAACATCTGGAGATTCGCTGAAAAGGGGATTGACAGTGCCTGCCATTTCCCTTATACAGGATTTGCCTGGTAGAGCATCTGCAGGGAAGAAGCCCATGGCAAGATTAGCAAAGGCATGGATTGGTAAAGCAGTCCTCCTCAAGAGCGAATGAGCTACAGCACATGCAGTTTCACTAGTCTGCAGCCCACATAGATCAGACAAGGGTGCACCACAGCTTGAGGAAATTCCTTGTACCAGATACTCATCCCAGCACATGTAACACAGGAATCCCGGCTCCTCCAGATGGACTCCGCACGGGAGGGGTTGTCGATATAAGACAGACATCTGGAGAACTGCAGTCTATAGAGCACCAATATGCAGGCAAAACTCTGCAGTGACGGATCCCTGAGCCACCAATCTTGGGACTTAATGACCAGCAGCCCACCTTGCTGCGGTTGAAGCCGTGGCCCTTGATCAGCCTTCGGTGATGGCACCCCAACAGTTGGAGTGCCCAGCGAACTGGCTGTGGGTCCTGCAAACAGAGGACGTCATCAGAGGCCACATCCTGTGCTGGCGGCAAGGCTGCTGCACATCCTCCGCCACAGGGTGCAGGTCCACCACGCGCGACTCCCATCGCTCTCTCATGGTCAACAGTGTTTCCCCAGTGTCAAGGATTACTAATCTAAACGTCGTTGCAGCTGTCGCCCAGATCTGCACCCGCTGGGCAGAACGAACGTCCCTGTGCAAACGCTCCGGGCTGCAGCTTGATCTCTGGCATCGCCTGCAATCCGCTCACCGTCATTGACGCTCGGAATCACGCCCTCCCGCCGTGCGCTTTCTTCGCATGCTCTCCGGGGGGACGCAACCTGCTTCCGTGGTGTGAAGGCGGGCAGCGGGGCCGAGCTCGTCCGCCGGCTCGACCGCGGTGTGATGCCGTCCTGCTGCGCTCGCGCCTTGGGCGAGGCTGGCGGGCGAGGCGCGGCGACGGCGCACGACCCCACGCCGTTCCTCCCCCCTGCCGCGACGGCCCCTGCGACGCCCTTCCTCGCTCGCGCCTGCGCACACAGGCTCCACACTCTTCACTTCCCAATCACAACAGATGATCAGTTCGTCGACGTGCAAAACATGCGCCAGACGCTCGCCTCAGAGGCCGCCCATCGGGGAGGCGCGCATGAGCCCCTGCACCCGTACCGTGTGTACCGGTGCGGGCGTCGGCAGCCTCGTCGCCGCCTGCTGCTGCCGCGCCTGCGCCCTGGCCTGCGGCTTCTGCACCGGCGGCGAGGGCACGACCGGGATCTTCGAGGGGCCGCGCAGGAGCGGTGCCCCGCTCCACGTCGCCGGGATGTGCGTGCGGACCCTCTTGGCTAGTGCCGCGGCCTGCTCGTCCGCCACGAGCTGCCGGAAGCAGTACACGGCGTCGTCAGTTTCGCAATGCACGTGCGGCGTGCGGCGCTGCCACATCCTTGCAAAGACATCCGCACATCACACAGCTGGGCCGCATGCCGTGGCCACGCGCAGCCTGGGGGCACAGTCACCGCCCATGCGCACCTGTCTTATGCTGGGCGGCCTTCCGCGCTTCGTCGGGTACTGTTTCTCGGGCGGCCACCTCGCGGGCACCCCGACATCGACCATGCCTGCCCGGGGGTGCACAGGCGCCCGCGCGTCCCGTCGCCACCGCCCCCGATCGGCGGATCAGTGTCGCGACGCCGGGGGGTGGGGGTGAGGCGACGGGGAGGAGTCGGGGCTGACGCGGGCCAACTGTCAGGGCGTGGTGCCAGAAACACGTGCAGGGCAGGCATGAGAATTGCGCAGCCGCGGTGGTGATGGTGGTGGGTGATGCACGAAGGGGTGGGTCTTAGTGTGTCCGTTGTGGCAGGTGCGGGACAATTCGATGGGGATGCTGGGCGAGTCAGCCTTGGACGCAAGAACTGTACCACATCAATGTCGGGTCACCATCGGCGCTCTGGTGGAAGAGCTCACGAGCTCGCGGGGAGGCGTTCCTTATACGCAAACACCAGAACAAAGACCGAAACCAGCACGTAAAAGCCAAAAAATCAAAAAAATCTACAGCCTAAACCCTACAAAACAAGTGTTCGGGTCGCCAATTAACCCGGCCCCTTACTGGAATTATATTTCGCGTGACTCAACCACAGTACTGCTTAAAGCACTGTAGTGGGGCGTTCGCGCCTCTGGGCCGACCCAAACCCGTGGGAAATAGCGACGCGCGAGTGCCTGGCCGCGCCCTCGCGGGTGAGGGGCTGCGGCGGCAAGCCGAGGACTTTGTCACGCGGGATTGAGCTGGGACGCCTTGCGGCGATCAAAACGCACGCGGACGCAGAGCGGCGTGCTGGAGCTTTGGCGGGGCTGGCATTTTGCTAGTCGGCCCGTTCGGTACGGTCCCATAAGCGTATAACGGCAGGGTAGGCTGTGGCCGCACAGCCGCCTGTTTCAGTCGCGCCCAGTGTGTCCCACAGCCGCTACTCAGCAATGGCTTGGGCTAGCTCCGACAAGCTGTGGTTGCTCCGATTGGCCAGCTCTGGAAAAGATGGTGAAGAAGATCGGCGAGCGCCTCAGCTCGAGTCGCTGGACCTGCCGGTGGTTCTCAGGTTTGGCTTATGCGAACTAGGTTTAGTGGCCCATTTGCTGCAGAAGAGTAGGCTGTGGCCGGACAGCTGCTTGCTTCAGTCGCGCCCAGTGTGTTTCAGGGCCGCTGGGCGCCAATGATTTGGGCTGGCACGCGACAAGCTGCGGCTTCTCCGATCGAGTCGGTGGACCTGCCGGGACCGCTGTTTGACCTATGCGGACCAAGTCAAATGGCCCACTTGGCTGTAGCAACGTTGCTGCGCAGCAACGGGCATGCCCGCCCAAGCCACGGTTCTTCCGCTCTATAAGATTCGCGAGCGGCTTTGCAAAGTCACCCATCCGCCCCTCGGTTATCGCACTCGCCGGCGTTGGCGACTCCCAGTGAGAGCCATCAAGACCCCTGAATCGTTGGTTTGTGCTGTGGGTATTCGGTGTCAGTCTGGCTGTCTAGATCGAACAAAACCGGACAAGGTTGGCCAGCGCTTCGCCTGGACTCGCTGGTCCTGCCGGCGGTTGACAATTTGGATTAATGCGAACCACGCCAATTGGGCCACCTGGCTGTAGCAACGATGCTGCCTGCTGAAGCTGCAGTTCTTCCGCTTGACAAGATCCGCGAGCGGCTTAGCCAGGTCACCCAGCCGCCTTCCGGTTATTGCACTCGCCGGCGCCGGCAATCGCCAGTGAGCGCCAGCAATCCCCCAGGAGGGCGCGCTTGTTTTGTCGGTATGAGGTGGACGACGGTGACGCCTACCCTGCTCGCGCTCGCGCCTATCCTGCTGCTCGCCACGCACCCACCGCCGGCGGGCCGTCCGCTGGATAATTTTGGATTGGCGTCCTCATAAAGTGCCTCGATTGGCCCCCACGACTGGCGGGATCTGGCGTCCGCGAGGCGCCGCTTTTCACCAAGGAAACGGCGCCTTGCAGGCGCACATTCCGGCCACCCGCGGGGGTCTCGATTGGCGTCCACGGCCGGCGGCATCTGGCGCCCGTGAGGCGCCACTTTTCGCCAACAAAACGGCGCCTTCCGGGTGCATAATCCCGCCACCCGCGAGGGCCTCGATTAGCCCCCGCGGCTGGCGAGATCGGGCGCCCACAAGGCGGCATCCCTTTGCCCACTCCAATCACCCGGGGGCCAGCTGTCTGGCAACGCAACGGGAAACGTTATTTAGTCGCTGCCTTCCAACGTCAGCATGCAGGCGCCGGGCCGGCCCCGCTCGCCCCTACCTAGGGGAGCGCCCCGGCCCCCGTGCGTCCCTGCCGCGAAAACAGCTAAGTCGTGGGACGGGGCACTGGCGCCTCCCCTCCGCAGTCCTGCAGTTCCGCACCTCGGCACGCATGGCCACGGTCGCGGCTGACCCGCGGGGGCAATCGGCGTCGCACGTCGCTGCCCGTGGGGGCTAGCCTCCAGGCGCACAATGCACCATTTCGAGCACGGAGCCCCGCCATGGAGCGCGAGCACTGGGGCGCAGCACGCGGCGATCCGTCGCCGGCGGACTAAGTCGCTGGCGCCACAGCCTGTAGCTGAGTACAGGCCCCACGGTGAGTGCAGATGAACGCCGCGAGAGTCCAGTTCCGGGGGGCGGGGTGAGAGGGGGCTGCAATTCTGAACACGAGGAAGCAGAGCCGGAGGGCCTGGGCTGGTGCAGGGAGTTGGGATTCGGGCTGTCGATCGTCGGTGGTCGCGGCGACAATTCTGCTGGGCCGATTGACGCGCCCCGGCGCGGCAGGATGCCCTTCGTGCACATTATAAGCACATGCTTTTTGAGGGGGTGGGGGTGCTTGAGCAACGACAAATATGATCGTGCAAACTTTTCCAGCCGGGGCAGCAGAACATGCTCGAAAACAGGCGCAAGAGCTCGTGGCGAGCGCCTCTCTCCATGGGAGAAGGACTGGGTTCGAATCCCAGCTGTGCCTTACACCTTTGTTGACATGGGCTCCCCCTCATTAGTGTTTGTCACCATGTTCTATGCCAGAAAGTGTTGTCGATCTAGTAAAATAAACAACAGATCCTGTGCAACCACTGCATTAGTAGTCTCACTGCTCCTCCCTTAATAAGAGTTGCATCATTGGGCCCTGATCCTCCTCAGGCGGTGCGATGCATTCTGGCACAGGCAAAAACCAACATTCATTCCTCCGTTCAAGTGCCAGCCTGCTCAAAGTGTCTGCTGCACTCTCTTTCCGCTTTTTGGACTCTTTTCCCACAAACTTGTTTGCTTCAAGCCCCTTTCTCTTTCTGTTGCCTTCCCTCAACACTTGCTCACATATTGGCTTCCTTCTCACTAAGGAGAAATTATTGCCATCATCCTTGGTGACTAGATCTGCAACACCTTCTTGGGATCCTCTTGGAATGGTTGGCAACTTGCTCTTCAATTGCCTCCCCCATGCAAGTGCATGTTGTACCCATGTGCAAGTGTCGTCGCCACAAACCATAGCATCAATTTCTTGCAACATAGTACCCCATTCAGCCATCCATTTCTCCCCTTGCCTTTTCCTTTGTTCCAAAGACACCATCTTGCACTGCACTGCTATGCCCGCTGTGCCCACTCGTCCAGCTTGTTGTCTAGAATATTGTGCAACCTCAGCACAAACGCCTGAAACTTGGTCATCAACCATCATAGGGTGGTTGCCCGTCTCACCTACACTTGAACAATGCCCATGGTTCATCGCTGATTTCAGAATGTCTTCTTCGGTCATCCCCAAAAACAACAACACTTTCACTTGGTGCTTGCAAATAATGCATTTCTTTGCAGCTAGGCACGTGCACATAGCCCACTTCCCTTTTGGGTCCACAACATCATATTTGTCAACTGATTGACTACTGCTGACACGATAGCGATCTTGTGCGACTTGTTCTACACTCCTGTCTGGCAGTTCGCGCGCAGCCACGATGGCCCTCCTTGTTGTCTTCTCAGATGTCGTATTCACCACAAAGCCTTGCTCCTTCATCATCCGCTGTACCATGTAGTGGTTCTGGAGGTCGTCCATGAGTTCCTTCACAAGCCAATCCAGCCGACGTCCTCTCATTCGCTTTTTGGAAATGTTGCTGCACTCTTTCATCCCACCATGGTAACCCTCGATTGCCGCATTGGTGTTTTGCCCGCAAAGGGCAAAAGTTCGGAAGGCTTTGGCCCATAGCTCCATCTTTCCCTCCCATTCTTTCTCAAAGTAAGTGATGAAGCCCACCTGCTGGCAATGCAAAATTCTGTTTGAATTCACAAGCATTTAGTAGGGGACGTTCGCAATGCAAAAGGCAAAACGTAATTGAGCAGAGTCAAACTCTTAGAGTCGTGAATCAAATTTGGATATGAAGGTTGTTGCATCAAATGAAATGCAATGCATACCACAAGCCTACCTCCTGTGCATATGTGGCCTTGAAGCAAGTGATCCTCTCCTTGACTTCCTTGCTAATGGCATCATTACCTTGTGCCTGCACTTGGAAGTCCATGATCTTTGTGAGATCAGCGAATAGAGCCACTCTCGTATTAGCATCGTGCACCTTCTTCAAGGCGTTTTTCAGCCAGGCACGTTTTACATGCCACAAGCACAAGACAATGTGCACCTGGTTGTCAAATGCGTCTCTAACAGCATTTATTTCAGCATTGCAATCATCAGTAATAATTGCGGAAGGTTGCCAATCTGCCCTTCCTTCAGCTTGTCCTCTGACTGCTTCTTGCACGGCTTGCAACCAAGTGGAAATGTAACTTTCTGCATCGGATGATGTTACTAACCATGCCCCGGGGAACCCATTATGGAAGTCATCAAAACCAAGCAATGTGAATAAGCTGAATTTGTATATATTGGTACCAAACGTGGCATCCAAGCACAATGGACGATTGTGCCCGAACTTGCTAAGCATCCGCCGTTGCCAAGGAGTGCATATTCCCAGCTGAAATGGTTGAACTTCTCCTCCATCACTGGACATCTTCTGAGGACAGTAGCAGACGACATTGTCTTTGTTTCCAATGCTCCATAGCCTGATTGACTCAGCATCATTGTTGTCTAGAATGAACTCCTCTTGGTCCACTAGTCGGCGCAAATTTCTGACATTT